ATTGCCTCGATTGTTGAAGTGTACAAGGCTCAGAGCTGCGTGCCAGAGTGGATTCAACAACTGGAAGCAGTTAGGAATTTAAAAAGATTTTAACTTATACTACTAGCTGAAAGGCCGGCTGGTAGTTTTTTAGCACTGCCAATTTTGCTGTTTTTGTCCTCAGGCTTGTATATATTAACTTGCAAAAAACGGCAATAAAGAAAAAAAGCGTGCGCGTGGCATAACGGCTATCGCGCTTGCCTTCCATGCAGAAGGCCAGGGTTCGATTCCTGGCCGCGGCTACACATTTTTGTTGACACTGTAATGTGATGTTCTGGTGAATTCGAGAACCGTCTTGCTGATTCGAGGTTAGAATGTTCTACGCGCCGAACCTTCTACGCCGAACGATCCAGAAACCCACGAGGGTACATAAGGGATTCCGCAAGGCGAGCGGAGTCAGTTTCGCCCCAGCACTCGACTCTGCTGTCTCGCCGACTTCGACGCTCGCGACGCTTTATTATTATTTTCTATTCCCTTTTTGTTTTGGGCACAAGTTCGCCACATTAAACGTTTATTTCTTCCTGTTGATTTATTGTTATTCTGGTCACCACCCGTGACAATATTTATGGACTGTATTTTTATATATTTATGGTTTTTTTTTCTAGTGCATCTGAAGAACACTCGGCACGTTTCTGCTTTAGTTAAACGGTCATGATGCAAAATCTTGCAAATTTTCCAGTTATTCGTAATATGAAATCATTGCAAGCGGCTTAGTGCTCAAGCTTTTTTTTGCTTTCAGTTGAATTAGGTAATGATCAGGAAGTTTGATGTCTGATAGCAGTGAACTGAATGCCCAAGTATACTAGGATTCTGTGTTTTCGAATAAACCCAGAGAAACGCCCACCGGTAAAATTTTTGTCAATTTGGATTTATTCGTTAAACTCCATTTCAATCTCCCAATGCAAAAAATATAAAAAAGATGGTAATATAAAACTAAGTTTGGTAAGTGTTGAAGGTCAATAGTCCTAAGAAACTGCCATCCCAGTTTCCCTTCGAATCTCGGGTCATTCACAATCGATGTCTTACCGTTTAACTCATCAGCATTCATTCAGGACAAGTCATTGTACTTCCGAGTCGGAATAACAACCACTTTTCAGGTTTCTAGTCTGGACCGTATTACTTGTACTTGGAGTTGGATTTGTACTATTATTTGTAACTGAAAGCTATGGGCCTCGCTTTCATTGTCCACGAGGGCATTGAAAGCGAGACAGAGGAATTCCCCCTGGATGGATGGATGGATGTGAATGGCTATATCCTTTGTAACGGGTGGGAGCTTGCGCCACCTAGCCTAATAGCCACGTCCCACTAGAGCGAAAAACAGCAACAAACGACAACGAGAGAGCCTGTTTGTCAGAGTCCGCCGTCCCACCTGGCGGACACGACGCAGAACACGGGGACAAGGAAGCTTGTTTCCTAGTGGGACTGGAGTTGTCAACAAAACACTTCAAAATACACAGACAGAGTCTGGCGACACAATTTTCGTGGTTATCTCTTTGAGCGTAAAACGTGCAGACAAACACGGTGAAAGTGGAGACGATTACTTTATTTCTTGTTTAAAGCTTCTGCTTGTCTTCATTTGCCATCGGTGCATTTCTGAAAACAGTCATGACAATCGACACCCAACTTTTTCCAAACTAGAATTTCTGAATCGTTCCTCTTTTGGGTCGTTCGAAGCATTCCAGGTGGGCACCACGGAATTTCGCATCGATTTGAGGACGTTTTTAATTTCAAATCCGAATGACCGAGGGCAGGCGTTTTATGGGGGATAATCACAGAATGGATGACAAGTCTCTCAATTTGCCGGAATGGCTTGCTGCAGAACTGGCGGAACGTCGTGTCCTACTTCGTGTTGAGTGGCCCTACTTTGGCGAGTCCTGGCACATGGGCGTATCCATCCTGATGCAAGGGCGTAGACTTCGGCATCTTGAAGCACCAACTCGCGCACCAAGTTTTCACGAGCAAATCCAGCCACAGCAAATTCCCTTTTGCAACACGACATCTAGCAAGCAAGCCGTGCCCCCGACCACTACGAGCAATCCAAGAATCGGAACTGCAGGAGCGGGAGGGAACGATCAGTGGCCGCCGAGGACTGAGTCACGGGAGGAATGGGAGGAACGGTAGAAGGAGGGTGGGGAAGACAGCAACAGAAGGCACAAGCGGGCAAGAAAATTAAGTTTGTCCCCAAGTGATGTTCCTCGGTGGGACTGCTTGCTGCGCTTCAAGTTCAACGACAGACAAGAACTCGTCAGTCGTCGATGGTTTGTCAGCGTTTGTCGCGGGTGTTGGTCATTGCAGTGGAACAACATCAGCAACACAACGTTGTGGTGTTGCCGGACAAAAATCGGTGTTTGTCGCTCTAGTGCAAAGGTGGCCAGGCTGACCCGGCCTAAGAGCCACAAACAAAACTACGAAACTTTCAAGAGCCACGGGGGGGGACTTTTGTCTAGAGCAATTAACGAAACTCGAACTACTTTCAATCTATCCGAGTCAAAAGCAGTACAACTTACGTAAGGTAGCAGTAGCACAAGACTACCAAACTGCAACCTGTCTTTCGACCTAAAACTCGTTCCATTTCTTTTTGTGATCAAGAGGGAGGGAGGGGGGACGAGAGGGGGGGGGGACCGCAAGCTGCACTTTAACATGTGAAGTCGCGAGCCGCAGCTTGGCCACCCCTGCTCTAGTGTGACGACGCTATAAGAATTTTCTACTCAAAGTGCACAAATCTATGCTATACATCCCTAGCGAGGCCTTTCCCAGAATTAGCGACACCTTCCCAGATTGACAATCATGGATGAACCCCTGGTCTCAATCCTGGCAGTGTTACAGCAGTGGAACGCGGGCACCGCAGATGCCTGTTCTGCTGCGGCTCACTAGCATGTCAGTCGAGGGCGACTCAAAGAGTTCCAAGCTGGGACGTTGGGACGAAATCAACATTTTCCCCCATCTGCTTGGTCTCTTTGCTTGAACTTCTAGAACGAGCCACACCGGATCAAGACAATCTGCACCAGTACATGGCAGCTCCTATGACCAATGCCTTCATCTGAACCGCCATTCTCCAGCAGTTCTTTTAGGCACAGTCTTCAGAAGGTAATCAAATGAGCATACACAAGCTACGTCGGAGGTCCAGGTGCAGTTTAAGGTCTTGCATGCAAGAAATATTTCTCGAGACATTCACAACATATGTTGATGAACACCAGTGTTGCACGCAATCATCTGCCAAGAAACCACACTTGATCATGCAGACGCTTGCTACCCAGATGTTGATTGCGTAGAACCAGATGGTGCAGCCCGATCCTGCCCATCAACCAGGCCTTTGGCACGTTCCCTCTACTCTGCAGCATTGCAGATGCTTGAAGTAGACTGTAGACTGCCTGCCTGATGGGGAAAGACCAAGCAGTCAATCCAAGCCACTCTTGAACCAATGTGCAGAAAAGGAAATTCAAACATGAAGATATCAAACATGCTGTAGTCAAGAAAGATTGTAGGTTGCTATGCTTGTTCTGGGTGTGTCCTGATCAATCCATTAAGTGGGAGTCGGAGACTCGCCCTTTTAAAGGGCCCCTGAAAAAAAAAAGTTTTTTTTTTAACAATCTATAGTCGGTGACCAGTCAAGAACGAAGTGGAAGCTCGTCCCACCTCTTTCCAGTTTAGCAGTGCGAACTCTGGAGAGGAGGCGACCTCCTCTCCACCGTTCGCCCCACTGAAGTGGAAAGGGGTGGGAGGAGATTCTACATCGTTGTTGCCCTGTCACCAACTATAGTTGGGACACGCGTGTAAAAAAAAATTTAAGTGAGGAAAAATTATTTTGGAGCAATATTGACGGCGCAAGACGCGATTTAGTCAACAGTCGCGTCCCTTACCGCTTGTTTTCTCTCTCGGCATTTCAGGCGCGTGGAGCAGAGGTCGATCACCTTCGCCTTCACGACCGATATGGTCATTTCGGAATGACCCGTGGCCTCATGGACTTCATGCTCAATTTCAATTAAATCTCTCGCAATCAATATTGCTCTAAAAAAACTTTTTTTTTTCCTTATTTTTGTTAGAAACTTTTTTTAGCACATGTGCCCCACTAGACTGTTTAAAAACAAAAACCTTTTTTTCCTTTTCGGGGGTTCTTTAAGTTAGCCGCAAAGTTACCTCCCAACCAGCAAGTTATCCCTTGAAGTCATGCTGCATGCTACCTTAGGAAGAAAGTTGAAAATGGGAAATTTGGATCGGAATGTGCAAGAATGCCTTCCAAAGCGAAAAGCATTGATGTGTATGCTCCGCCTAAGTGCTTACCCTGCTACATTTCACCAAAATGTGATGAATTTATGCCTACAATTGCACCATAATGGAGTTTTTGTTTATAGCTACCAAAACTAATACTTCAGGCGTCGCAGTACTGCCAGATTGTTCCTGCAACATTGTGTGAATCGTTCAGAACTTCCCGTTATTGCTTAGAATAATGTGCGATTTGATTCGATTTACACACCGAACATGACTCAGTCCTCGGATGTTTCGTGATATCTCTCATTGTACGTGGAATGTTCAGGCAGTCTAATTATCTCCGTTGAGCACGCTTCTCGCACCACGCACTGGTGCACTGCCAAGAAGTTACACCAGTGGAGTGGGCATTGCAATTCTGCATATATCGCATTGTCGCAGCGCAGCCTTGTCTTAAAGGCGCACCAAAGTGCTTTTTGAGATCCTTGTTTTATTGTTATAACTCAATCTACAAGCACTAACCGTCCTTAAAAAAACAAATTACATTCATCTGAGGCCGATTTGCATACTAAAACAATTGATCAAAATTCTCGACACTTAGCGTCAGCGCAGAATGACAGATGGCGCTACCGAACCTTGGTGAATACGGTCAAACAGCAGACGGCACGTGTCGGACACTCGCGAGGGATGGGGTCCACTGTGGACAAGCTGCCGACCAGTCGTGCTCGTTCGCGCGGGAACCCATCGCTCGCGAGTGGCTGATATGCACTGTCGATCGTTAGACCATATTCAGCAAGGTTCAGTAGCGCCATGTGTCATTCAGCGACGATGGTAAGTGTCTGGAACTTTGATCACTTTCTTAAGATACGAAATGGCCGCAAATGAATGTAATTTCTGGTTTTTTAGGATGATTAGTGCTCGTAGATTGAGGTATGACCATAAAACGAGACCGTCGCAACACGCTTTAGTGCCCCATTAAAGGAATACCGAACCGAAATTCGGATTTCGCAAAATAAGGATGCACGAGCGTTGAACAAGACGCTAGGAACTCCAAGACATGACTCTTGCATCAATATCTCAACCGGATGGCTGCACTTTTGGAAAAGGAGGGCGGCAGAATTTCAGAATGAGGGGAAGCGGCCTCGCTTCTCTCCTCCTCGCTTCAGTTCACTAGCTCAAAGAGACGTAGCGAGAAGGAGAGGGAATGGGAATCGTGACGAGACTTGTCTCGTCGGCCGTGTTCACTCACACACTTCTTTTCCGAAAATACAGCGATCCGTTAGAGATATCGCTGTACAAGTGTTGTTTTGGGGTTTTGCAGCGGCCCGCCTATCCGTCCAGCCTCGTTTTGTGAGCTCGAAATTTCTGTTCACTATCGCTTTAAGGGTAAAGCACTATTCCAGAGTGAAAAGATGGACAACAAAGCACGAATTAGAAAAAAAAATATATATATGTGAAAGGAAAGGGAACTTGTTGAATGCTGATGTGATATTTGCCTTGCAGTAAACTTTGCTAAATAAAAATCCGGTCAGTCTATATCAGGGGTGACCAAACTGCGGCTCGCGAACCGCATGCGGCTTATCGCGGGTCCAAGTGCGGCTTGCTGGTTTGGGGTGAGCGTGCCACCCTACCCCTCCTGTGTTCCAAAGACGAACAGACTTTTACAATTAAAAAAAGCTCACAGACTTGGCAGCCTTGTATTACACTACGTAGATATGGCTGGACTGGTTTTTGACACATTAATGTGTCCAGTGACACTGTTTCCTTTATTGTTCTAGAGAAAATTTCGAACCGTATACGCACAACGGACGTCAGGGGCAGTGGCCGGCTAGCAAGCCAGCTGAAGCTTTCATTTTTGCTGAGCCGTTAAAGTAACGTTCTGCTGCTTGCTGTTATTTGTTGTAGTCAACAATTATACTTGACCTTTTTGGAAAGCACTGTTCCCTCCAGATAGTTTTAAGTAGCCTTTCTCTCTTTATTTTTCCTGTTGCTCTTTGAACTTTTGTTGTTTTGTTTGCGGCTCTAACGCCATGTCACTTTGGCCACCCCCGGCCTATAGGTTAGACTTGGAAATATAACACAGAATTCCTTTATGTGGTTAGCATACCTATTGAATGATGCTTGCTTATCCTCATCAGTATAAGTAAATAATCCAATCATCCCCAGAGCCCGACCTATATTTCTGGGCGTGTGTAGCCCGTTATTTCTATATGTCCAGACTGACCCCAAAACACAACTGTGAGCTACACCTGAATATGCTGGCAGAGGCAACATTACCGTTGCTTTCCACACCTTCAATTTGTTTGGTGGGAATCAGTCCAGTTAGTTATTGCTGGTTCCATCCCAAATGTTTTGATTCTGGCCACAGGTCTCCAATACTCAATAAGAGGCCTCCATATTATATAAACCTGCTCTGTGTCATTTAGTGGCAACGAGCTGTTTCCTATGCTCTGTTCACTACCAAGCTGACAGTGCGGTGGGAGCTACGCCGTCACTGGACCTATCGACCGCCTTCCTCTCATCACCGGACCCTGCTCCTGGCGCACGGGGCGGGAAGTGCGATCAAATGGCAAATGATGGGCATACAACTGGTCCAGCAAGCACTTCCAATGCACCGTCAGCTTAGAGTTGAGCCGACTATACCAGTTGTGCGAGTGTACATAGGCCAGGTCAGAGCCCGTGTCGTCTAGGTTTGTGGCAATTTAGCTCTGCCATAACCCACGAAGGAGCCAGGCATGTTATTTTTGGCACAAGTTCGCCACATTAAACGTTTATTTCTTCCTGTTTATTTATTGTTCTTTTGGTCACCACCCATGACATTTTGGGGGAGTTTCTGGGTACTCCATTCTATGCCCGTTGAGCGTACCCCTCCAATTACATCCTGGCCATGCGACGTGCTCAGCCCCGGAAGGCTACCCTTCGCCGAAGACGCCGGAGTCCGAAGAAGCCGCCGTACCAGAGGTCAGTCCCGTGAATTGGGTCTGCTGCCGGACAAACCCAAACCGAAGAAGACGACGATGGCCAACCAGTCGCAAGCCCCCGCCGCTCCTCCCGTCAACTACATGCCCGTCACACCGCGCATGGCTGCCCCCTTCCACGGTGAACTCTATGAATATGTCGAAGACTGGATTGACCAGTATGAACGCGTTGCCCGCCACAATGGCTGGACCAACGAGCCGTGCCTGCACAACGTCTATTTTTCCCTTGATGGGACCGCCAAGCACTGGTACGAGAACCATGAGTCCTCTTTGACATCGTGGGAAATTTTCAAGACCGATCTGAAGGCTACATTCGTCAACCACCACCGCCGAGAGAGAGCCGAGGACCTACCGCGAACCAGGACCCAGGGCCCCCACGAGAGCGTCAGCGGCTTCGTAGAGGATGTTCTGCGCCTCAGCGCCCGCGCCGACACCCGGGCTACAGAAGAGAAGAAGCTACGAATCCTCATGCGCGGGGCGAGACGACATCTTCGGAGGCCTCGTCCGTTACCCGCCGGAAACCTCCGACGCCTTCGTCACCGAGGCGACAAACATCGAGCGCGCCCTTCAAGCCCGCGCTTCCCACTACCAGCGGCATCCAAGCGTCACTGCAACCGCGCTGATAAGCGGCGAAAGCGCTCCTGGTACGGACGTCCGCGAAATTATCCGGGAGGTCGTCCGGGAGGAACTGCGAAGGTTGCTGCCAACCACCAGCCGTCCGCCATCCATTTTCATCGTCGAGGCTGTCCGAGAAGAAGTGCATCGGGCGCTCGAACCAGAGGTTCCTGTCACCACGGTGGCACCGGAGGAACCGATGTTGAGCTACGCTGTCATGGCCCGATGACCGCCGCAAGCTCCCCGCCAAGCCACGGCGCCACCCCGAAGAGACGCCCCAACGCCGCAGTACCCCCGACGACAGAAAGATCGGGCGCACGTTCACCCAGACCGACCTGTGTCGAGGAAGACAGACGTCTGGAGGACGGCCGACCGACGCCCGCTCTGTTGCCACTGCGGGGAAGCTGACCATGTGTACCGCCGAGGCCCATACTGACGGCTGCGCGGATTCCACCCAAACGACCTGCGCCCCCGGTATGGTCTGTATGGTGAACGCCCTCGGGAGATCGACGATTAACTGCGACGACCTCAGTCCCCTCAGCCTGCGTCCCACCGAGAGTTCCGGTCGCCTTCGCCACGACGTCCAGCTTCGCCGATGCACCGACCCCGACGTGAAAGCCTGTCGCCACTCGCTCCGCGCCGGGGAAACGCGGCAACCCCGGAGGTGGAGTTGCCGAAGACGACCGAAACCAAGATTCTCCACGAACGTCGGAGGGCCCCCACTCGAACGCTACCAGAGACCGAAACGACGCTCCTGCAAACGGTGTCCAACAAACTAAACGTCGTCATCGACGGCCACGACGCATCAGCAGTCGTAGACACCGGAGCAGACTACTCAGTCTTGAGTGGGAGGCTCTCCCGCCGCCTTCGAAAAGTCACGACGCCGTGGGATGGACCTCAAATACAAACCGCCGGAAGGCACCTAATCACACCAGTCGGGAGATGCACTGCTCGCGTCGAGATCCACGGTGAGACGTGCCCTGTGAAGTTCGTCGAGGGACGTTATCCTCGGAATGGACTTTCTCTGCGAGTATGGCGCCGTCATCGACCTCGCGGAAAATCAGTTGACGCTGCGAAAGCCTGTCCAGCCGCCGGCGGAGACCAACACGACGTCAACCGCTATCCGAGTTATCGCCGACCATGGGAACCTACCGCCGCGGTCGAGTGTTTTCGTCACCGTCATAATTACCGACGCAGCCATGCACAGTGAAGCTCTTCTGGAAGGCAGCGTCCAACTGCTCCTCGAGAAAGGAATTGGTGTCGCACAAGGCATAACGGATATCCAAGAAGGACGTACAACTGTTCTTGTGACCAACTTTCGAGAGGAGCCGCAGCACCTAACGAAGGGTACCACCGTGGGCCACGTCGAGGAGCTTCAGGCACCAGCCGTGGTCGCCGCAATCTCCGAGGAAACCTTGTCGCCACAGCAGAAGAGCACGGCACCGCCGCCGCTCGACATCGACCCCGAGCTCCCAGCTCCAAATGCATCCTCAGTCCTCCGCTGGGGTGTGCTAGATGCCCGTCGTTGCTTTAGCACGCAAAACCCCCAAATTTGAGTTGTTTGTCCAATGCATACCTAACCAGATGTGAAGGGGATCTGGTACACAACCCCTAGTGCGCATGAGACAAAAGGAGTGCGGGAGTTAACGGCTGTCCCTATCCGCACCCGAAGTGCGAATAAGGGTGGATTTTTATCCGCACCCGAGGTGCGAATTAGGACGCATTTTTATCCGCACCTGAGGCGCGGATAAGGGTGATTTCTTATCCGCACCCAAAGTGCGAATACGCACGAAGTATTATTATTCTCATTGTTATTATTATCAGCAGTAGTATTATTAATTATTCTTCGAGTAATTTTAAGTCAACTCAGAGTGCGATTGCAGCGCCACAAAATGTGGAGCGGCTTTATTTGCTTTGCTTTGTGTCACCGTGCCGCCGACCGTGCTCAGGTGCGTGCTTCGTTTAATCGCCGGTTGGCAGCCTGTCTACGGTTTAAACACTCTCTAATTTATTGTTATTTTCGGCATGTCGAGTCTATTAAAGCAGTTGAGCACGTAGTCAAGGCGTCAAGGTCTGTCGAGGCAGTACCTACTGCAGTACTTTACAGCCACGCTGGCTGCGCCGGCCCTATCCGAGTCGGGGTCTTCGGACTTTCCTGAAGACGATGTTTCTGACGTGGTACAAGTTGGAACTGCCTTCGATGACTTCAAATCCTTCGAGAAGGCCTTCAAGGATTACCAACAGGCAACGCATCAGCTCTTCGTGGTGCACAGGTCCAATTCTGTTGAAGTGGCGAACAGGGGCTTGGATCCCCCCAAGACGTTGAAAGCGGAACTCGTTTACGCCAACGTTACGTACAAGTGCAAGCATGCAGGGATGCCACGGCATGAAGGAAAGGGTCTTCGGCCAAATCAACGGTAGTTTGGGTTATTATGCAGTCTTCATTCTTGTCTCATGAAAATGCCGAAAATAAACAGCTTAGCACAGAGACACTGACAGGGTATTTATGCTCGCAAATGTTTTTATTTGCACATTACGTATGAGAGCCCCCAGAACAATATTCGTGGCTCGAAATTCGTTTTCTTTCCGCCCGAAAACCGCCGATCGAGAACAGCTGGTTTGAGTCGCGCTCACTCTCTTCTCCGTGGTCCATAGCCGTGGTTACTTGCAGTTTTCTACGGTTTAGACACAACCCCACCAAAATCCACTTTCGATTTCGAGCAGCTGCGTTTTTCTTCTTTTTTTAAAATTAAAAATAGGCGTGATGTTGCAAAATATTGATTGGGTAGTCTTCTGACACTAATAAATCGCAATGCAAAAAAAAAAAAAAAAAAAAGGAGGTGTCAGTGTCTCTTTAACAATAGAAATGTTATTTAAATTGTTAATAACATTTATCTGTTGTGTTCTCGTTGTCCGTGTTTTGCACAGTCCCTTGCATTTGACGCAGCTGCCTGAGGGGAAATAATGCAGGTAGTTCTTTCTTACTGGCTGACAACGAATGGACATGAGAAAAATGTTTAAGAAATGCTGGCATAGCTCGGAAAAAAGAATTTCGGCAGTGCTCGTTCTTTGCGTGTAAACTGATACCAGCTACATTCAGTTTATCCAAATGCATATTTGCCTTGGTAATAGTGCAATGCCTTTGGAAAATAGATGTTGGCAGGCCACAAAGACCGACATGTGCTAAAATTCATCTGATCTGTATTACCGGTGACGGATACAATTTTAATGCAAGCTTCTGTTTCGAATTTTATTCAAACAAATAGACGGGTGAAATGCTTCCATTATAAATTTTGATCAATTATCATGTTGCTAATACTTGAGTTGTATTGGTTTTAGACATTGCAAAATAACTGAGATAATTAAAGTATATATACCTAGAAGTAATCTTTTTACAAAGCCCATGTAAATTAGAAAACATTTTTTTTTTGCTGCGGCCCTATTATGCATCTGAATGATTGACTGCAGCTCGTACAATATCGCACCCAAAGAATTGGTACTGAGGTGCTGTGCCGTGTCTATGCGCCGAGAAGGTGAGGAAGGAGGAGATGAGGGCACGCGGGGACGTCAGTATGCTGAGCTCTGGTTGGAATGATTAGTGGGTACACCTAAAGCTAGCAGCCTTTGTCTCCATTGCACTTGTCAAATGCGTTAAAACACGGAATGCAGGCGTTCGCCATTTGGCTTTCGCATTTGAACGGGTTCCACGAATGCAGTGAAGATAAAGGCAGCAAGCTTTAGGTCTACCCACTAATCATTCGAATCAGAGCTCAGCATTCTGACATCCCCATGAGCTCTCGTCGTCTCCTCCCCCTCACTTTCTCGGTGCATTCTTTTGATAGCCGGTGCAATATCACCTCGACAAAAATGCCAGCAGTCACGTGATTGTTAACAGCCAATGAGAGCCAACTCCCTCTCCGCCAATGCTTAGAACCCTGCTTAGTGTCTCCTCGTCCTCCTTCGCTCCCTCTCTACTACTGTTGTTATTCTCCTCATTTGCTCTCATGGTCACTCAGGTGTGCAGTAGCTCGGAGGGGTTTGCATATACAGGTTGTCGCCTGTTTAACGCGCTGGAAGCTTTTGCTGTTATGTAGCAGGCACATAGTCAGAATTTTCTTACGGGGGGGTGCCCGTGTAGGTCAAAATGCTCTGGGTAGAAGAGGGGAAGAGGAGGTGGCAGCAAAACTGAAAAATTCTGGGGGGTGCTCGGGCCCCCTGGGCACGCCCCACGAATTTGTGCCTGTTATGTAGTATGATATGGACAATATTCCACAGGCCAGTAAGGCATGGTCCATAATAGTCGTCTGCTGCTGCCAAATATGGATGGACAGAACAGGGTCTGCTGGCATCATTTCACTCGGTCAGCTTTACGTCACAAAGAGCTTTCGATAAGACTCTGAGGAGCAGCCAACGCTTTATTAGGAGAAGCTAGGTCTCCCAGTGAAAAGTCTGCTGCCTGTCCAAGACTTATCGAACACTCTTTTTTACATTGTTCTCATCAGCTTCGACCTGCTTATGTTTTGTTTGGGCTTCAGTCGGCTGCCATCGAAGCCCCGGCACCAGGATTATGGCAAATCAATGTTATGTGAATATCACCTATTTGGGTCACTGATCATTTTTAGAAATTACTTTTTGAGAAGGATGGGCTCAATTTATATAGTACAACAGTCGAATCTCGTTAATTCGAACCCGAGAAGGACCGAAAATTTGTTTGAATAAAGCAAAGTTTGAATTACCGGGAGTTTCCTTCCATAGAGACACATAGGATGGGACCTGCATGTTAGTATGAATTATCCACAAGTTTGAATTAAGAGTGTTTTAAGTAACAAGATTTGACTGTAATACTTAAAACAAATATAACTACTATAATGATGTTGTTTCACCCATACATTGTTTGCAACTTTATCTGATAATAAACTTGCTTTCATTTCAGAACAACAAAAGTTGACTGTACAGCGTTTGTCAAGTGCAGCGCTAAGAAAGACATTCAGAAGCTCGTAATAGTTGATGTGTGCCTTAAGCACTCGAATCACGAGGTGAGTGAGGCCGTATTTCGGCACTACCCACAAAATCGCCGCCTGACTGCTGAGGAAGCACTTCTCGCCGCAGAACCTGTGAATGAGCTTCAATCAAACCCCTCACTTCTGCGAAGTTTCCTCCAAAACAAAACTGGAAAACCACTGACAGCAAAAGACATCGAGAATGTTGTTGCACGTCTCAAAGGAAGCAAGAAGCCAGATGTTGACCAACTTGCCGAAGAGATCAAAGAAATCTTTCGAAAAGATCCCACAGCAGCGGTAACTCTCGGAACAAGTGAATCCAACGAGATGGAGCTTCTTTTTATTCAAACTACCATGATGGCCCAGTTTTATGAAAAGTTTCCCGAAGTGTTGCTCCTCGACGGCACCTACAGGACCAACAACCTGAAAATGGCCCTCTTTGTTTTTATGGTGGTCGACGGAAATGGGTGTAGCCAGGTTGTGGCTTACTGCTTCGTAAGCAGCGAGGATCTTGCCCACATGGACACTATGATGAGGACCTTTGTGGGCCTGCAGGGAATGCAGAAGACAAAGTGTGTCATCGTGGACAAAGATTTCAAAGAAATAAGAGCCATCCGTGACAACTTTTCGCCAGACACTGTCATTCAGCTGTGTGAATTTCATGTGAAGAAGGCGTTGAAGAGGGCTGTTGGCAGCAGCAAGACGGACAATGACAAGAAGATGCTCAACAGTCTTTTGGAGCGGATGATCCATGCCCCAAATGAAGAGGCCTACCAAGATCTTAAAGCAGAATTGGACCGCACGGCCAGCAAAAGCTTCACAGAGTATTTCAACAAGAACTGGGATGGCATCCAGGACATGTGGGTTCGCTATCGTTGCGACAGACACTTCAACCTCGGCAACAACACCACGAACCGAGTTGAGTGTCACAATTCAAAACTGAAGGCAGTCTTGAAAGCAAATGACAAACTCCATGCAACTTTGAAGTCTATGCTTAAGCTCCATAGCATCAAGATAATTGAAGCAGAGCACAGGCATGCCCTCGATGCCACCACGACGTTCTTCACGTACAAGAGCAGCTCTGATCTAATTCAGCAATGCTCCTCACTGTTGACGCCGTTCGCTACACAGGCAGTAGTATGTGAGGAGGAACGAGCTAACAAGATGGCTGGAGCATCCATTGCAAATGATGGCGAGGACTACTCTGTCACAACTGAGAGAGGCGTGTATGAGGTACTCTACACTTTGGCGAGCTGCACGTGCAGAACTTTTACCACAATGGGAGTAATATGCCGCCATATAATTCTCGTATCGTGGCAAACAGGACGTGCGATTGACGTTGCTACGGCAACAAACTCCAGGTGGAAGAAAGCGTCGCAGCCGTACCTTCCTGCAGAAATCAGCAATCGGGGAGCACCACAGCTTCAGTGCATGCAGCTGAAAGAGCCAGACTACAGTACCGCTTCAAGAGGAGCGAAGTACAACCATGCTCTTTGTCTGCTGAAAGACATTGGGGACCTGGTGGCAGAGTGCGGTTCGGAAGAGTTCAAGTGCAGAATTAATCTAATCAAGAAACTAAAGGCCTTGTGGATGGAAAATAAGACTGTAGAAATTTGGTGCAGCAGTGGCACCGAAAGTGATGAAGATGCCTTCCCAGAGGACTGCAGTGACACAATTGCAAGAATCTCGGAAGAATCAACCCCTAGCAGCCGTGTCCGCATATCATTGTCATGCTTGCCAGACTATCAGGTACCAAGTCCCCTTCCATTGCATCTGTTTCATTTTTTTTAATCTATGTCCCTTCATCCAGTCCCCTGGTGCAGAGCCGCAGTCTCATGCAGAGCCTGTAACCCACACACCAGAAATAGTTTCTCGGCAAAGCCCTCAGGTACTTGTCATTCTCCCCTGCTTTTGATTATTTTTGACCTGTGCTATTTTATACAGTTCCCTGGCACAGCACCACGGCCACCTGCAATGCCCGCAGCCCAGCCTCTGACACCAGTGTCTTCCCAAGGCTACCAGGTAACTGAGTCCTTCTCCCATGCCTTCGAATGTTTTTGACCTGTGCTCTCATCCAGTTTCCTGGCACAACACTGCGACCATCTCCAGTGCCTGCAGCTAAGTCTCCGGCAGCAGTGTCTTCCCAAGGCTCCCAGGTACTGAGTCTTCTTCCCATGCATTTGAATGTTTTCTACCTGTGCTCTTTCATCCAGTTTCCTGGCACAGCACTCCGGCCATCTCCAGTGTCTGGAGCTAAGTCTTCAGCAGCAGTGTCTTCCCAAGGCTCCCAGGTACTGAGTCTTCTTACCTTGCCTTCGAATGTTTTTGACCTGTGCTGTTTCATCCAGTTTCCTGGCACAGCACTCCGGCCATCTCCAGTGTCTGGAGCTAAGTCTCCAGCAGCAGTGTCTTCCCAAGGCTCCCAGGTACTGAGTCTTCTTCCCTTGCCTTCGAATGTTTTTGACCTGTGCTGTTTCATCCAGTTTCCTGGTACAGCACTGAAGCCACCTCCAGTGTCTGGAGCTAAGTCTTCAGCAGCAGTGTCTTCCCAAGGCTCCCAGGTACCGAGTCTTCTTCCCTTGCCTTCGAATGTTTTTGACCTGTGCTTTTTCATCCAGTTTCCTGGCACAGCACTCCGGCCATCTCCAGTGTCTGGAGCTAAGTCTCCAGCAGCAGTGTCTTCCCAAGGCTCCCAGGTACTGAGTCTTCTTCCCTTGCCTTCGAATGTTTTTGACCTGTGCTGTTTCATCCAGTTTCCTGGCACAGCACTGCGGCCATCTCCAGTGTCTGGAGCTAAGTCTCCAGCAGCAGTGTCTTCCCAAAGCTCCCAGGTATTGAGTCTTCTTCCCTTGCCTTCGAATGTTTTTGACCTGTGCTGTTTCATCCAGTTTCCTGGCACAGCACTCCGGCCATCTCCAGTGTCTGGAGCTAAGTCTTCAGCAGCAGTGTCTTCCCAAGGCTCCCAGGTACTGAGTCTTCTTCCCTTGCCTTCGAATATTTTTGACCTGTGCTTTTTCATCCAGTTTCCTGGCACAGCACTGCAGCCATCTCCAGTGCATGTAGCTAAGTCCTCGGCAGCAGTGTCTTCCCAAGTCTCCCAGGTACTGAGTCTTTTCCCCTTGCCTTCGAATCTTTTTCACCTGTTCTCTTTCATCCAGTTTCCTGGTACAGCACTGAAGCCACCTCCAGTGCCTGCAGCTAAGTCTTTGGCAGCAGTGTCTTCCCGAGACTCCCAGGTACTGAGTCTTTTTCCCTTGCCTTCGAATGTTTTTGACCTGTTCTTTTTCATCCAGTTTCCTGGCACAGCACTGCGGCCGTCTCCAGTGTCTGGAGCTAAGTCTCCAGCAGCAGTGTCTTCCCAAAGCTCCCAGGTACCGAGTCTTCTTCCCTTGCCTTCGAATGTTTTTGACCTGTGCTGTTTCATCCAGTTTCCTGGCACAGCACTGCGGCCATCTCCAGTGCATGTAGCTAAGTCTCCGGCAGCAGTGTTTTCCCGAGACTCCCAGGTACTGAGTCTTTTTCCTTTGCCTTCGAATGTTTTTGACCTGTTCTTTTTTACCAGCTTCCTGGTACAGCACTGAAGCCACCTCCAGTGCCTGCAGCTAAGTCTCCGGCAGCAGTGTCTTCCCGAGATTCCCAGGTACTGAGTCTTTTTCCCTTGCCTTCGAATGTTTTTGACTTGTGCTCTTTCATCCAGTTTCCTGGCACAGCACTGAAGCCATCTCCAGTGCATGTAGCTAAGTCCTCGGCAGCAGTGTCTTCCCAAGTCTCCCAGGTACTGAGTCTTTTCCCCTTGCCTTCGAATCTTTTTCACCTGTTCTCTTTCATCCAGTTTCCTGGTACAGCACTGAAGCCACCTCCAGTGCCTGCAGCTAAGTCTTTGGCAGCAGTGTCTTCCCAAAGCTCCCAGGTATTGAGTCTTCTTCCCTTGCCTTCGAATGTTTTTGACCTGTTCTCTTTCATCCAGTTTCCTGGCACAGCACTCCGGCCATCTCCAGTGTCTGGAGCTAAGTCTTCAGCAGCAGTGTCTTCCCAAGGCTCCCAGGTACTGAGTCTTCTTCCCTTGCCTTCGAATATTTTTGACCTGTGCTTTTTCATCCAGTTTCCTGGCACAGCACTGCAGCCATCTCCAGTGCATGTAGCTAAGTCCTCGGCAGCAGTGTCTTCCCAAGTCTCCCAGGTACTGAGTCTTTTCCCCTTGCCTTCGAATCTTTTTCACCTGTTCTCTTTCATCCAGTTTCCTGGTACAGCACTGAAGCCGCCACCTCCAGTGCCTGCAGCTAAGTCTTTGGCAGCAGTGTCTTCCCAAGGCTCCCAGGTACCGAGTCTTCTTCCCTTGCCTTCGAATGTTTTTGACCTGTGCTGTTTCATCCAGTTTCCTGGCACAGCACTGCGGCCATCTCCAGTGCATGTAGCTAAGTCTCCGGCAGCAGTGTTTTCCCGAGACTCCCAGGTACCGAATCTTTTTCCTTTGCCTTCGAATGTTTTTGACCTGTTCTTTTTCATCCAGCTTCCTGGTACAGCACTGAAGCCACCTCCAGTGCCTGCAGCTAAGTCTCCGGCAGCAGTGTCTTCCCGAGATTCCCAGGTACTGAGTCTTTTTCCCTTGCCTTCGAATGTTTTTGACTTGTGCTCTTTCATCCAGTTTCCTGGTACAGCACTGAAGCCACCTCCAGTGCCTGCAGCTAAGTCTCCGGCAGCAGTGTCTTCCCAAGGCTCCCAGGTACTGAGTCTTCTTCCCTTGCATTCAAATGTTTTTGACCTGTGCTCTTTCATCCAGTTTCCTGGCACAGCACTCCGGCCATCTCCAGTGTCTGGAGCAAAGTCTCCAGCAGCAGTGTCTTCCCAAGGCTCCCAGGTACCGAGTCTTCTTCCCTTGCCTTCGAATGTTTTTGACCTGTGCTCTTTCATCCAGTTTCCTGGCACAGCACTGCGGCCGTCTCCAGTGTCTGGAGCTAAGTCTCCAGCAGCAGTGTCTTCCCAAGGCTCCCAGGTACCGAGTCTTCTTCCCTTGCTTTCGAATGTTTTTGACCTGTGCTGTTTCATCCAGTTTCCTGGCACAGCACTGCGGCCATCTCCAGTGCATGTAGCTAAGTCTCCGGCAGCAGTGTTTTCCCGAGACTCCCAGGTACTGAGTCTTTTTCCTTTGCCTTCGAATGTTTGTGACCTGTTCTTTTTCATCCAGCTTCCTGGTACAGCACTGAAGCCACCTCCAGTGCCTGCAGCTAAGTCTCCGGCAGCAGTGTCTTCCCGAGACTCCCAGGTACTGAGTCTTTTTCCCTTGCCTTCGAATGTTTTGACTTGTGCGCTTTCATCCAGTTTCCTGGTACAGCACTGAAGCCACCTCCAGTGCCTGCAGTTAAGTCTCCGGCAGCAGTGTCTTCCCGAGACTCCCAGGTACTGAGTCTTTTTCCCTTGCCTTCGAATGTTTTTGAACTGTTCTTTTTCATCCAGCTTCCTGGTACAGCACTGAAGCCACCTCCAGTGCCTGCAGCTAAGTCTCCGGCAGCAGTGTCTTCCCGAGACTCCCAGGTACTGAGTCTTTTTCCCTTGCCTTCGAATGTTTTTGACCTGTGCTCTTTCATCCAGTATCCTGGTACAGCACTGAAGCCACTTCTAGTGCCTGCAGCTAAGTCTCTGGCGGCAGTGTCTTCCCAAGACTCCCAGGTCCTGAGTCTTCTTCCCTTGCCTTTGAATGTTTTTGACCTGTGCTCTTTCATCCAGCTTCCTGGTACAGCACTGAAGCCACCTCCAGTGCCTGGAGCTACGTCTCCAGCAGCAGTGTCTTCCCAAGGCTCCCAGGTACTGAGTCCCTTGACTTCGAATGTTTTTGACCTGTGCTCTTTCATCCAGTTTCCTGGCACAGCACTGCTGCCACCTCCAGTGCCTGCAGCTAAGTCTTCGGCAGCAGAAGGCTCCCAGGTACTGAGTCATTCTCCCTTGCCTCCTAATGTTTTTGACCTTTGCTGTTTCATCCAGTTTTCTTGTACAGCACTGTGGCTATCTACAGTGCCTGCAGCTAAGTCTCTGGCACCAGTGCCTCCAAAAAGCTAGTTATTCATACGAGGGAAATCAAACACTTCTTTCTGTGGCGTGCGTATCATTTGACGATGACGTCATGCCTTTCTGAGGCGGCGCGGTGACGCACAGCTCTGCGTCCAAGGGTGGAGGATGTGCTCACACGGTACAAATGCTTCTCGGTTTCTCCGGCTTGACGTAAGCGGAGCTGTAGTGGAAGGGGTCCCACTGGCTGATGTCACACACATCTGTCCGTGAACTTTTTTTTTTTTTTTGTGTGATACCGCATAATCTTCTGGCACAAGAGCCTCACCAAGGCTCCTAGGTACAAAAAATCCTTATCTCTTACCTTTGATTTCTCATTTCTTGCAGCTCCCAAATGCAGCAGGGCTGGAGGAAGGGGTGCTGAGGAAGTCTCTTTCCATGAAATTGAGCCAAGGTTTCCAGGTCTGGAGTCCTTGGTTTTGTGTTTGAAAACTTTGTTAATTTTCATTATTTTAACCCTGGAGAGTGGGGACAGCAAGGACAACAGAACACAGATCTGTGTCGTGTTGTCCTTCTTGTCCCCACTCTCCAGGGTAAAAATAATATCTAAACTCAACCAGCTCGCATGCGCCCTTGCTTTAACTTTGTTAATTTCTCATTTCTTGCAGCTCCCAGATGCAGCAGGACCAGAAGAAGGCTTGCTGAAGAAGTCTTTCTCTATGGAATTAAGCCAAGGTTTCGAGGTTTGGAGTACTAGGGTTTGTTGTTGAAATCTTTGTTAATTTTTCATTTCTTACAGCTCCCGGATGCAGGAAGACCAGTGAAAGGGTTTCCGAGGAAGTCTCTTTCCATGGAATTGAGCCAAGGTTTTGAGGTCTGGAGTCCTTGGTTTAGATTTTGAAACCTTTGTTAATTTCTCGTTTCTTGCAGCTCCCGGATGCAGCAGGACTAGAAGAAGGCTTGTTGAAGAAGTCTTTCTCTATGGAATTTAGCCAAGGCTTCGAGGTCTGGGGTACTAGGTTTTGTTTTTGAAATCTTTGTTAATTTCTTTTTTTCTTGCAGCTCCCAGATGCAGCAAGACCAGAAGGCTTGTTGAAGAAGTCTTTCTCTATGGAATTAAGCCAAGGCTTCGAGGTCTGGAGTACTATGTTTTGTTTTTGAAATCTTTGTTAATTTCTCGTTTCTTACAGCTCCCAGATGCAGCAGGACCAGAAGGCTTGCCAGAGAAGTCTCTCCCTATGGAATTAAGCCAAGGTTTCGAGGTCTGGAGTCTTTGATTTAATTTGTTCTAGAAAACTTTGTTAATTTCTCGTTTCTTGCAGCTCTCGAATGCAGCAGGACCAGAAGGCTTGCCGATGAAGTCTCTCCCTATGGAATTGAGCCAAGGTTTTGAGGTCTGGAGTCCTATGTTTTGTTTTTGGAATCTTTGGTAATTTTTGGTTTCTTGCAGCTCCCAGAGTCAGCAGGACCAGATGAAGAGTTGTCAAAGGAGATTATGCCTGTGCAACTTAGCCAAGGCTTGGAGGTATGAAGGACTGGTGCCTTTCTCTCAATTGCTTTTTAACAATTTTTTTTTTTGTTTAGTCTTCTGATACAGCAGTAAGTGCAGCAGTGAACAGTGCCCTGCAAGGCGTGAGGCTGTCAGCTCGCAAGCGACCACGTGGAAACCCCTGTGGATCCAAAGACTCCTGCACAGGAACTAGATTTCCTTCTAGAAAGAAGGCAAACCAAGCTTCATTAAATTGTTTATTTGCAGCGCTTCCCACAAAAGAGAAGACATTGCGTAAGTGCATTCATTAGGCATTTCATTGGTGTAACTTAGTTGCATAAATAAGTGTTGTGGTAATTTATAGGTATGCTGCACTGGTTCGTCGATGGTGAGACTGCATCCGACACATTGAAAGATGGGTACTGCATACAGGAACGGGATATCTCTGTCACCTCTAAATCATTGTCAAGTGGTGCCTTAGACACCCGAGCACCAATTCTCACATTGAAGAAGTACTTCTCTCGAGCTGCTTGGTGCAAAATCAACGAACTTCGTACGTATAGGATCTAGCTTTAAAATTTTATGTAGTTTTTCTACTGCACTTGTGTTTTTGACTGTAGAATAGAATCCTGTTTTTATTTTTTCTAATGTTTCAGTGAAAGAAAAGAAAGAGCAAGGTCTGTGGTTTTGCCATAAATGTGACCTCGAAGATGACCACACCATCAAGATGATAGCGTGTGACCTGTGCATGGAGTGGTACCACTGGTGAGCTAATGACTCTACTTAAAACTGTATTTTAATGCAAGCTAAATATAAAACTTACTCATGCAGAGCATATGTGCAAGTGTGGAGAAAAGCTTCAGCTCAAATTTTCCAAGAATGTAGCATAGAAAATGCCTAAAAAGAAGTTATTCTCACTACTTTTGTTGTGTCCTAACCTTGCAATGTGACTGCCATCTGAGCAAGTGCTTTTTTTCTTTTCTGAAGGCCTTGCGTAGGTATCGGCAAGAAAACTGTTCCCAGAGGGGATTGGTTCTGCTACAACTGCAAATAGGAAAACAACAAGGATCTAGACACTACAAGTCACGGACAAGAAAATGATCACAAGAAAATAATCTCCTGAGCCAGACGGTCAACTTGGAGTAACTTCTCTATTTCCTGTGTATACTGTGACTCAACGTGTGGATCTTATTTTTCTTGAAGTAACTTAGGTTTCCAGAAAGATTGATTATTCCAGAAAGAAGATTGATTATATTTATATTGCCTATGGACCGTTTTGTTGGTCTTCAAGAAGTTTTTTCGATTGTTAACATAATTTTGCATCTTCCAGATTTTTTAAAATGTATTATTATTTTTTTTAATGTTTTGACAAGCTTTACATTCTTTATTTTTCAGTGATATCTACTGCATTGCATGTGTCATGAGTGTGCTTTTTATTTTTGTTTTGAGGCGTTTTTTTAGTATATGAAATTTGTGTGGATTATTCTTAACATTTCTTAATGTTAATTTTGGTATGTTTCAATGCATCTTGTATAATTTTTAATGATTCATTTATATTTTCTTTGTCATGTGTCAATTCTTATCTTCAACTGTCTTTAGCAGTGTGGCAGTATTTTAATTCAGTTTACCGTTTTAGCATGTCATGGAGTCGCACTCAAGGGTTTATTTTCGCTCATTGTTTACTGTACTGTACATTTCAATGCTAGACTCACTATTACAAACAATTATGCACAGATGTTGGGACATATTAGGTCCTGGATGTCAAGTAAGCTTCTAGATGTACCACATTTTGTCATGTGAATCCTGCATTTCATGTTCTTGAGTTTTCGATTTTTATATCTTGACCTGTAGCACATTTCAAACGATTTTGACTTTAACTGCTGCTGTTTTTCTTCCTGCTTTTCCACTGAACTTTTTGAAATATGGTTTCTTCTTGATACTTGAAAATAAATTGTACAATGGTCCAAATAATGCCTCTCTTGCAATTTGTATCAATAAAAACATTTGATAATCCTCAATGTACTAGTTATTTTGTGCAACATGAGCCATCATTGCATATCTGGAACAAGATTTACCTTCGGATACATGCCCTTTTGCATAAGGGCACTGCTTTAACCGTTTTGCTTAATGCACAGTTAGAGAATTCCACATGCAGTGTTACAGGGAACTGACATGGTGTAACATATCGTCCAAGAATGGAACAGGAACTCGGTCTGCTCCGATCTGCTCGCTGAGGCTATGGTTTTTTTCTGTTTACTATGTTATGCTAAAACAGAGTATTGTCATAGTCATTGAAGTTCCCTCCTAATGACGTTTCCTCTAACTTTCCCTTGTTTTGCTGGTTGATGGATATTCTGATACAACACATTTCGAGGAAAGGCACCAAGGTAATGTATTTCCACTTTGGCGTGTTGTTGCTCGTGCAGAAATATGGCTGTGCTTCTATACAGCGCGGTGCCTTCTGTTCCTGTAGTTTCTAAGTGTGAAGAAGCCAAGAAAGTACAGCGGTGCAGCAGTTGCATCTCTTAGTAACAGTGTAAATTTCATGTCTAAATTCTGCTTCAAAGTTCTTTTTGTTTTTTTCTTTCTTAATGCACAGTAACTGAATTCCTTTTCGTTTGCTAGCCAGATTTCATTGAGTTTCTAAGTTGCGGCATTCGATCCCAGTTATTAAAGTTGTTGGCGAGGTTTAGATGCATGTCATAACAGTTACAGACCAACATTTTTCGACAAGGTTCCATCGCGAGCGGCTTTGCAAAATCCTTTTTTCGCGAGCGCTCGCGAAAGCATTCAACAAAGCCGTGCTCCCGCGCTCAAATTAATCAAGATTCTAACAAAGCTCACATTATCTCGAACAGCCAGGAAGCGCGAGACTCTAATCCGCACCGTCCACCCCGCCTCACAGCCCCCCAACTGCCCCAACCCCGCACCGCTGCACCCCTGCACTTACCCACTGTGGCGCTACCACACACACACGCCAACGAAAAGGCGTTGCACCATCGTTGTGTTGCACACACACACACACACACACAAATTAATAATAAATTTGCGCGTATTCGCACTTTGGGTGCGGATAAAAAACGACCCTTATTCGCACCCTGGGTGCGGATAAAAATGAGTCCTTATTCGCACCCCGGGTGCGGATAAGAATGCGTCCTAATTCGCACCTCGGGTGCGGATAAAAATCCGCCCTTATTCGCACTTCCGGTGCGGATAGGGACAGCCGGGAGTTAACATCACAATGGGCGCGTTCAGTAGCGCCTCCCTTGCCTCCGAACGGAGTGCCTCGAGTTGGAGTCATCGAAGCGCCTACTGAACGGCAAAAAAACCCGCGGCTCCAAACCTGCTTCTACGCAACTTCCGCTTCCTCCCCTGTGCCAGACAGTCTCCGAATAAACTGGAAGCAGACGATGGCGAGCACGATCGCTTTTATTTGACGCCGGTATTGAAGAAGTCTTTACAAGGTCGTTGAAGAAGAAGCGGGTGATTGTACACATCAGCGCTGCTGTTCGAAGCGATGCAACGTGATCGAGTCCTTCGCTTGGCGGTGCAAAGGCAGCTGCTGTTATAAAAGCCGATAAAAAAACGTCGTCAGCACACGCAAAATACAGAGCTCAGCGAATCTACCCCACCGGTTGCGATACTTTCATACGGCCATATGTTTGTCCTGCCCTTCGTAACGAACTTCCTATAAAATGTATTCGTATACACACGGGAAGTTCGGCCGCGCTCGGCGATCAAGGTTTTGTCGGCCGAAGCGAGCCTCAGCCAACGTGCACCCCGATTTAGCTACGCAAACAAAACTTTAATCGGTATCATGCTCTGCGTGACTGTCCAACCGGCTTCCAAAGTCGCGTTCATACCCTGCCTTGCTCTGTTCAGCGCGGACAGGACTATCGTCGATATTCACAGAGTTCCCGTGCAACGGTGATCAAGACACGGCGTCAAATGAACGTTTGCGTTGTTTATTAGCATATTCAAACCAAACAAAATACGGTCCAATGCATTTTCCAAAAGAGCCTTACCTGAAAAAGATATTCGAACGCGTTATTCGTCTTACCTCGAGCACTTTTCATTAACAAAAGCGAGCAAACGGCGCACCCGCGATTGAACCGAAGCAGCTTATCCCGCCATATTGTTTGTTTTTTCCTCTTTTAGCACCGGAAATCGTCACCAGTCAGGAAATTACGTCATTTTAGCTCCTTTGACTCTACGTGCACCGTCTCCGGACTCGGTGCTTCGGAGCTTGACTCCGATGCCCCGGATGCCCCGGAGTTACGTGCACCGGAAGTGACTTTTGGCCGTCCAGTGGAAGGAGTCAGTGACTCCTTGACTCCGGGGCCGCTACTGAACGCGCCCAATACACCCTCGCGTTTGCCGATTTCAAAGCGCGCTAGCCGCTCGTTGGCTAGGCCTAGCGTGGCGTGGGACCCCTCGTTGGAAACAGCAGTTCTTTCTCTTTTGTTTACGCCCCGGCTTTTCGTTCAACGCCGGACATTCAGGCGAGAGAACCCCCGCGAAAACATCATTCAGAAAGAGCTATGAAACGCTCTAAGGGCTCCTATTGGGCAGCTCGACGCATTCGGAGCTCTGATTCGCTCGGACACGCCACGTGACTAAAAAGAGACTCGCTCGCCCGCGTGAACGCTTGTTTCGTTTTCTACCTGCGTAGTGCGCGCGCTCTTGCTTTTTTTACGGTCTTCGAGTTTATCGATACGATGCCGGCGGTGAATGGCAGGAAATCGTTCACGTTTGGTGCTCGGAAGCGTAAGCGTGGAAAACCGAGAGGCATTGAAGGAGGTCGACCTCGCAAAACCGCTGCACCGCCGTCCCCGAGTCGTCCGGAGTCGTCGGAACAATCGCAGTCTTCAAGCCCGTCACCGTCTCCTGGCCCATCGCCGCCTGAAGACTTGGACTTGGACTGTGTGGGACAATCGAGGCTTCTGTCGCCGCTTCCAACTCCTGACACCCCAAAGGAAGATGAGCTGACCGCGATTGAGCGCAAGATGGAAATGCTACGGCGGGACGAGTGCTCCGGAGAGCCGCTAGGCCTAGATGAGAGCCGTGACAGCGGCGAACTCGAAGGCTACCGCTTGCTCGAAGTTTCTTGTGTCAAGGCTTTGGTGGGAGCTCTGCTGTGCCCAGAGTGTGCCGGGTCTTGCCTGGAGCTAAAGGAAAGTGGCCAAGGAGCGCTCCTCGGGTTTATCGTCGAGTGCCCGTCGTGTGGAGAGGTGGCGAGCGCACCGCACTCGTCGAACATCGGCGACACTCGCCAGAATGAACTTTCCGCGCGTATCGGACTAGCCGCACGCGACTGCGGCATTGGTTTCACCAAGTTGTCCAACCTCTTTTCTGGCATGAACGTACCTCCACCGATGTGCCTGAAGTCTTCGCAGAAGATAGCATCAAAAGTGCATGACGCAGCTACGAAGGCCGCCAGCAAAGTGATGCAGAGCGCGGCGCAGTCCATACGTCAAGCAGAGAAGTCCGGAGACGACAAACTTTTGGACGTGTGCATTTCGTACGACGGGACTTGGCATAAGCGTGGCCACACCTCCCACTTTGGTGTTGGCGTGGCAGTGGAACTGAACAGCGGCCTGGTGATAGACTACAGTGTACAGAGCAACTACTGCCAGGTGTGCGCTCAAGGCCCAAAGCCAGGGTCTCAGGAATATGAAGAATGGTTTGAAAGCCACAGCCCTGACTGTCAAAAGAATTTCCAGGGGTCTGCTCATGCCATGGAAGTGGAAGCTGCTTCAGTCATTTTTGGGCGTTCTGTGGAGCGACACAACATGCAGTATACCACGGTACTCTGCGACGGTGACAGCAAAGCGTTTTCAAAGGTTGCTAGCCTTGGTCTATACGACAAGGAAGTGAAGAAAGAGGATTGCATCAACCACGTTGCAAAGCGTATGTATGCTGGCCTGGATGCTCTGAAGAAGGCAAAGAAAGGCCTTGGTGGAAAGGGCAAGCTGACGAACGTGAGGATGAAGCAGCTGACAAATTACTATGCCTGCGCCCTGAAGGACAATGCCCCAGATGTCCCAGCGATGCAGCGGGGAGTGTTTGCCACACTCCTGCACTCTTACTCGACAGACGACGAGCCACGACACACAGCTTGCCCCACTGGAAGAGACTCCTGGTGCCACTTCAACAGGAGCAAGGCACTTGAGGCTGCAGGAGAGCCACCTGCGTCCAGGCCCCACAAGCCAGCCTTTTCCAGGGAGTTAGCCAAGGAGCTGGTGCCCGTCTACAATCGCCTTTCGCGTAGGGACTTGCTCGAGCGCTGTTCGAGGATGAAAACTCAGAACGCAAATGAATCGTTTAATTCTCTAGTGTGGAAGAGGTGCCCCAAGGTGGAATTTGCCTCCCTCAAGACCGTCGAGTCAGCTGTGGCTCTGGCAGTCCTCGAATTTAACCTGGGACCTCGAGGCTTTGAGCATGCCCTTTCCGAGATGGGAATCAAGCCAGGGAGCCATCACACCGTGCATGCTGCGAAGGCCACCCGAAAGAAGATTGGAAAGGCCCAAAAAAAGGAACTAGAGTCGTCCAAAGCGTCGCACAAGCGGAGAAAGATGGAAGCCGTGGCTAAGGCGCAGAAGGACCGTGAAGAAGAAGGACTTACCTATGGCCCTGGAGCGTTTTAAGTGATATAGTAAGCACTGTTTTCAGCCGAACACTGTTTGATCTTTCAAACACATTTTTCTCAGTTTGTCATTTTGAACACTTTTCCATTTTTGAAAAACTATCATTTTTTAGAGTTTGGACTGAGACTCCTGAAGTGTTGTTTTTCTGGAGTGAAATTTACTGAAGAATTTAGTAAGGCACTTTGTTTTTAATAATTTTGAGTTGTTCACCAAGAAAAAGTTGATTTTAGAAAAAGTCATATGAGAGAAAAATGAAGCCATTTTTAAATTTCCTGTTTTCATGCTGATGCTTGCTATATTAAATATTGCTACATACCTTACTTTGTTCATCACTTATTGAACATTACATATATGCAAGAAAAGTTGGAATTTTTCTCTTTTTTTTTGAATGATAGATTTTTTTCGTTGGTGCTGCATCAGTCTTCTTTTTTATAACAAATTGCACCGTAACTTGGCAAAAAATCTTCCCTGTTGGTTGAAATTTTGCATGCCCTCCCAAGTTTGCATAACTAACATATGGTAAAAGTTTCATTGCAATCGGCAAACTATTAAAAAAGTAGACCCCTGTAGGCCGTGCCTCCCCTTAAGAGCAGAGCACAATTGTGACAACTTCTGGGGTGCTGAAAAGACCACTGGCAGGTTATACTTGTAAGCCACTCGCTTAACCTCAAGGGAGAGGGCGTGGACGTAAGGCACCACCACTGGCCTTGTTGTCGGCTTTTGTCTAACCTTGGGACTGGGTCGACCCCTAAACTCCTTTATCGGGGACTCGGCTACACCCACAATCAACGTCATTGAATTGTGGGTGTAGCAGTTGTAGGTCGACCCCGCTAGCCACTTAGCGGTACATTGCAGAATGGTGCAGCTGCATGCCTTTGTTCAATAACCTGACGATCCTGGCGCATAACAAAAATAAGACCGCCAGAGAGATTGAAGAGGCCTTTTTTATTTTATCAAAGGGGGAAGGGGAATGTGTTAGCGCACTTGTCGGTGCACTTGGGGTTGACGAAGTCCTTTTTATCAAGAACAGTGGCTAGCATGTGTGGAAGAGATATGACGTAAAACAAGTCTTGTTTATCGGGTTGCATTTTTGTGTCTTGATTGGTTCTTTCCTCTCTGCTTCCAGTGTTTATTTTCTGGTTCGATTGAAAAACAAACTTTCAGTTGATAGTCAGCGCTGTGTCCGTGCACTTCTTCTACTCGTCCTTTGTCAATTTTTTTGCGTTTCCACTTTTGAAGATGATCAACCAACTCGCCCAACTTATTGCCCGGTTAAAACATTTTGGATTCTGTGAATATTTGAATTTTCGAGTAGTACTGTACCTAGTTTCGATTAACATGCTGTATTTGATATTCGCTGTGAGACAAACTGCGATAATATTTGTATTTTACAAAGTGTCGATGGCGGCAGGTTAGCCTTATTGAGTGCATTTCTTACCGAGCACTAGTGCACTGCAGAGAAACAATACCTGCAGAGTTCGCTTCTGTGGGCGTTGCTTCTACGCAGCGCACTGGTGCTCGTTAAGAAGTGCACTCGACGTAGCTGACCCGCTGCCATCGACACTTCGAAAAATATGAATATCGTGGTTCATCTCGAAGCAAATATTGAATAATGTATTATTCGAAACTAGTATTTGAAAATTCGAATATTCGCGCATTCCTACTGCGTTCTCGCTAGTGAAGCGGCTCTATACGTCAGGTGCCCACATCCCCGACGTTTCCCTGCGCTCCCAGAGGTGGCCGTGTTTGCAGCCAAGACAGCCAGCGTCTCCCACAAGGCTGTCGCAGCGTCCACGGCTGCCTTGCTTCACCTGCTGGCGTTGCTATACTTCCACTTTGCATACCACAGAATGGTCGAAGGTGTGCATGGGCTCAAATAAGGCTAGCATAGCTGGTCTTATTTATGTATTTATTTTTTATCGTGCCTACCAACAGCCATGGGTATAGCTACGGTATAACTATAACATAAGATAATGTATAATATTATATAACTATAGCATAATACCTAATATAACAATGCAAGGCCAGCAACTGTTTCGTGCCATGTAGCTTGCACAGTGCTGCAGGCCAACACATCTGCGAGAGCACATGCATGTAACTTCCTTTTGCGTTTCCGCCTGCTCGCACAACTAGTTGTGACAGCTTTGGAGCACCGCAGAAGCTAGGCTAGCATGGACAGTATTGCACGAAATACTAGGTGCCGAATATTGTGCCACCAGGCGGACGAAGAGGCAACACTGCTTGCCAGAGGGTGGGGAGAAGGGGTATCTAGTATTTTATGGCATTTGTGTTCTAACTTGGCAAGTGAAAAAACAAAGTTTTGGGGGGTCGGTCTCTCTTTAATTTAAAACGTAGCCAACATTACGAGCAGACAAGGTCAATGAAGCAGCGCTAAAAGCACAACAGCACGGCACTTCCCGTCTTGTGCGTTTCCTCTCGCCGTCTTAAAGGGATACTTCAACGAAATTTGAAATATTTCCGTCGTGTTCAAAAATGGGTTGAATATTGTCCACAATATCCGTAAATGACAATCGCACGTTTGTATTTTGATCCTGGTGGCTGTATTTTTCGTTATAAACGGCCCACTCTGGCAAGCGCTTGGAGAAGGCCCAGCTTAGAGCACGTGACATCCAACGCAATCGTGACGTAGGTCGTCTCAAGACGAGCAAAGCTACGGCGAGGCTGACATCGAGAGGATGGCCTAGTCGCTCCAGCCACCGAAGCGGCTGCTTTTGTACGAATTTTGAGTGACGGGTTAATCTTCTATAATCTTCTAGGGGGACAAGAGCGACTTCTGCGACACACAAAAGGGATTCTCGGGAAGAGGGGAGTTCCACCTTCCCCCCTTCTCTCGTCGTGGCCGGAGAAGAGACAACCTCTGTCACTAGCTGTCAAGGTTCCTAGACGAGCATTACAAACGAGGCGTTAGCGACATCCACCAGGTGCTCCTTGCTAATCGTTTAATTCGTTTTAAAATTCCTTTTCGAGACTTTTTTAACAAGATATTGGTATGTTCCATGTGATACTGCTCTTTTGAACACACATAGACCAAAAAATGAGCGCCGAAATTTCGTTGTAGTATCCCTTTAACCAATCGAGCACAGAGACAGTGCCGCGACTTTGCGTTCTTAGTTTGTGCGGGTGTGTCTTCTGGCCTTTGACTGCACTGTAAATAACTTTGGGTGAAACGCTGTATAGTTGAATCGTTATTTTCAGATTAACCAAACAAAACGGGTCTCGCCAGCCAAGATGCTCCGAAGTAAATTAAATTTCTTTTTTCATACAGTTGTCTGCTGTGTGTACGAGAAGATCCTCGTGTGCCAAATCTTTAAAAAACAAAAATATTTTTGTCTTTTTCAGCTCTGGACGGCATTTAGAGCATCCAAAGGTTCCACGAACCGACAACTTCTGTACAGATACAAGAGTGTTTCTTAGGTTTGACGACCCTATGTAGTCTGTGACACACTTGAAAGTGTGACGACTTGTTGCAACACTGATTTTTCTATGCCTTACTTACACCTGGTATTTCGAAATGCTCTCGTCATTTTCTGCAATTCATTTGTGTCGTTTCGAGTCGGTTTGCCCTGAAAGCCGATCAAGCGCCACGCGCCGTGGTCTTGTTTCGGAAATAAAAAGGGGTTCTAGCTTTCAGTGATCCTTGTGTAGTTTCTCTGTCTGTCATGTCCATTCTGCCATGAGAAGTTGAAATTGTACTTGTGATTGCCTCTTTTTGGCTCGGGAGAGCCGCAGCACCACAGAAATATCGGGTACTTATGAGAAAAGAGAACCATGTGGTTTGGCCCGTGTAAAAAAACTACCGTATTTACTCGCATAATCCTCGCACTTTTTTTTGCGCAAAATTGATGGAAAGTTGGGGGGTGCGAGAAATATGCGGGAAAAATTTTCTGCAAAACGAAGAGCTCTAAAAAAAGAAGAAAGAAAAAAAGCGGCTGCAAATTGGGGTTTTTGCGCCTGCAGCTACCTACAAGGTTTAAGAACTACGAATGAAAAACTTACCTTAAAAAAAAAAAAGAACAGGTTCAACACAAAGCAAGATTTATTTGCAAACACAGTCTGAGTTAAGACTTACCTACGTCGCTGATAACGAATCCCGGATAGGAGCTCACCCATTTTTTCACCGACACGGACAAAAGCTCACCGGGAGAAAGTTTCATGTTGGTCTTAACTCGAGCGCGGACAAGTTAGGTGCAGGTGTGCAACACTAAAATGCGACAATAAATCGAATCTGACAGATGCATACGGTTTGTTGATTAGAGTGTTTTAGTAACGTTGGGGTCAAGGGAGGCGCTACTGAAAGTTTCGATTAGGGGTGTCGCGAACCGGCCGAGGTTCGAGTTCGACCAGGTTCGACTTTTTCGAACTTTTAGTGGAAAATTCGACGAACCTTGTATTGAGGTTCGACTCGTGTGCACATGCGCGACAGGCTGGCTAGTTGGCTTCGGATTGGATGCTGATGGCTAAGGGATAAATTAAGGGCAGCGCTGATCGGTTATTTCACTCAATACAGTACACAAAAAATAAGTTATTAACTTCTACAATGATTAAAATTAGTTTCTTTTAATAGCAACTGTTTATACAATAAAATAACCCTTTTCTTAAAAAAGAGTTGTCCAAACCTAGACATGCTTGTATCAAGGTCTGGCCACACTGTCCACAAAGTCGAACCGGTCGATTCTGGTGAAAAGTTCGAAGGTTCGTCGAACCCCGAAAGTTCGACCTAAAAATCTGGTTCGACAAAAGTTCGCGACACCCCTAGTTTCGATATGGCGCTACGGCGCTACTGTCATGGCGGATGGATCGATGGATGGATGAATGCGGCTGAGCCCTTTGGATCGGGCGGTAGCTTATGCCACCTAGCCATTTTGTTTTACCATTTAAGCTTAGAATATTTAGGTCGCTAGGTCAGCTAGGTGGTATCGCGAGCGCGTTCGCGATGCCACCATAGAGTAATATACACAAGGTAAAGAGCGGACACTGCCATAGGCCCCAGCGGCCCAGATAGACCTGTGACAGGTAGCGCTCCTAGCGGGCGGTATTAAGCATAATCTCATTCCGTTTCCGGTCAAGTTAGTTTCGGTTTCGGTTCAGGCGTTTCTGCTCCGGTTCTCCGGTACTCCTCTCTCTTTCCTCCCCGCCTCGCTCGGCTCTCGGGACTCCCGAAGCCGCTGCTTTTTTTTTTTTTTTTTTTAATACTGACGCACTTTTGCTTTATTTTTTACGATAGAGTCCGTGCAAAATGTGTCAAACAATATTTCAACTTACTTCACAAAGCAGAAGTATATATATTTCTTGTTCTTTTTTTATTGTAAAGCATTGAAGTTACACAATCGCCGCATTGACTCCTGACTGGTGGAGCATTTTGGGGTCACCAACAATAAGTGGTTCGAACACATTTTATTGGACCACATTCATGTATACAAGATCTACTTCAGGAGCTCTCTATGTTTTATACGAAAGAGATCGATACTCACAAAAATAAATGATTATGAAGGACTTCAGCATATCGTACACTTCGTAATAGATTCTTAGCGGAACCAAGTTAACAAAACCTTTCCACGGAGAACATGCTGTATGATACATTCACTTTCACGCCGACTCGGGTACGGGAAGTAAGTGCAAAAATAAATAAGACATCGCTATCATTACCAGTCATAAAAGTATAATAACAGTGCGAAGCACACGCCGGATAGTACAAATTCCCGATTTCCGGCAAATATAAAAAAACACCAATTTGCCTAGCCTCAAACTCACTGCGGGCGAGCCATTAGCAAACAATGAGAACTCTATTCGAAATCTGACAAGATTCAACGTCCCTAAACATCCCCCGAAATTGTTCAGAAAAAAGCGGCTAAAAAACTATGGACAGTGGATACAAAAGTGGATACATTTTCTTTCAAATATTTTTAGCCTCTATACACAATTTTCTGTCGAAATTTTGTAGAAAGTGGACAAATATTTTTGTTAGGGAGCCGTGATACACATTCGCTGGAAAAAGGGGAAACAAATGTTTGGAGAGCAAGCTGCAGCGCCCACTTGATAAGCACTTTTTGTTTTTGGTTTGGCAACCGCCTCTGTTAATACACTATTAACAGTTAAACCTGTCTCGTTGCTTACTAGCCACCGAAGAGTGCAACCGAACTTTGTCCAAATTCCGGTCAAGAAATCAAACATGTCAACACAAGCGTAATCTGCAAAACAATCTTAAAAACCTTTTGTGGTACTCCTCTGGGCAAAGGATAAAACCACCCAGACCTCAAAGTGTGCTATACAAGGCGGCACACACTCCTCGAACATGTGTCACACTCTCTATTATGGGAAGAAAGTGATTTTCTAGTTGCTGAATGAAATGAAAGGCAGCCTGTGATGGTACTACTAAGTCTCCGAAGAATTTTCCAGGCACGTGGTATGCTTTAGGAACAAGACAGTATTGGTGAGGCTTGGTCAAGTTGTTAGACTCATCCGATAGCAGCTGAGAACAGCCATAGCTGTAAGTTGTCTGTTCAAGCAAAAGCTTTATCAAATAGCCCCAAACGTAATCAAAAAGTGGACGAGTCATCAGTTATGTTAGACCTGATGTCTGATGCCAGCTCAGAAATATCCTCTAGTGGCGGGAAGTTATCAATTGGAAGACATTCCACAATGTCTGAAATTAAACTTTCATGGTGCGAAGATATTTGCAACTCCTTTAGAAGGTCAGCCTTGTCATCATCTACGTTTTCATTGTCCGACAGTTTGTACAGTTTCTTTATCGAGAGGTGTTTTAGTCCTGAGGTGAACTGATGCACATTTGGGTTTGCGTTGCAGCCCAGCATTTGTCGTATATAGCTCCAAAAACGTTCTCAAGTGTGTCTTGCTGCAGGCGTCAGTAAGTAAGTCATGGCTGCTTGAAAGCAGTAGTGTATGTCATGGCTGCTTGAAAGCTCATCCCAGAGCATGAGGACACTTTTTATAGTAACTTGCCACCCAATGATGGCTTATGGCTGCCTCCTACTTTGGAACTGCCATGCTGAAATCCATCCGAGTTACTGGTGGAGAAAATCAAGTATTTCAGATTCTCCCTTCAGAATGGCATGACGCAACTTCTGCCCTGTCTTCTTGAATTTATTAGCTATTTAGACAATCAAAAAGTATGCATATCCTATCACAGAAATAAGCCGTAGCCATGGCTGCCTCGGGAAGTTCCTTGGCATAAACAAGGGATATGATTGCAAGAAAGAGTGAGGCACTCAGTACCTGTGGGGCACAATTTTCTACCATGTTACAGAAAGGTTCTTGAAACAATGTGTCTCTCAGTAAGTTTCGGAGCCAATTGCAAGCTCATCTCATGAATAGAACAATAAAGTTCAACAATTGAAAACCACTCAAGGACCTCATTTCCAATGCAAAGTTTGTGGGCTTGGAGATTTCTCTTGCTTTTTTAGGGAAGGTGCGGAACATCAAAAACAAAGTAAACGTGTTCGTTGTCAACTTAAAAAAATGGCTTATCAACACACACACCAAGCTTACGTTTGAAGCCCCCTAACCACAGACCACAGCCTTTACTGTGAAGCAAACAGTCTTAAGCTCCCGAATGAGAGAAATGAGGAGACTGCGTTAAACAGAAGACGATGTTGGAGTGTGCACAACAGTGTATGCAAGGGGCTAAACGCACCTCCTGGAACTTTCAGACAGCATAACAACCACGGCTCTATCTGCAATGTTAGAGGTTCGTTCAACACCGTCATCTGTAAACCCATGGACAATGCCGTGTGCAGGGTCGTTAGTTAAATTATTCTTTTTTTTTAAACAATCTCATCGAAAATCAACATGCACACACGTTCAAGTGCAGCCAGACAGCCCGGCAGAAACAACAGCGCGAGAAGCTCGAACCGATCGGCTCCACGAATTCACGCCGAGCATGCGAGCACGCGGGCGGTCATGCGTCACCTTGATTGATGTAAAGTCGACCGAACATGATGCAGCAGAAAGCACAGATGGACGGCACGCACGGCACAGACGAACGGGTGCGTAGTCATGTGTGTCCGCCGTCCAGTAAGGAATCCACAGCTGCGACCGAAATATTTCGAGGCACATTTATTGCACAGATGCTAAAACGGAATTAAGTACAGCACTGCACCTGCATACGCGCAAAAATAAAACATTGGCAAAATCATTTCGTCAACCTCGCCCACAGCTGCAGTTGCACATCGCCAGCACCTCTCTGTCATCTGTGCACGATCTCATCACTTCATTATTACATGCTTGGCCGCACACCTTCTTGGGAATGGGCTTTATCACTAACTTTATCACTATCACTTCTTGGGAATGGTCACTAACATATATCTTTACAAGTGTACACATTGACCCACATAATTACGCATTCAACATGCCAAGTTGGATCAGCTGTTCACTGAAAGTAAAGTTGTTCACTGATTTAAGAAATATAAGCTACTTAGGTGGCCCCCAGCAATCATTACCTTCATTTTTGCATATTCAAAGCTTCTCACGCAAGCAAGATGAAAATGTGAAATAAAGCTTCGAAAAATGTTGGCACTCAACAGGCTGGATAACTTGTTGGGAACCACGAAGTGTCCGAAGCTTTCTTCCTCCTTGAGACGACGTTCAAATGCTCGTTCTATATGTCCCAGCATCTGTAATGACAATGTGGTCATGATGTTTAAAATTTTAAACTGATTTAAAACAAAACAAATGTCCATCTACAGCGAACAAACTAATGACATAATGCCATTGTCGCACCCGGAACCATGCAGAAATAAATGAAACTTCAAATTAATATATGGGAAGCCTCGTTCTTTTGTTTTATTATCCTCCGTCTGTTCGAGGACCGCCAAAGACCATTTTCAAGATTAAACCCAATTGTTACACTTTAAATAAGCAGTTGTGCACAAATCGAAGTGGAGCTATAGGTGTATACCATTAACTTCATTAAAACCGTACTTGTTCGGGGGAAAGCATATGTTTTTACTGCGAGAACGAGCCTGCAAACTAACAGCTATGGGCAGCAGAAGTTTAATGGTAAGTTCGCTGAGCAAATAAAACTGAGTACGGGAGATACATACTCACCTGCCTTATCTTGAAAAAAAAAAAAAAATGAACAAACAAAAACTTGTGGTCTTGGCATTTGCGCTGTTCGTGCACCATCGGGATAAGGCCACGTAAAATGCACCTCTCAACAGTCTCTGAAAGTTCGCACCAAAATATTCAACGAGTTCGACAGGCGCGCGGAACGCCGGAGCGCGAAACTACGCTCGCACGACCCTTGGGTAAACAAAACCACGCGACGCCGCCGTCCGCCGTTACGAAGTTTCAAATTTGGGCGAGGGTAGAGCAAAAGGGGGGGGGGGGGGGGCAGCGGCGCCTTCCGGGGCACCGGCGAGGCCAGCGGGTCGGTTTAGAGTTTTGGTTTTAGACCGAAAACAGAACGAACAGAAAGAAATATATAAAATAAATTGCATTTTATTTTCATGGTGCGGTGAAGACGTTTTGTTGAAATTACTGTTAGCGGACAAAGTTTTATATTTGTATTTTTGTATTAATGAGAGCCCCCCACCACCTAAGCGCTGCTGCCGGTGGCGACGCTATGCACAGCGCCGCTGATGGTGGCGACGCTAATGTCAGCGCCGCGAAACTGGGACTGTGACCGGGGGTTGCCGCAGAAGTCAACGGACAGGGTAAAGAAGGGCACAGACAGAGCGCTGACTCGCAACTAATTTTTTAGTTGCGAGTCAGCGCTCTGTCTGTGTCCTTCTTTACCCTGTCCGTACCGCAGAAGTCAACGGACAGGGTAAAGAAGGACACAGACAGAGCGCTGACTCGCAACTAAAAATTTAGTTGCGAGTCAGCGCTCTGTCCGTGTCCTTCTTTACCCTGACCGTTGTCTTTTGCGCTGTTTTAACCTTTTATTATTTATTTATTTTTTATTTTAACCTTTTTTTAACCTTTTAACTGAGTGCGACGTCTCCGGAGGCCGTGAGGCGCCGAAAACCCGGCCAACATGTAAGTACACCCTTCGCCTCGACGGATGTTTCTCGCGTGCTCTAGCGCGCTTTTCCTCGCGCCGAAGCGAACCCTTGCAGCGTAACGATCCGAGCGAAAGACCACGGAGCCCGCTGTGACAGGGGCTCCGGAACCGGGGGGGGGGGGGGGGGGGGGGGGGGGGGGAGGGGGGGAGGGGGAGGGGAGGGGAGGGGAGGGGAGAGGGGTAGGGGGGGGCAGGGCAGGGCAGGGATGCGTGCGTTGGCAGCGTGCGTTGGCAGCGTTCGTTGGCAACGAACGCTGCCAACGCGCGAGCATACGGCACCGAGAGTCAGCGTCTTTAGCAGACAATCTTTTCGACTCAAAAGCGGCGCACGTTCCGCAGGCGGCTACAGTCGCAGAAACAAAAACAGGCGCAGTAACAACAAGGAACTGCAGTTCCTTGTCTGCTAATGGGCCAGCTCTCGGCGTCGTCTGCTCGTTCGTTGGCGGCAGTTGGCGTCGCGACCGCTTGCGCCATCTCTTGTCTCCCGTGCGAAACGGCGCCGTGTTGTTTGAAGACCGGTGGCGTCCATAGAGTTATTATAATGTACGCTAGAGGTTCAACTGGCGCTAGTGTCTATGCGACTTCCGTGACGCAAATTGAAGCAGACAGCAACCAGTCTACTTTTCCAGTCTTCCTGTGTATTCCTATGGGAAAGCGCGCGTGCATTTTGTCTCTTCGTCGGAAAATAACACGGAACACTTTGGTTATTTGGGTCGTACCGAATAGTATGTACCTTGATTAACACTGTAAACATGTAATTGCTTTAGTTAGCGCATTTTTCTTCATCAGTGAACGATGTTTAACTTCGCTACATTTCAGTCCCAAACATGTGTTCCGCAGCAGGTGTGTAAAAACAAGCGACGATTCGAAGCAAAATTACAATCGAAAGGAATGTAGAGTGTGTTCAAGGCTCGCCAGCAATCCGGTGACGCTTATATATTGCTAATATGCCAGTCCTGTCAGTATATAAAAATGACCCCGTCGTGCATGAGCGGATAAAAACATTCAAAACGTAGAGAATAAAGTCCGTGGGCTATAAAAGTTGTCTCTTCGTATTGTTTTCTCTGCCGGGCAGCTTTTATCGGGCACTTGTTCTCAAAGATTTCGAGCGTGCGAGTGATATTTTGAACGTAGAACAAGCAGCTTCGCTCAGAGCAGAAAGAATAAAACGGTACTTACTTATTTAAAATAGGAATAGATTACGTGGCCTTCAATTAATTTTGATCGTATATGCACGTGTATGTTACTGATCCGGTGTTACTGCGTAGTTCTTGCCGTCTTTCTTAATTTCCAGATGTTCTTCGTTCGTTTGGCACGTATATCCCCCACGCTGAAAAGCGCCGACGTCGTGTTCGCGCTAACAGTGTCCGACAGTGCACATAAATACACGTACGAAGCTGTTTTAGCACCGTTTTTAATGCGATGAATTTGAAAGAAAAACACCGTAACTGACCAATTATTTCGTCGGCATGACTGAGAAATGTTCTAAGCTACCTATTACGTATGAATTATTCGGGATATTTGCTCTTATGATAGAGTGCAGAGAGAAAATGCACTCGCTTTTTCCCATAGAAATGTATTACCGGAAGTCAATTTTCGACTGGTTACTGTCTGCTTCAATTTGCGTCAGCACACTAGCGCCACTTGAACCTCTAGCGTACATTATAATAACTCTATGGTGGCGTCTCTGCGTTTCCATAGGAGCTAAGCCTTTTTCTTTCTTTACTTTTTCCTCAGGTAAGTTCGCTCTTTGCAAATTTTACAAAAAAAATGCACCATCTGTGGGCAATGCTGCACAAAGTCGTAGCGTGATAGGTTGAGAAACCGAATTTCGCAGTCGATTTAAAGAGTCTGCCGTCACGTTGTTTCCCCCTGTAGTTCAGCAAGTCGCCGATGTCACCGGTAGACTTCTCACTGATATAGGTTAGTTCTTCGGATACAAGTTCTGATGGAAGGAGCGCCAGCCTATCTAAACTTCCGCACAGCTTTCTAAATTGGTCATCTGTCTTGTACTTGTCCAAAAGGTCCAACTCCCGTCCCATAAACATATTTTTAAAAATTTGCGATTCAATAATTTGTATATTACTGTCTTGCTCCAGTTTCCCTTTCGTACACCCTGATCAAATCCTCCATTTCAAATACATTTACGATGCACAATGATGTAAATAATTTAATTTTCCTTTCAATTCACTTGAAATATTACCCGGAACCCCAAAAAACCTATGCATCAGTAATGAAGAGACATTGCGCCTAACCTTTATGTGCGCGTTTAGCGTGGCATAAGGCATAAGCACAATAGAAAAGCGAGGTCATGGAAGTGTGACTTCGCTTCTTTGGTCACTCCTCGGGTTCAAAAAATTTGGTTCACGAGGTTTCTCGGGTGTGGCACAAGGTGCCCCGGCATACCTTTAATAGCAGACTGTAAAATAAATAAAAAGCATTCATTTGTTTGAGCTGTACTGCACACTATGCGGCACAAATAATGAAACACACTTCCCATCGTTTCAAAAGTTGTGCACCAGATGGCGCCACGTTTGAGGGGCAAACTTCAGTGCTAGTTTCGGTTTGAGGTCGGTACTTTTTCTACAACATAGTTTGCGGCAGCATCAGTCTTCTGCATCGGTGCGTTTGGCGAGTTCGTTCTCCGTGCAACACTCTACCTCGCTGAACACTCTGCGAGTGCGATGCATTCTGGGAAAGAACTCCAACGGTGCCAGTGCGTGTGAAACGAACTCGCTATCCCATGGCAAGGGGGTTTTATAGCCTCACTTTCTTTGCAGTGTGGAGCGAGTATAGTTTTCACATTTAAACATTCTAAGCTTGGGGGAGAAAATTTTGGCTTAAAAAGGCGGAAAGAATCAAATGTTTGTCTTTTTTAGACTTAAGCTAGGTGACGCAAGCTACCGTCCGCTACTAAGGGTATAGCCAGTAACATTGAGAGGTACATATACGGGTCTGAGTAAAATATATCCATCCATCCATCTATGCATTCAGGAATCGTATATAAACAACTTTCCGTCGTTTCGGCGGTGCATTCAAAACATGGCGCTAAAGGTGTCGCTCCTCCTGCTTTGGTTATTTCTCCTCTTGTGCGACGGAGCTGACGGAGCCAGACTCAACGTCCCGCGCGTCTTGCTGCCGTATCGTCAAGAGGTGGCCACCAACTACAGCCTGGAACTCATCGACGCCAGCCCAGGCGCTTGCTACTACTGGAGGGCTATGTTGCGCTTTTTGTACTCCCAGGAGACTTGGAAGAGGGAAGTGACGTCAATGACACAGCAAACGCAGATTGGATGTTGACAGAAGAAAACGAAATCAACACCCAATCTGCATTTGCTGTGTCGTTGACGTCACTTCCCTCTCCCTAGTCTCCTGGGAGTGCAAAAAGCGCAACATAGCCCCCCTGGTATGTGGGCCACGGCTGCCCGGGCGTTCCTTCCCGTTGCGGCTTTCTCGACTCTAGCACTCGGTGCGGGGGGACGGTCTGGTCAGTTCGTGCGCGCAGGCACACTGATCGCTTGTCGCGTATCGGATAAGGCAGCATCGCTCGTATTTCACCATGCAAACAAGGCTATGCCGGTACCGTCCATCCACGTGATCGGCTGTCATCGAGGATTCCTCCCACGCGCTGGCCGAAAGGCAGTCCTGGCCGTCCTGGCCGTCCTGGCCCTTCCGAAGTTTCGAGGCTCCTGGCGCGCCGACTCGAGTTCGGTTTAACCGCCATAGCCACTGACAGAATGAGAAGGGCAGGGCGCGTCTTGAACGCCCGGCCTCTAACACGCGCTCTACGCCTTCCGCCTTCCTTGATTTGGCAAACGCCAATGTTGTCGAAGGTGGGAAGCTTGTGCTGGAAAGGCGGGGCAACTGAAGCTTTTCCCTGCCGTTCTCACATTGTGAGCGATATTCGAAAGCGCAACTGCCCCATGTTGCGGAAGGACTGGAAGTCGCGCGGCAGCGTTTGACTAGCTACGTTACTGTGTCTGACACGACCGCAAGCCACTGGGCTGCCCGTGTTTCATATGTTTCGTGCAAAGCTACTCCCTCGCCATGCTTTATACGAACCGCGTATGTCCTCGTGACTCGCGGTCGTAACTCGACGAAGCCCTCGTAGCGTGGTCTGCCGTATGGATGGGCCTTTATTATTCAAAGGTTGTGGACCGAAAGAGTAGAGCGAGAGCGTACGGGGAACGGAGCACCCGCGGAAATTCCCTACCGCGTGCAGGACCTTGCACTCCTACTCGAGGGAACATCCCCGCAGGGGGCACCTGTGTTAGGTGCTTGGTGCGTGGCGTCACCACGAACCAGGATCCATGTGGGTTGATACACCCACGCCTGGCTGTACGTGGCTTAGCCCCCCCCCCCCCCCCCGGGCAAGGCAATATACAACTTTGGCCCCTGCTCCCCGTAGACGAGTGTCCTGGCTTCGCCCAACCAGGGTGGAGCAGTCAGTAGCCTCCTCTACCTTCTTCTCCCTCCTTCGACTTCTTTCGACTACGGCCTCTTCTCTCCTTTTCACATTCTTAGGTGGCAAGGGCCAACCTTAGTTGGAACCAGGTCCTGTACCTGCAACTACACTTGGGTATCGTAGCTGGGCAGCACTGGTATAGTAATTGCGTCAGCTAAGCCATTCTTGCTATGGCATATTACAACCTCTTGATCGGGCTCTGAAAGGAGGTGGCACCAAAGTTCTCGCTGTAGCCACAAAGAACCTCCAATCTTTTCACATTCCCAGATTTTCTTGTTCTGCACTCTGGGGGCAAAAAGCCACTTGTTAAACTTCCCTCCTTTTTAGTGTCCAAAGTGCTCGAAGGGGGTGTCGGTGCAAACTTCAGCGCCAAAACAATCGCATCGGGCAACTTTCTCATTGGGATAAAAACAAGAAAGCAAAGGGAATCACTTCTAGACCTGAACTTTGCTCAGTAACCGAGAAATGTTAAGCTTGTTTTATACCAGACTTGATTTGTTTCTCACCCGAATTATTGTTATTTAGTTTGGGGCACAACCACCCGCACGAATCTAAAAACAAATACTCCTATTGCAAAAAACAAAAATGTGTTCCTCATGGAGGATGCTTCTAACGACTCTAGCACCCAGGATCTGTTCATAAAGAACAGTGTAGTTCCTGTTTACAACATGTACAAGTATAGACTCACTATCAGTTTTAGAAAATCAAAGAAATGGGGATAGCTTAGTAAACCTTGTGGAGCTAAAAGAACGTGCAAATCGGTCGTCAGAACGTTGGACTGTGCCACTGTGACACAACAGCTATTCAATGCAATCACTCAAATAGAAACTTCCTACTATATTGAACATCCTAATGAAAAAATGACATTGATAGTATTTCTATTGCAATTCAGGAATTACAGACGGGCCTAGTGTGGCGCGAATACGAATGAATCGATTTATGAGACCTGTTTGATTTTTGTATTTTACTTTGTTGTGTCGGCTTTCTCAATTTGTTTTTTGCTGTTACTTTGTTTTGGCTAGTGTGTATGCCACTTCAAGGCAGCAAAGGGCTCCGTCGGGCAGTTCTTGCAGCTTTTTTCCCTCGTTGCCTTCATTTATGTGTCGAAATGGGAAATGATGTTCCTTCATAATAATAAAAAATAATGAATGCAGTACTGTCTACTCCCTTAGTTTGTCTGCGGTGTACTGGCGTGAACAGCCACGTTTTGCTACTAGCAAGGTTGCGGCCGCCGCCGATATACAGGCTTCAGGCTTTGCACTGTTCCTCGGCGCCGAAGAAGGAGCCGCTGCGCAGACGGAGCGGCAATTTCCCGCCCCAATTCCACCATGCGCAAGCGCCACCCTCTTCCTTTTATTAGAGTGCGGGCCGCAGCGTAAGGAGAGGGCTTGTTTGTGCGGTGGCGTTCCTTGGAACTAGGACGCGTCACAGCCATTTTGTGTGCCGTTTGAGGGAGGGAATCGGGGAGCCGTTTTTGGCGGTTACAGACAATGCCGGGTGCACTCCATGGGACAGGTAATGCTTAAAAAAAATAAGAGTAAGCTTTGTTTTACGCTGGTCAAATACGTCCCCAATGATACTTCTGTCGTTGAGGGAGCCATCTGCTGGCCTTTTACCAACACCAAAGACTACACCGACGAAGAAACGTGCGGACGAATGGGAAAAAAATGGCAGAAGGTGTCGGGCCTGCAGTTGGCTCATGGACGTGGTAGTTGGTCAAGTGACGGAAGTGACAATCTATACGAGGCCAATAAAAGGCCAAAGACTCGTTGAGGGCATTGTAGTTTGACTGTGTGTCGGGGCTGTGCAGGACCAAGCTGCTGGACTCGGAGGAGGTGTGTGGCCAGCTGAGGAAGCAGCTGCAGCGGTCGCAGGCCCGCCTGTTGCCGAGCCCCACGACGGTGGCCGTGAGCGGGGTCTACGACGTGGGCGCAGAGGAGGCGAGCGTGGACGACGTGCTCGCCCAAGCCAAGAGGGACGTGGAGTGCCTCACGCGCAAGACCAAGCACCTATCCAGGGCACAGAGGTACCCTTTCCTCTCTAAGGGCAGGGCTTTTCCAGTAGCTTGGTAGGGCCCCTCGTTAGTGCCCGGTTGAGCGGGTCTGATGCTGAGGAAACAGCTTCAACTCGCGGGACAAGACTGTGAACAATTCTTTAGTCGTGAAACATTCTTTGGCTAGGAGTGAATCAGCACCGATTGTTTGACGGGTGGGGGAGGATGGGACCAGAGGGGCAGGCGAGGAGGAGCTCAACCACCTGGGAAGTATGGAAGGCCCTGGAAGATGGCTTCATTCTAGGAACGACTGCATAAACTGCCTGATAAAGAGCGCCGTGAACATGTGCAATGCTGGAAAGTTGCACATAACAATTGCCATATTCATTTTCCTCGTCCCTCAGTCTTCTTGTGTTGGCGAGATTTAATAACTGGATACATTTTACGTACAGATTGATTACAACGAGGAATATATAGCGGAAGAAGAAGCGAGACACAAAAATGAAAAAAATTGGCAGGGTCTCTTAGGTGATACCTCAGATGACTTGGAGGCTAAAGTCAAGCGCCGATGTGAACGTGATAGCGAAGCTCCGAAGGCCTCTTTGCTGACCCACTTTTGGCGCCGTTTCATTGGTACCTTTCGTCTCGCCGACAAGGACTCTAAAGGTCAACTGAACTATGTCCTCTCCGTCTTGCGATGTTTGTCGTCTTGTCTGGTTTGCCGCATGCGCTTGACGTTTTGTCCACGATATTCACGGGTGGCGTTTGCCGCTGACATTCTCAGTGCCGTTCCTGCCGTTGCCCTTTGTAGGCGCGTTGCTCTTGGGGAGTGTGTACTACCGTAACATGTGGAGCCCCCACTTAAGTAAGTGCCCCCCACATCTTCCGGGAATTTCCCATTTCTGTAAACGACGGCGCAAGTGCCCCGCCCGTCTCTAAGGCATTATTCTTTTAGTCTTGTTTCAGGCTTTTTGACTGTCGCAGTGTACAAAGCCAATATCGAATCCAACCCAAAGAGTTGCTACGCGAATGCACCACCAGCCATCGTCGCCATTTCCTTAGCTGGGAGCGGTTGTCTTCGTTCGCCAAGCATCCGTATACGGTTCAAAAGAAACTCAAAGTTGTGAATTTGCATCGGAAGAACACCTCGCCATTTCAAGTTGGACCGTAAGAGGGCACGCGAGAGGGACACCAAGTACAGAGTTTCGCTGCAACACAACTTCGGGAAGTTGAAGTACGACGCCAATTGAGCAACGGTGTCTCCGTCTTCAGTGAAGTTGACGATACCCTGTACGAGTTCTTGGAGAGTGAAAGCAACTCTGGACATGTGGCGAGGAGGGAGATCTTGACGAACGGCTGTCTGACGTCGGCGCCCCTGTCCCCGAGAACCCCGACGACCTGCAAACCGAGGGCCTCCTCTTTAGATCCCATTCTGGGGAATCGTGTTGTGGCTTTGATGGCGGCGGAGCTGAATGCCAGGATTTCCGTTTTCCAAATTAAACATTGACTGAAGTGTTGGTAAATCAGTGTTTTCAACAGTGGGGCCTATAATGCTTTTCTTTTCACTTGTACTGGCCGCTATTTTGTGGCCGCCATATTGAATTTTTGGCCCAATCTGAATAAGGGCCCCCTGTATATCTAGTCGAATTACCTCCAAATTTTGGGGGGCCGCTTGCTTGGGATTTTACAGTATACGCTGCTTCCCCATTACGACCAGAGAAGAGGAATTGACTTGGTGCTGAATTACCCGAGCATCATCGAGAATGCAGGGAAGAGTGTTCCACACGCCGCATCTGACGGCGTCTGCAGCAGTAACATTTCTAAAGCAAAAGCCTAAAACAAATGGCATATTGCACTCACGTTTGTCAATAGTTTATTCTGGTTATTTACTTTGAATTTCTTATACGGGGAAAGCGTTTGCGTCGGTGCATGATGTGGTGCGAGCGTAGTTTTAGTCACTGCACACGAAAAATCTACGAAACCCTAGCCGTAAACAGCTTCGCTGTAAAAAAAAGTTTCGAGGACACCTAAGCACTTCTTAGAGTTTGGAATGCGAAAGCATGAGTGTCATTCTTCCGCTCCCTTAGTTCGTCTGCAACATACTGGCGTGGACGCCTATAGTTTACTACTGCCGAGGGTGTGGCCGCCGCCGATATTCGCGACTGCAGCGAATCATTGGGGGCGCGCTGGTCAGGCAAAATGGTAAATGAAAGCAGGTCATTTTCGTCGTTCAGCGCGTGGACCACCATAAATTTCTTGCACTGCAGCGTAAAATGTGTGTTGCACCTGAAAGCAAAGCGATTTTTCGACGGTAGAACGCTTGTTGTAGTCAGTGCGTAGGAATGACTAGGCGGAAGCATAAAAATAAATGCTGGAAACAATGTTTGTTTCTATGCTACCTACAAGAGCCAAGCAGCGATAGCAGACGACAGAGTCGAAACGACCTCGTATCCTGAGCATCTCGACGTACGCGACATCGGTTTCGCTGGAGTTGCCAATAGGTGCCTCAGGCGCTGCCATGTTTTTAGGTGCCGAAAGCAGCAGAAGCGGCCCCCCTTTGGCAGCGCCTGACACGAAAGCGGGGGCAGACTCTCCAATAAGCTCCCGTGCGGGCCACAGCGCCAGGAAGGTCTTTCGAGGGTGGCATTCCGTCAAACTATGACACGGACAATGGCTATCTAGGAGCCATTTTGCAGGAAATTTCTTCTACGTTTCTTGCCTCTCAACCATAGGCCAGTATCTTTCCAGAGATTGTCTCCCCCCCAAAAAAAAACTTCAGGATCTGATTTACCAAATTCGTCATGCTGAATGCAACGCCTCGTATGTTGTGGAAACAAAGAACTTTCCCGAACGTCTGCCCACACAGAAGTATGACGCGAAGAAAGACATTCAGGGCAGTTTGCTGGCGTAACGTGCTCAGGATGCCTTCGTTGACCGTGTAAAATGCACCGGTTCAGATAAAAACGGAGTACAAGTTTTTTAAGCTCTCTTTCAGGCAACATATCAAAACGTTAAGACTAAAACGCCATAAATCCCTCAATATTTTGAGAGTTATCTCCCACACGACTCGGGGTTCCTGTCGTTTGTGCCTGTTAAAAATCTATGGGTCCATTGCGTGGTCTCGTCTAGATTATGCATGTTTGGTGTATGGATGAGCGAGTGCATCAACAGTGAAAATGTTGGATCAATCCATTGCGCAGGGATCCTACTTGTCACCGGTGCATTTCATACATCCCCTGGGTTGAGTCTCTATTCTGAAGCTGAAGAAATGTTCCTAGAGAAAAGGCGAGCTGTCTTGGGTCTAACGTATTCCCTCAGGATACGGTCAGTATCGCAATATCAGTGTCGGGAACTAGCTGAGGGAACAGATTTTGAACTAACCTTCCAAAGTAAGCCCTTTTCACTGCTGTCTCGGCTAGCCTTCGGACAAACCCGCCTGTTGCTCAGTTTGTGGGAACTGTGGCACCATGGGAGCATAGTCTGCTCATCACAGACTTGTCACTCACTGGGTACACTAAGGAAAATACCCCACGAGAAGTCTTAAAACAGGAATTCTTTCAGCTACCAAATGCACATAAAGACTACACCAGCTTTTATACTGACGGCACAGAAACCGACTCCTCTGTCGGCTGTTCCGGGATGGGATCATCACTTAAATGTGTGCGGAGGATTAATTCCAGTGCAATTACCTCGACTGCCGAGTTTTATGGTTCACTACTGGCCGCGGAAGATATTATCAAAAATAGGCATACATACTCTGTAGTTTACGCTGATTCACTAAGTGCTCTGAGAGCAATCAGATCCCTTGAGATAGCAAAAAACCCTCTAATCACTCAGCTACATCATAAAGTGGTTGCTGCAGCTGTGGAAAACAAATTGCGTCTTTTGCTGGCTGTCACGTGGGTATACCTGTCAGTGAAGCTGCTGATTGTGCCGCATGCGCTACAAGGAATGTTGATATCCAAGACTACAAAGCGACCGCAAGGAAAAGCGTCTGGTGTAAATGGCAAGAGGAATGTTGTCGGGAAGCAGATGCTAGAGGTGTTGGCTCGTCACAGGGACCGTTTTTTCCAGGTCCCCCTTCGACGTGTTTTACTCGGCAACTCTACACCCTGCTCTTCTGCTTGGAGATGAACCTTTTCTACATGTTTTTAAATTCCTAGAAAGTGCTGGACTTTTACGCTCACTTTAAACTAACTTCGCAACTTTCAAATTTTTCATCTACATTATTCATACACAGATCCATGTCCATCATTTTGTTCTATCACTAGCCACTAGAGTGCTCTTTCTTTTCTAAAAACTGTTTCTTGAAATAGTTGCAGATTTTGCCGCTCTTTAACCTTGGATGCATTTGCGCCAATAAGACTCCATCGATCGATGAATTGCTCGAAAGCGATTGTAGTGTTGCATCGACTTGCACTCATTCCCGCTACTTCCGACATCCATCTGTACCAAAGCAGCAAAGGTGTCTAGTGCTCCCGGGCTTTCGAAGAAGCAATTTGAGTGGACGGGATCGTGGGCACAAAGCCCCATGAAGCGAAACGGCTTTGCTCTTCGGCAGCATACTTCCATTTGCCGGAAACCGCCCATTACGACAGTCACAATGTTAAATTTGAGAAACACAAGTGCTGCAAGAATGAGCAAACATTCCCGCCAGGCACGAAGGAGAAAAAATATGACTGCATTAGGCACTCATAGTTGCCAGAGATCTTGGTTTTCCCTTTAGTAACCGGTGATATAGGATAAAAAACAATTCTCCATTTTGAAAAAAAGAAAAAAAAGCGGCGCATATATGGAATTGTACGCTTGTGCATTGTGTGGGTTTTTATGTACTAAAGATGTTGTTGCGACAATTGCCAGAGTATTCTGTAAGACGTATGCAGAGGTGTGGATGTTATTCTAAAACTTGAATGTTTTGAGGCAGGCAAAATGTTGTTTGGTTGTCCCCACAGAGGGGAAGAGGAAAGGGAGAAGAAGTCTGATGCGGACGAGGACACGGCCGAGGCCAACGGCAACGACGAGAGCTCCGAGTCCGAAGTGGAGGCCGACGAGGACGGTGAGGAGCCTTTGGATGCGGGGGGCCAATGGCTGGACAAATGCAGATGCTCTTGGCCGTGCGAGGGGAGCGCGCTAGGAGCTCTGCCGCCTGACAAAATGCGGGCAAACTATGGGGTGCCTCAAATAGCGGCCAGGCTCTTTAGATCGCCGCGTGATTCAGTATCTCAATCTATCGCGCTACAATTTTGTGCAGCGTTGCCCACAGATGGTAAATTTTTTTTTGGAAAATTTGCAAACAGAACTTGCCTGAGGAAAAAGTAAAGAAAGAAAAAGGCTAAACTCCTATGCAAATGCAGTGAAGCCACCGGTCTTCAAACAATACGGCGTCGTTTTGCACGGGAGGCGAGAGATGGTGCGAGCGGTCGTGACGCCAACTGCTGCTAACGAATGAGCATACACTCTAATACATACTTCGGCAAACCTCACTCATGAGGGCCCTCACTCACCCTCACTCACCCTCATCTTCACAGGTGAGGTGAGGGTGAGTGAGTTTCTGAACCAGGAAAATTCATGAGTGTGAGGGTGAGTGAGGGCCGTGAGGGCCGTGAGGGCCGTGAGGGGGGTGAGGGCCGTGAGGGCCATGAGGGCCGTGAGGGCCGTGAAAGCTGTGAGGGCCGTGAGAGCTGTGAGGGCCGTGAGGGCCGTGAGTGAGTGAGGGGCGTGAGGGCCGTGAGGGCGGTGAGGTGCGTGAGCGCCGTGAGGGGCATGAGTGCCGCGAGGGGCGTGAGGGCCGTGAGGGCGGTGAGTGCGTGAGGTGTGTGAGGGCCATGAGTGCGTGAGTGCGGCGAGTGCGTGAGACCCCATTCAGATCGAGCATCTTTCTCAACAATTTTGGTGTTAATGGCGGGTTGTTCTCTAGTTTTCCCTAGATCGACACGAATTGCTGAGATCGGGTCCGGCTCGAAATAAGCAAGCAACTCGGAGCAATTCGAATGCGTTTGAGGCGCCTGTATCCAATCAGGGACGCAAGATTTTCACGTGATACCTCGTGCCGGTGATGATGACACCGAAAGACTCGGTTCTGGTTGAAATGATTGTTTTTTTTTTTGGAAATAAACTGTTTCAGAAAGGTGCATTAGTATTCTTAACGAGATTTAAATGCATAAAACACGTTTATAACGCGTAATTATGTCTAAATAGTGCAATAAAAATAAAAATTTATGATGACGATGGCAAATTGCAGCAATTGGTTGCTGCGTGTGATCGCGGGCGGCCCGTGTTGCTGGTGTTGCGACGTAAAGTTTCTGGGCGAATTTGCCCCATCTGAAGCTGGCCTGAGTGGCGTGAGGGCCATCAGTGCGTGAGGGGTGTGAGGGCCGCAAGGGCGGTGAGTGGCGTGAGGGCCGCAAGGGCGGTGAGTGGCGTGAGGGCGGTGAGTGGCGTGAGGGCGGTGAGTGGCGTGAGGGCGGTGAGCGGCGTGAGGGCCGTGAGGGCGGTGAGTGGCGTGAGGGCTATGAGTGTGTGAGGGCCGTGAGGGCCGTGAGGGCGGTGAGGGCGGTGAGGGCCGTGAGGGCCGTGAGGGCCGTGAGGGCGGTGAGTGGCGCGAGGGCTATGAGTGTGTGAGGGCTGTGAGGGCCGTGAGGGCGGTGAGGGCGGAGAGGGCGGTGAGGGCCGTGAGGGCGGTGAGCGGCGTGAGGGCCGTGAGGGCGGTGAGTGGCGTGAGGGCTATGAGTGTGTGAGGGCCGTGAGGGCGGTGAGGGCGGAGAGGGCGGTGAGGGCCGTGAGGGCGGTGAGTGACGTGAGGGCGGTGAGTGGCGTGAGGGCCATGAGTGAGTGAGGGCCGTGAGGGGCGTGAGGGGCGTGAGGGCGGTGAGTGCGTGAGGTTCAGTGAGGGTGAGTGAAGGGCTGAAGGTGAGTGTGACTGTGAGGGTGAGGGTGAGTGAGGGGCTGAAGGTGAGTGCAGCTGTGAGGGTGAGGGTGAGTGAGGGTCTTGGGTGAGTGTGGCTGTGAGGGTGAGGGTGAGTGAGGGCGACCTAAAATGCCGACCTCTGCTCTAATAGCATCTTCGATCAACTCGCACCGGAATCGCCCTGAAACCAGCACAGTGCACAGCGCTCCTCGGTTGTGCAGCGCGATGTCGGTGCAACACCGAGGACAAACTGCGCCGCGCCGGTGCACCGCGGCGAGCTCCACCTTGCGTCACTTCGCGTTTTGTTCGTTTATTTTGCGTAGGTCAGCGCACGGTGCCCGTCTGCTGTCAATTTCTTCTAATTTTTTACTCGCGGATTTGACGGTCCCACAGAAATAAACATCGTGGACGGGATTGTCGATGGGGTCACGAAGCGGGTGACAATTCCACATGTATATGTTGGCCATCATTATTAGTTCAAGAAAACGAAACACCAGATAATAGCCGTACCTCGCTGTCACAGAAATAAACATCGTGGACGTGATTGTCGATGGGGTCCCGAAGCGGGTGACAATTCCACATGTATATGTTGGCCATCATTATTAGTTCAAGAAAACGAAACACCAGATAATAGCCGTACCTCGCTGCCATCGAAACGCCTCGCGCCGCTTTCCACGAAGTTCGTGCTTTTCGGGCGCTCCTTGCCACCGCAGCAATCGCCAGTAATCGCGGCGATGGTGAGAAGCTCGTCGCCTCGCCGTTAGAAGACCCGAGGAAATCATCTAGTGCAGCTCCGAGGCGTGTTCGTTTTTGCAAGATCGCCATCTCGATAGTCTGCGCGTCTGCTACTCCCGCCATCTTCTCGATTCCCGCTCCTGGCCGCAATGCCTGATGGGACTGCCCCCCGGCGCACCGCCGATTTTCTTGGTGCGCGTTGGGGCAACGAAAAGCCGCACCGGGAGGGTGCGCTTCGTTGATCGAGGATGTACGGTGCGCACCGGTGCACTTGATCGAAGATGAAGGGGCGCACCTCAGTGCCCCGGTGCGCACCGGTGCGGATGATCGAGGATGCTATAAGAAAAAATGGAGGAAAAAAGTAGCAACGCCGCGCCTTCCTCCCTTCTACCGACGCGCCCCCAAGCGGACACGAGAAAAGGGGAGGAACGAAATGTTTTTCTCCTTCTCCAGGCAGACGGGAGAAAGCTTTCGCCCTCCCGACTCATCGTCTTTCGGTTTCGTTTTTCGAGCAGGTCGCGCACGTTGTTTAATAAATAGCTGTTGAGTTGATTGAGCTTCAGCAGCAGCGAAGGCCGCCTGTAATTCCGTCTTCCAGTTTAAACGTCCAGAACATTTCGGTTGCAATGACATTTTTATCACTAATTTTATCAAACGAGCAAACGAAGCCGCTAGAAACAGCGAAGTTCCGGAGCAGTGCCAGCAGCGCCACGTACACTGGGGGATGGCCGTCTCCGGATTACGTGACTCGCGCGGCACGGAACTACAGCCACTGCAGGCTGCAGCACTACAGACTACAGTAGCGAAAGCACGCGGAACTGTGTCGACGTTTTCGACGTTATGGAAACCGCAGGAACTGCGTCCAAGACAGGCAGGTTTTGCTGCCGGCTGCCTGGGTGCCTTCCCCCCTGAGTTCAGTTCTGTTTTCCGATGCCGAGTGCAACCGGCGTTCAACGTGGTTTTGTGTTTGTGCGTGTCAGCAACATAGCTGCAACATCGTGATGACAGTGTTGGGTTGTGAACAGAAGACTGGAATTATCGCCGATGTGACCATGTGTTCGCGTATCAGTGGTGTAACAAGAAGATGAGATCGTAAACTGTTGGGCATTGATGCCGCTGGTCGGGTTGTGATCGGAGGGGGCGGGGTGTCGCAGGTTGACATTCCGCTTTACATTAAAAAGTTTAATACCACTTGAGGGATTACGTGCAATCGATCAACGTGCGGATAGTCATGTTGGAACGCTGGTCTGAACAGTAGAAGCTCCTATCGTACAGTGGCCAATGTGAATGTCGGAATGGTCTCGTCCCCGGCAGCGATTGCGCTCTGGGGCAAGGACTGAACAGTACGAAATCGTGACGTGAAGTACGTATATTTACAGTATGGAATTTCGGCATTAAAAACAATAGTAGGTAAAATCGAACAAAAAAAAGCTACCCTTTATTTCGCTGTTTCATTATACTACGGTTGCTGGAGAAACTACCCTCCGTGGCGCGCTGGGATGAGCGCTAGAAGTTTTCGGGCTCGCCACGGCGTAGTTCCGTACACTTAAACCTGCCGCAAGTCGCGGCTTTGACCGCATTCAAGTTGATCGAAAAGCAATTTCTCAGTCCGTGAAGCATCACTTCCAGCTGACTGAATATCCGCTCTACAGAGATTAATTCAAACGGCAATTGCAGCTTTGCGCGAACAGCACAAATAGAAATACAAGCTACGACGTGCCGTGTGGGGAAACAAACTCATGGCTTCGAACCGCATTGGAGCGGCTTGATTTATTGGCTTTCAAATAATTACGGCATGATTGAGCGTTTACTTTTTAATAAGAGATTCAACCCCTGAGCCATTCAAAATACTTTCAGAGGTATGACATTGCAGGGAAAAAATCAACATGCTGGGAATATTTTTTATTGCTTAGGGAGTCACCGAAAAGTTCCGCACGTTCAAAACGACCAGTATAAAAGACGGAAACGCAGAGCACGGGTGTAGTGTTCGGGTTAGTGTGGTGTTCCGTTGTATTTATATTTGTGTGTGCAGTGCATGTGCTTAATGTATGTTCACCTGATGCTTGTAATAAGTGTATGGGTGTCATGTGTGTATCGTGTGTATAGTAGAGGGTCCTCAAGCACAGTAGTGGCCTAAGAGAAACAAATAATTTTTTGTAGAACATGAATTGGGCGGTACTTAGCGCCACCTAGCCTAGCTACTTGCAATTACTCTGCTTGACCCCGCCATCTGGTGGCTAGCGATTTAACCTTCTTTCACGCTACGCCGCTACGCTGGCTACGCGATAAACAGCGGCTTCGAGTTCGTTCTTCCGAGAGCGGCTTTTGGTTTCGCGGAGTGAGTTTGCCCTTCTCCGTGATGTGCGGTTGACGAAGGAATTGTGACTCGAGGAACACCAAAGGTAAGACGCAAAGTGCGCGAAGTAACTGGGTATCGGTTGTCTCCGTTTAACATCGCAGTGCTGTCGACGAGAAGACTGAGTAACTGCTTTGGAAACGCAGATTTCTGTACCTGTGGGGGGAATCTGGCTTCGGAAATAAACACAGTTTGCGGAAAGCTTGTGTTACGCTTTCATTTGCTGCTGCTCTCGTCCCGTACAAGAGACGTAGCATCCTCGTTAAGCCTTATTGGGCTCGATTTGCTCGATTCGGGGCCGCCATATTGAGATGCAAGCGACGGAGGAACTTTGCTCCCCTGCTTCAGGGACGAAGGTTTCTCCTTTTCTAAAGGAACATAGGTTACAAGACCGTTCCTCCCGTAAGGGAGGACTATACGTACCCTTTTTTCTGAGAGTGTACGGCACCGTGAGCCGGCGTCATTAGCAGACAATATTTTCGACTCAAAAGCGGTGAAAGCTTTTTTAATATCAGTTGCCAATGCATTATTCTATCACCCTTACTATTAAAACGCATCGAATGGACACATGGTTGATTAAAGAAATCATTTGTCAAAATATTTTGACTGTTTCTTTTTTTTTGTTTTTGGGGGGGGGTCTTATGTCGTCTGCTTTGCAGTTCCTTGTTGTTACCACGCCTGCTTTTGGTTCTGCGACTGTCGCCGCTGCGGAACGCGCGCCGCTTTTGAGTCCAAAACATTGTCTGCTGATGACGCCAGCTGTTGTCGCCGTATGCTCGTTCGTTGGCGGCTGTTGGTGTCGTGACAGCTTGTGCCATCTCTTGTCTCCCGTGAGTTTCCATAGGAGCTAAGCCTTTTTCTTTCTTTACTATTTACTCGGGTAAGTTTGCTCGGGAGGCACTCACTTGATCGAATGACGTTTTAGCGAACGCCCACGTTTCATCGAACGACACTTTAGCGAATAGTCGGACGCCGCGAAGCGGCGTTTTCGGGTGGGCCAAATGAGTTCATATTTTTGTAATGAGTTGCCGCAGACTGTCGCCGCGAAGCGGCGTAAAGCGCAGCGCGACGGATGGGTTAACGCGCGCCCCCGTTATTCGCTAAAACGACCATTCGCTCAAATGTCGCCGTTCGCTAAAATGTCATTCGCTCTTGTGATAAGGACCCAGTTTGCTCTTTGCAAATTTTACAAAAAAATAATGCACCATTCGTGAGCAACGCTGCACAAAGTCGTAACGCGATAGGCTAAGAAACCGAATTTTGTGGTTCATTTAAAGAGCCTGGCCACTATTTGGGAGTCACGGCGTTTTTTGTTACGGAATTGTATATCTCTCGTAACTGCCTGCTTCTGCGAGGATTGTGACCCTCTCCCATACAGTCGGGAGAGGAGGAGGATGAGCAGAAGCAGAAGTTGAATTCGCTCTTGGAGTCTTTCGTTGGAGTAACGCTGTAACCTGCTCCGTAACGAATATTTATTTATAAAGGTGTTTCGTGGGAGTGCGCGCCCTTATCCTATTTGGAACGGACACGGACCTCGCACTCCGAGGTTGCTTCTTTGAGCGGCCCTGCTGGGCCTCGATTTATTCGGAACTGTAACTTGGTAGTTTTCACGTTCGTCGAATACCAAGCTGATTTTTTAGGTCTCGGTGTTTGCAGAGAAGTTAGAGATTTGCCATTCCGAGACACTCAAGGCACGTACCAAAACGCGGCCAAAAGGCAAAAATATTGCGTGTCAGCAAAAACTAAGATATAGTTTACATCGCTCGCTCATACAGGTGTAAAAAAAAAGGTGAGTTGGGAGGGAGCCAACCATTGGAAGGGGGTGTGCCTTGCAGAGAGGTACAGCCAGGACCTGGTGAACCTGACGATGGAGATCTCGTGCAAGCAGAAGTTGATAGAGCAGCTGGAGCAGAGCCAACGGCGGCTGCACACCACGCGCATCCACTACGAGGAGAAGCTGGTGCAGCTCCAGGCCCGCATACGGGAGACAGAGCTCGAGAGGGACCGCATCCTCTCCAGCGTGGGTGGGTTTTGCAAAGAGGAGGAGCTTTGGGCCAGTTGTCTAGCGGAGATGGTTGCAGGCAGCGCTGGGCCCTCGAAGGACTGGGAGGAGAAGGTGCGCAAGATCCGGGGGGACTTTGAGCGCCGGCTGGGCCAGCTGCAGGGGGAGCTGAAGAAGATGCAGGCGGCCAGGCGGGAGCACGCCCAGCTCATGAAGAACCAGGCCGAGTACGAGCGCCAGGTGCGCAAGCTCAAGCAGGAGGTGGCCGACATGAAGAAGACCAAGGTGCGTCCATCCGGGCATTAGTTCCGTTTCTCTATTACCTCACAGTTACCGTATTATGCGAGGGAAGGTTTTCATGCCCTCGAAAAGAAAAAAAAAAGTCGAGGCTGATTATAGTTATTGCACTCGGGGGCACGGCTAGAAGAGAAAAGGGAAGAAATATCAGTTCACGTTTTGACTGCACTCATCCGAACTGCTCAGGTTCTTCTCACTGTGGCAATCCACTTGGCGGCAGATGTGCACTACTCTTTTTGGGGCGCGAGCTCCTCCGCTGCCCATAAGCAAAGCGACGCGCAAAGTACACTCAAACACCTGACCACTTTGAAGCAGAAACTAAAAAATGCCCGATGCAGGATCATTGTTGTTCTGGTCCCTCTGCATAAAAAAAAACTGAGTTGCAAGCTTTCGTGAACACGGTGCATGGTTTTGGCTTGGCTTGCATTGACTTGACTTGGCCAGGCTTGGCATGGCTTGAATTGGTTAACGCCCACGTGGTGCACTAGCTGCCTTTCTGCGCCGTGCTTTTCGGCGTATGTTGTAGGAGCATACGTTTGTGACCCAACGCTTGGTGAAGGCGTCTGTTACGATGGGGAAGAAATGGAAAGCACCGGGAGTGCGACGTCAGTAACGCATCGCTCCTCATCTGCTCTTTAGGCAGTCCCCTTCACGCTGACGACGCTGACGAAATCATTGTTGCTCCATCGGCTCGTTGGTTGCCGTCGAGAAGCGCTTGTCGAGCGCTGCGAGTGCTTCCTCGTCCCCGTTGCCCTTCTCTCCCTCTCGTCTTTACCTGGCTTGGCTGTGCTGTGGTTGCCGAGGCCATGCTGTAGTAGATCCGTTTTTCCCTCGAGTCCATCGAGCAAAATGGCACTTTTGCATTTCGGACTAAGGTCATTGCCGTTGACGGCTTCCAAAAACTTGAGGAATGTGAGCTTCCACTACCGCCACTGCAAGCAGGCTGGTCTCGGCGTAGCGAGGAAGACGGGTGGTGATAGACTGTAGGTAAACATGGGAGCCATCGACCGGTCCCAGTTATTATGATGAAAGGCGTAGTACTTTCTTAATCCTCGTCGCCATAACTCCGGTGTCCCTAAGACGCGACAGGAGGAAACGACTGCCTTATTCGAACAGTGAACAAAGTGTACTTTTCTTTTCAAGAACCAGAAAAGAAATCGCGTGTACAATGCGGTTGCCAGATGAGACGAAGGATAAGAACAGCGTTGTCAGCATAACAAGCGCACGGCGGAATGATTCTTGTTTCCAGGCAAACTGGCGCAAAGCCACTGCCCGTTAGAAGGGGTACAGCCGTTAAGATTCATCGATCCATCCACTCTGGACTGGAACAAGCCGGAAATGTTTGTTCTGGAACACTGACTGTCACCGTTTTTTCGGGATAATTTGGTGGAATTTGGGGTAAATCCGGTGAGGCTATGGCTTTCTAGGCCAGCGTGAGGTAGTGTGGGCGTGAAAAGGTATTGCAAGAGCCCAATCTGTGGACCCCCGTTGTGGAGAAAGTAGCCTCGAATAGGTTTGTTTGGGGCAGGTGTCGCTCATGACGAAGATGAAGGAGGGGAGCCGTTGTCACCAGGAGGCGGAGAAGCGGAGGCAGCGTGAGGTGGCCCAGATGCGCAAGGAGAACCGGCAGCAGGAGAACCGCATCCGCTCCCTGGAGGCCCAGAACCGCACCAAGGAGATGGTGCTCAAGCGGCGCCACGAGGAGGTGGCCGCCCTCCGCCGCCAGGCCCACCCCATGTCCAGTCGCGTGGCGGGACGCCTCGGAGGTGAGCACCTGGCCATTGGGGGCCCCTCCCAAGGCTCTGAGGCGCCCGGATCCAAGTGGAGCGGCCGAAGTGCCTCTCAATTATTTCCCCACTAATGTTAGCTGGGAAATTTTTTTCCCTAAATTTAGTGAGGAAATTTTTCTACTAAATTTAATGGAAAAATGTTTACTGCTAAACTTAACAAAAACATTTTCACGCAAAAAAAAATTTTGCCACTAAATTGAGCGGGTAATATTCCTGCTCAATTTAACGGAAAAATTTCCCTGCTAAATCTACTGGGGAAATTTTCGTTAAATTTAGAGGGAAATTTTGCGACAATTTCCCGCTAAATGGTAAAGGGGAAGGAGGGGGCTACGGAGGGGTAGGGTCCTCCTCAAGCGCTACACTCCCATTCGGCATTACAGGAAATTGTAAATGTTTTTAATTTTTTATACAATTTTCTCGGTGCATTTTATACGATGCGACTCGTATGTGGGTTTCTTTAGCAAAATTTCACCGTGCGACATCATTTTTCATGCGTTGCGCGCCATCTTTTGTAGAGCACCGTAACTCTGTAGGCATAGGTGGCGTTGCCCCTTCCAAGAGGACGGGGCTGTTGCCGCACTCCTCTACACTCTTCATAACTAACTCCGAAAGCGAGGAATTTGACGGTTCTCCAAAGCAGTACAATGTGGATAGCAGAGGCAGTGAGAATCAAGTTGTACAGCATGCAATGGCACCGCTTAATTCAGCCATGGTTCCAGATTCTTTTGCTTCAGTCCAGTAACGCTGAAAGCTAAGTAGGATGGTATACGTGCATTGCATGGAATTTTCTTGCGTCTTTCTTAGTTTCTGTTTGATGAGCAGTGTTTTTCGGTCGTTCTGTTTTGCTACGTTGTAAAAGGAATGATTTCGGCTAGCCGATCTTTCAGCAACGTTTCATTCTCTCCATCGTTTCCCTTTTGCACGCATGTGCTCCGACTTGGGGGAAATTGGGAAGGAAGTACGTAAACAAAGGAGTGTCTTCCCCTCTTTCATTTTACTCGGGTGTCCTCCAATCACCGTGCCGTTTGGGTAGATTGAGAGATTGCCGAGTCCGCATCGGGGTATTGTAGGGGTGGCCGATCGCTCCGTGTTTATTCGGAAATGGATATTCGCCCAGAAAGGGGCAATGACTCTGGATATTACGGTGCTCGCCCGGCTGCATTTGGATGCGCCTTGCGGGATTTCCTTGTGACGTGGCCAATTGATTGGGGCAAAAGAAGTTGACGGCTCTCATAAAATGACTGTGTCCCTCGTGTCTCTGCAACTAAGTAAGCCCTGCTTTCTGGTTGTAGGGAAGTCTCTGTTGGTCTCTCCCAGGGTGGCCAAGCAGAAATGGCAGACGCTTGAAAAAAATGTAAGCATTCGCTTTTCAATCATTTTCTACCTATGAGGTTTCAAGCTGCACCACCAGTACGTCCTGCAAAAAGAGACGGTCTGAGGACGCTCTCGTGTTTCTCCCTTCATTGGTTAAAGCTGTCTAACTGAGGCAGCCTGGCTTTGTGCAAATATTTAAATTTTTGAATATTTGATAATCGCTCGAGGTGAGCTACGATATTCCCATTTTTCCAATTGGGGACTGCAGCAGGTGTGCTTTGTTGAGCGGGATTCTTATTGAGCACCGATGCACCGCGGAAAAGCCACACCCGTGAAGCTCGCTTCCTTAGGTGCTGCTCCTCTGCACTGCACCGGTGCTCGGTAACAAGTGTGGGGGTAACCCCGAAGCGGTCGAGGCTTCAAAAAGTACAAATATCTTAGTTGCAAGCTTGGAACAAAAGCACACTTGAAAGAAACAAAAACTACGCAAATGTTGTGGTAAAATTTAAAAAAAATGATGCTGTCGTTATTATGCAAGAGTGTATATGTGAGGCAGAGATGCCCCTTCATCCATCATTCGGGATTGTCTTAGAAGTTCTAGATAGAAGAAAGGATATTTGCATAAATCCCCAGTTAGATGGGCTTAATTTTCTGTCCGTCATTCTCTTGCCATCCTAATGTGGGCATTGAACTTGTGGAGACATGTTGTAAAAAGTGTAACCTTGGGAACAACCTTGGTGGGTTCAGCTGGCAGGGTAGTGAAAGGCTCGGAGAAACTATTCGATACTCAACTAGAAAATATTTTGTCAAAACCACTATTGGCTAGAAGTTAAAATTTAATATTTGCACACACCTAATGCAAATGCATGAAGCTGCTTGGAACATATGTGCAGATAGTCGGATGTCTGAAGCAAACAGTGTCTCATAGGATCTTTGGCCTAGAGAAATTGCGACGAGCTATTTATGGTTATATTTTCTCTAGGATTGCGCGAATATTTCAGTTTTCGAATAATCTGGAATAATACGCTACTCGATGTTTGCTTGGAGCTGAACTGCATTATATTCCTATTTTCCCAAAGATCAGCCCCGTTGAGCACGCTTCTTACTGAGTGCCGCTGCACTGCGGAGAAGCAACACCCGCGGAGCTTGCTTTGGCGGGTGTTGCTTCTCCACAGTTTCTTGGTAAGATGCGCGTTCCATTAGGTATAGCTGGCCATCTCTACGTTCCAATGTGTCGTTTCCTTGCCATCCCAATGTAGGCATTTCAGATAGACGTAAGAAATATCTAAATGGAAGCTTGCGAATGATCTTGACAGCTGGATTTTTGTTTAGCCCTTTGCCAGCCTATGTGCGAGATCCACTTGCAATCCCAGGAAAAGAGGTGCTTTTCGATCCAAATCAATGAGCTGTGCATTGCAGAAAGTCTCTGAGAAAAGCAGTTAGGATGAAACTTAAAATTCATGATGTTACCTCGATCGAATGGGGAAAAAGGAGATTTCCTTGTGAGCCAACGTCCACCTAAGCCTAATATTGTCGAGACAAGAAATTAGATTGGGACTGTCTGTGGCATCTATGGCAGTGAAAAGACCGGTTCTAACAAAGGCAACGGGAATCGGGCATCACTTGGCTATATCCGCTATTTTTTTTTTGTAACCGACTTTGGTTAGGACAAAGTGGGAATGGAAAATGGTGATTGCTCTGCTGTAGCCGCTATTGGGTTATAACCGGTCTCGATAGTATCCTCTTTCTTGTTTAGAAGCAATACAAGTCCCGTCCACAATAGACGGGATTGATATCTTGGGTCCATACGAGGCTTAGGTGCAAGTCAGCTTGTAGCGAAAATCTCAGTTGTATTTTGATCTAGGTAACGTAATGTTCTCAGACTTTGCATTCTATCCCAACAGTTAGCGTCACAATCTAACGGAGTTTAAGCTTTCTGCAATGCTTACCTGTGCCAAAAAACGCTGCTTTGGTTTCTCGGGAACTTTCTGTGGCACATTGGAAAGTTTCCAGCTAAACGACAAACTCGGTACACCCGGGAGGTGTTGCTGTCCATATTTGGGTCAGTATATTTGTTCGGCTGGGGCTATTACTACTTTGGAGTATGCTAAAGGCTAGAAGACAGAAAAAAGGCTCTTTGCATTCATTCTCGGAAGAAAGCGCAAGTTCTGTAAAGTACTTCCGCTTGAGAGAGTAACGGAAGAAAGCCTTTTTGCCCTCAGCATTGCCCTTTTATGCTTTCTCAAACTGAACAGTACATGCTCCCGTTAGACAAAAAAAACATGCACTGACTTGACCTTAGTGCTATCCTTTTCAAAAATTGACTGGAATCTCCATCATGCGCTTTGGTTGCGCGAGGCAAGGCATCTACTGGTCCTCTCATGGACTGTAGGCATCCCCGGAAGAAATTGGGATATGCTGTACGAGGATCGTTTTCCCTCGTGTCTCCCCGAGAGAGATTGTTGCGTGCATTGTCATTATTTTTTTTTCTCGCGATCTAGACCCAACTTGTGTCAGGTGTGTTACATCGCAGCCTAAGTAACGCCGGGTAAGAGATACAATCCAAAGAAAACTTTATGAAAGGAACATAATGGCTTTTTTACAGATGGCTGCTCCAGGGAACACCCCAAGTTTGTTGATGATGATTATATGGGCCCGCAGATATATACAGCAAGGTGCTTCTTCCTAAGCCAGGAGAAACTGCAACATGCTGTCTCATTATTTTTCTCCCGACACGCAACTTCTGTCTAGGGAAGATGCTTGTACCACGAAGTTCCTGAGACTGTAAATTTCTTAGGAGGTCGTGCCCAGGTGCGCGTCTAGGCACGCATACCTAGGGGGAGGCACTCACTTGATCAAATGACGTTTTAGCCAACACCCACGTTTCACCGAATGACACTTCAGCAAATAGTTGGACGCCGCGAAGCAGTGTTTTTGGGTGGGCCAAGCGGGTTCACACTTTTGTGATAAGGCGCTGCTGACTGTCGCCGCCTAGCGGCGTATGCGCAGCGCAGGGGGGGGGGGGAGGGGGGGAGGTTAACGTGCGCCCCCATTATTCGCTAAAACGTCGATTTGCTCAAAAGTTGCTAAAGCGTCATTCGCTCATGTGCTCTGGACCCAAGAGGACTTCAGGAGCGTGGGAACCTTATTTATTGCACTCTTGAATTTCGCAGATTGACAAGCTTGTCCTGAGCAAGCAGAACATCTACACCCTGGAACGGGACATGGAGCGTTGGCTCATGGTAAGCCAATTGCCCCACTCGTGATAAAAGAACCTCCTAATCTTCCAGATCGAACTGAACTTATTAGGTCGTCTAGGGCATTGGATGTATGCACGAGTGGATGACCGATCAAATTAAGCTTTTAACGTAGTATGTGTTTAAGGGCTGGAATCCTTGAGATCATTACCAAAGGTTCAACAAATTCTTCAGAGTGTGATTCGTGAAAATTTTGTAAAGGAAATTCAAGATGCATTTCAGTGGGAATCCAGCCCCTGAACCCGGTGATTGTGAGTTTGACATTGTACCACCTTATGGCCAGACGCAAAGCTTGCTGGCTTTGTCTACTATGCTAAAGTCTATACTGACTGTTGGGACGCTCGACGCCGACATTTGGCGTTGCAGGTCAAACAGTTTCTGGGAAGAAACAAGAAGTCCAAGATGTGCCCACCATCACGTAAAAGGGGACAAACTAAATAGACACGCCATAACCCTCAAGCGTGGATGTGTCGGGGACCCCTTCGGAGTGTGCCAAAGTCACGGGTGTATACAACAACTAATTGCAGTGTGAAGAGGGCATCCTTTACTCTTATTGGTAAGGAGACCAGACCACAAAGCCCGTTTGTTTCCCCAACACAAGGCCCGTGGACAGGCCCACACGCCTTGCGGGCAGGTTTCCATTATCTTCTTCGGTAGAGCATGGGGTTGTGCGAATAGGGGATTTTGATTTCGAATGAAATCCGAAGCGAATAGTGATTTTGGCCGAATATTTTCGAATCGAATATCAAATACTTGTTGTTAAGAAATCTTGGCCGCAAAGTGGCATGCAAGATAATTATTGCAGATGTGCAATTATTAAGTGGGTTGATTTGTGAGAATGAGACCCTAATTAATTTATGTATGACTTATTTATTCGAATACAGGGTGCCAAGGTTTACAAAGATGGTGCAGGCATTGCTGAAGCTCATTGATCGGTTTCTTTTGCCGGTTTTTAAACAAAGTCGATGAAATGAGTACGATGGATATATTTGACACTTCCCACCGTAATATTTAAACCGTTCTGCCGAACGTCTGAGTATATTTTTGATTTTGGAAATTGTTTCTTACATATTTTTAGACAGTAAACAAACTTGCAACTCAAGGTTGCCAACACTTCGAAAAGCACGAATGTTACGACTGCTCTCAAATCGAATATCGAATAGCGTAATATTCGAAACTACCATTAGAAAATTCGAATATTTGCACAACACTAAAAATACTATCAATAAACGAAGAAGTCCCTCTTGAAAGTAGTCATCAGGCAGGGTATGGGAACTTGACCCGCTTGGGCTTTTGTGCTGGGCATATGCAGCGTGCATGCTGCATTGTTCCTGCAGGACAGAGGGCTGGCCCCCCTTTGGGCGACCGGAAAGCTCCAGCCGGACACCGACGCCGCATTCGGTTACATCGGCCGATCCGTGTAGTTCTAAAGTTTGGGGCACCACAGCCTGATCTCGTCCCGACAGAAGCGAGAAGCATCAAGAGGATGAATAGACGGATAGATCGGGACGGCTGTACCTTTATTAACGGGGTGGTAGTTTGCACCACCGTAGTCAATAATACTTTTTTATTTCAAAAAAAAAAAAAAAGGGGGGGGGGAGAGCTTTGCAGACTGGCTGTAGCGAAAGAAAAAGAGTCCTTCGAGCTTGAGCATGCTAACCAAGACTCGTAAGTGCAGAAGGTGTTATAGGCATTCCAGGGAAGAATAGAAAAGCGTCTTAATGGCACTGTCCACCGAAGATTCGCTTTCATTTCTGACAAATTCTGTGAGGTGGCGCTACACATCCCCTCAAAAAAGTAAAAGTTCAGGCATCTCGTATCGAACCAACGTTCGACACATCGATCAGCACGCCTCTCGTGGGGAGGCTTTCACTGAAGACTACCTTCGCAGTGTGGTTTGTATGCGCCAGGGATAAAGGACTCTGGCCACGGGCAATGAAATGTACAAACTGTCGGGGGAGAATAACACCCCGCTTCGACTCCTTAGAGCCCCAAAAAAGCCTGATAGAGCCAGTTGACAACTATCGTACAAATCGCGCTTTGAACGCCTCGTTTAGTTTTGTTTACCTTTTACTTTCACCATTTTGCTTTGTTGTTTTTGTTTTGACATTAATGCGAGAGCATTACCTTTCCCATGGATCGAGCCGACGTCATCAGCTTTGAAAACGCGCCAAAAGGCACCTATTATCCCCGGTCCCAATGGAGCCGAATGAAGCCGCAATCTGTAGGCTCCCAGCTTTGAAGCCGCGCAAAGAGCCTCAGAACACGGCAGCCAAATTCACCTTTCTAAATGGAGGGAATGTGACGGGTAGGCTCGCATTGGCTGGTGCACGTCATAGTTTCAAGGAACGAGGCTCCCGTTGGCCAGGCGTCAGATTCAGGGCGCTGCGGGCCCACGCCGGGAAATGGCTGGCTGCGGGGCCACCCAGAGCCCGCTCGGACGACTTTGGAGCGGCTCGTACGGCTGATGTCGGCGCGGCCACTTCACGAGAGCGCCCGCTCGGCCTTTGGCCCTCGGCAGTAGCAGAACGTGGCCGTCCATGCGAGTGCGCCGCACTAAGGGAGCGGAAGAACGACATTTATGCTTTCGCATTCACAACTCCCAAGAAGTTGTGAATGCGAAAGCATTCACAACTTCTTTGTTCATTCACAGCTTTTAATGAAACCCAACAACACTTTTACGTATTACAAAAAGAAGCAGCCCTTTGAATACATTTATAATATCGCGGACACCCCGGTTACTGTGGAGCGAGAATGTAAATATCTTGGTTTAATTATATCGGACACACTTTCTTGGTCTCCTCATATAAAACATATCTGTACTTCGGCATCCAGGAAGTTGGGTTTCATTAAAAGAAAGTTGAACGACGCTTTGATTCAGGTTAAGCTACATGCGTATTATTCATTAGTCAGATCCAAGTTGGAGTATGCAAATATCGTTTGGGATCCATTCACTCAGGAAGATATCCGGAAGTTGGAGATGGTGCAACGTCGAGCGGTTCGGTTTATTTACGGAAAGTATAGAAGGCTGGATTCACCATCTCAACTTATGCAGGCTAACGGAATACAGATTCTTCAGGCCAGAAGGAAACTAGCGCGGTTGAAATTCTTGTTTCATCTTCAGCAAGGACAGACTCGCATAGACCCATTGCAATATATTTCCCCTTTAGCGTCAAGAGCTACGCGGCACAGACATCAGTTTTCACTAACACCCATTTTTGCGCGTACTAATATGTTTAAATTTAGCTTTTTCCCTCGCACTATTAGCGACTGGAACGGTTTACCTCTCGAACTATTTATCGACACCAACTTTGTAGAAGGTCTCGAGCGTCTTGATAACTAACATGTTTTGCTTTGTACATTGCTGCACCTTCATCTTTTTCGCGTGGACATTAGGATTGTATAAACCTTCATACTACATCTGGATAGGTCATTTTGTATTAGTGCATGATGGAATTACATACTGCTTTATGCTTGCTTTCCCCCCCTCCCCTTTTTTTTAAATAATATATCCTGTATATTTGCTAGTTAGTTGTAAACCTTTTAATGTCGTGTTATTTGCTTTCGTTTTATGTGTGAATGTATATGTTGTATCCCACACCTACTTGGGCCTTCGATGGCTTGTAGTATCCTCTAAATAAAATAATAAAAAAAAGTGGTGAGGTATTTAAAATATTAAAACGGGGCAAAAAGACGACGGACCGGATGAAGGAGGTGTACCTCGAGCTTTTTTTTGTCGCTTTCTCGACTTGTTTCTGTGGATGAGGAAAGGGACTTTTGACAGCCTGTGGCAGGCCCTTCCCACCTCTGGAAATGATGTTTGGCATAGGGCGTCCGTCAACGATATTTTCAAATGCTGGAGAAAGATTGCCATGGCGTTCTGAGGATTGGATCTTGGGACCACCACCTGCATTACCGGGACCTTTGAGAACCTGTTGGCATTCGATAAACACTGTGTGTACGAGTCTTGAGAAGCGCCCACTAAATGGCCGCAGTTGCTGCGGCGTCGCCATAGAAAGTTCTTAATGCGATAGCATTCTTTAGTTTCTCCCCTCCCCTTTCCCATATTCCTGGACTTTCTGGCCTCCTAATGCACACTAGGTATGTGCAGTAGACCATTTCAGGCCACATTCTCGCACACATTTGCACCATTTTTGAAGGACCTGGTGACCTTGACGTCGCCCTAAAGGTCGTCTTTGAGGTCGTCCTTCGACTGCCCTAGAGGTCCTCCTAGACGATGTCCTAGAGGTCTTCCTTGAGGTTGTCCTTGATATCGCCCTAGAGGTTGTCCCAGATGTCGTCTTCTAGGACGTCGTCCTAGGGGTCGTCCTTAGGGTTGTCCGAGACGAATGCTATTTCAATTCATAGGCAGTCAACAGTAGTGGTTTCTGCAGCCAGTTTTTATAATTCTTAATTGCAAATTTCATCGGAGTGAATCGTTGAAATTAAAAGCTCTAACTAAGTGGCGTGAAAAGCCGCCTGCGCCATTTTGCGGAAACTGCGCCCCAGCCAATACCTAACGCTATTGTGCTCTAAATCGCACAACGTGTGCCAAAAGAAATTATATTTTGTCTTGGTTTCGGTTATTATCGACTCAATTGGCAACGATGAGCGCATTTAGCTTGGTCGGTCTTGCAATTTCTTTTTTCCGTTTATTTCCCCTGTGTATCCCAAGTCGGAAGCGCGCGAAAAAACTCGGGGGTCGGATTCCGAGCGCTGCATCACCTGCGACTGGATTCTTATTCTTCAACCATAAGCGGTTAAGCAAGTCAGCCGAGGTCAGGTTGAGTCGTTAAGCGTCAGATCGCCTGAGGCTCTGCGGCCCGGGTTCCGGAAGTCGGCCAGTTGAAAACAGATTAGCAAAATATTCCTTTTTGTACTTTATCGTTAGAAGTTTGAACCTCATTCCTGCAAGATAAATCGTGATTTGATTGAACTGAAACGCGGTCCGATCCGAATCCTTGCCGGCCAGCAGCTCTCACACGAGTGGTAGATCTACTCGGCGTACATTAACCTTGCTCCTGCTTATGGCTTAGAATACGATAACTTCGTTTATCGTAGTCTGCTGCTTCAATATTGAGTTGTACAAGAGGATAAACTCGAAATTGGTTGCCGTGTTGCTCCGCGCAACTGCACGTCCGTTGCTTACGCACGTCACATGGTTCGCACATATAATTACTATGTCGAGCACGTGTGGGTTGTGCTACAAGCAGTACTGGTTTGCAGTTAAAGCAGCTCAAAGCCACTCAGAAAATATCAAGGACACTATCTTCAGAAACATATGGTGCTTGCTTTTCGGTTCTCATTAAGGCCAAGTTTTCGCATCTGTTACACTGTTATCCCATCTACCTAGGTTCCTAACCACTAATGTTCATCTGTGCCGCTAAGCACAATTGAGATTGCTCCCGTGTTCCTCTAAGACACAAGCTGAAGTGCAATGGAAACTGATTTGAAATGCTCTTATCCTACTCCATAATGTAGTTTTAGCTGCTCCCAACATGCTCCGAAACAGCTGTTTCAGCTGCTCCCGTGGCTGCCCCCAAGTACATCTCATGAGTTCCACCCCTGTTTTACGTTCCCGCGGTTTTAGTTCTTTAATTTTTTTTATTGCAGCCGGGCGCATTTGAGTTTTTTACGACCACACCTTAAAATGGTTTTACGGTGCAATCCACTTACAACGCTACTACATATAAAGATATACTGCTTATAACAATCAGTTTATAGAGCTTCTAGACCAAAAACGATCAGTTTCTAGTCCAGATACAAGGATAATTGGTTATACCGACTGCATTTTTGGGTTTTCTCATTATCGTTATTACTGGATTGCACTGTATCGCATTTATTGCTTTTTGAATGCTCCAGTTGGTAAGCTCCTATTTGTCAAAATCTTGGCTACAGTGGAGTCTCATTAATTTGAACCCGAGCGGGACCAGGTCTTTGTTTGACTAAAGCAAAGTTTGAATTACCGGGAGTTTCCTTCCTAGAAACACATAGGACGGGACCTGCGTGTTAGTAATCTGAATTATCCGAGAGTTGAAATAATCGAGTTTGAATTAATGAGATTCCACTGTATTAGCGGACACGTGTAAAAATTTCAGGTGGAGTTTAAGTTAGGATACAGTCACCGACCAACTTTTAGAAACTCTGCAGGGTCTGGAAAACGTCCGAATGATGGGTCAGTCCGAAACATCGTCAGATAAAAAAAACTTGCCATGTTCCGTCTACGCGGGTTTAAGAGGGGACACTACCGAGAAAAAAAAGTTTCTGCAAAAAAAGCTGATTTTGAAAAATTACATAAATACATCCAACAACATCTAGAGAGTATTCCCAGAAAGTTTCATTAGTTTACACTACATAGTTCATGTTTTTATAAATTATTTTCTGTCCACCAAAGCTAAAGAAAAGGTAGGGTTTGGAGCACTTTAAACACATTTTTCTCCGCTCCACGTTTTGGTATAAATTCCATCCTATCGTTTGATAATGGCAATACAGGGAAGGCTCGTTCTCCACTTTTCCTGTCTGAAATTTAATAAGGAGTGCGACTATGGAATGCTTTTGTCACTTTACAGATGTCTTTTATAAAAAAATGTTGACATTTTATTGAAGACACAGAAGACCGAAAAGTTGACCAATTTTGCAGGAGAGAAAATTTATAGAAATAACTGACTTACAAAAACCTTTTCATAGTCGCACCCCCTAGGAATTCTGCTACATATCTAGCGAATACAAATCTTGAATATTGTGATAGTTTTCCGACGATAGGTTTACTAAACAATGTGGACGTGTTGCTGATAGAAGCTGTTCTAATTTCCTTCTCATTTACCCGACAGACCTAAAATTTTGTTGTGCACCCTCTAGCGTGACTACCAGCCTTCCCTGTAAATTTAATTAATTTTAAGCCAAGGCTTCAAAAGTTGACCCTCCTAGGGTGTGTGCCCCCTTAAAGGGTAACTCCGCTCAATTTCGAAAAATTTTGGCTTCCATGTGATTCACATTCACAAAGTAATACTCAACAACTCTACGTCCTCGGATTCGCGAAATGTGGAATAATATTTGTGTAATCCTAATTTAAACATCAGCAGATACCGAAACCGAAACTTCGGTTGCGTCAGGCAACATTGGTCTCGGGTCGTCACAGTCATGGGCACCTCACGTCGAACCACGTGGTCTTGTGACGTTCGGGAGGGAGCGAGAAACAGGACACGCAACGCGGGCAGGTCCTTTTTTTTTTTTTTTTTTGACGCGGGCAGGTCGCTTTTCATGGCGTGGACGGTGATGGCCCGGGGGAGAGGGGGAAGGGAGAAGACGAAAGAGGAGAAGGGGAGCGGAGAAACAGACCGATAAGGGCGCAGGGCAGCGGTGATCACGTGAACGCCCGGTCAGCCAACACCGGGAGGAGAAACTCATGACGTCATCGTTAAATTTCGCTCTGAAAAGTAAAAACAAGCAAAACGTGAGAATGAAGTATGCATGCCTCTGACGTAGTGGTTCAACGTTGGCCGCTCCAACTCCGTGGCATTGACTGCGCTGATGATCGCGCCTCGCGCCGCACGCTAGAGTTGGCAGATTTCGGCGACTTGGCTCGCTTGAAGGTTCGCTGGCCAGTTTATTAAATATAGAGACGGAATTAGATCGTAATATTTGAAATGGGGTCTTCCTATATGATACTGAAGAGGGCTACATAGTTTTCTAAATATCAAAAATGAAGCGGAGTTGCCCTTTAAAGGGGCACCGACACATCACAATAATATTTTTTTTTGTTATCCGAAAGGTTTGAAAACGATGCCGGGACATTACCCTCAAAATTCGAAACTTGAGAAGTTAGTATTTGTGGCATAAAAAAATAATTTCCAAATGCCACATTCAAAGTTCCCGCGCGATCCACGCCGGTGCGTTGACGTCAAATATTGCGGAGCCCTGCGACTCCACTTTCTTTTACGACTCCCTGCTGTTGCCATGGCGGGCCAAAGCAAGGAGGAAAGGAGCGAGCGCCGGCGGACCGGTTCTGAGCAGTGTCGCCCGTTTTCCGTGGGAGGACATAAATCCAGGAGGTGGCACCACAACGGTCTCCAATTTTTGGTATTTCAAAAAGAAGGGTCGTAGTTCGTTCGCAATTGCGTTAAAAAACATGTTTTACGATTGCCGTTAATAAATGTTGTAGAAATGTCGCCTACAAAGCTTCTAAATTTCCTGATTCTTGACGTCACAAATCAAAAGAAGCGAGAAGGCGAAAAGCGGGAGAGGAGGGCGCCAAAATGTAAAAGGGGCGCGCGCGCGTAAAAACATTTTTTTTCGCGATGCGTTTTTTTTTTCTGCGTGTCTATGACTACAAAGTGCATCGTTTTAAGCAATAAAAAAAAATACGACCCTTGGGGTGTCAGTGCCCCCTTAAAGAAGCCGTCACTCGTGCCAGGTTACGCCTCCGCTCGCGTTGGGCCACACTCTATTAGCTCGAGAATGGCTGCCTTCTTTTCTAGCGGTATGGCCGAGTACCTTCTGCGCTTCTTCTTCACGGCGGCGGAAGAACAGATGGGGTCGTGACGTGTCCGAGGCAGCAGAGTCCGAAAACACGATTCACCCAGACGAGATGAGACTGCAGAATGGCCAATGAACAAAACAAAATGGTAACACTGATGATGATAATGACGTAACATAGTGTCACCTAGCGGTAGGACTTGGCAGTACTCAAGTGCCGATCCACGCGCAGCCAATGTGGAATCTAAAATGACGGCTCCTCGGCACTGTTTCCCACCAATTGTTCGCGACCACTTGGTCAGAAAAATTAAACTTTTGGATTTGAAGCCATTCGAAACTTCAATCGTGAAAATGCATCATTTCTACGGGGTAGGTCACGGTTCCTTCTTTAGACCCGAAATGTCGAACATGTACGAATTATCGGTGTCCGAAAAATTGGGTGGTGGCTGTACTTCTGTTTATCAAATTATTGATATGTATAAGTATTTTAGGATTCCCTTTAAATTAAATGTACATTGCAGTGAATGCTTCCAATACGAATGTTTTTTTTATTTTTCTACAGGAGAGGGAGAAGCTGACGCGACACCTTGACAAGCTGATTCGCAAAAGAGACAACGCTCGGCTTGTTGGGAAGGTGAATATCTTTCCCAGACGTTGAGCCATATGGCATATTTACGCAACTGCAGGTCGACTCGATTGTGAGTTGAACCCTGCGATGAAAGACAACCAACAAAAATCGTGCTTTAGGGGCATACTTTGTGGCAGACATTTACGAATCGCTAGACTGTGGATGGCGTGCTAACTGAATACTAGTGCCCTCTGGTTTGGCTTGCATGCCGATAAAAGGCAAGGTACAGAATGTAAAAGGGGCTTTACCTTGTATCTGGCGTGTTGTCTGCTCATGTCCCTCGGCTGCCTCTGCTCCTGCGGCCCTAGTCTCGGGCGCCCAAGTCACGAACGCTACCTGGTGTTGGAAACGGGTATCCAGCGGTGCCCAATGGGCGCTGGGCATTGCTTCCAATACCATTGGAAAGAATGCGCCAGAATTCACCTCTATCTCGGTTTTTTCCTGAAGTGTTTCAGTTTCCCTGTAAGAACACCGACAGGTTTGCTCCTTGGGGTACTCTGCCCATTTTCTGTGACTTGGTAATAGACGAGCATTCTATCACAAATCCTCCAGCAGGAGTTTCTCTCTCTGGACCAGAAATATGCAGACTTGTTGGAGTTTTATACGGATTGCTCCAAATGGTCGTCTTTTGTAGGATGTGCTATTTATTCTACTTCATACAGGAAAGCCATTCAAGCTACTGCAGAGCTGTACAGTATTTTACTAGCTGTCAAACATATACTTGACAAGAGCATAGTGAAAGCTGTTATCTCCGTCGATTCACAAAATGCCTTACTGGCTGTGTTCTCCCTGATGCCTGCAAAGAATCTCCTTGCACAACATCTACACGTCGGAATCAGCAGGGCCCTCCTACGCGGTTGGGATTTAAAGTTTTGCTGGGTGCTGAGTCACGTTGGGATCGTGGGCAATGAAGAGGCAAATGAAGTGGCTCTGTGAGCTCCAGCCTCATCAACAATATCCAATGGCGTACACCACTTTTGAAGGAATCTATTTTTCACACATGGCAGCTGGAATGAGATACAGAGAGCAACAACAAACTCCCCATTATGAGGCCCGTTCTGAGCATTTGGGAGGGCTCTTATAACAGGGAACGTCGCACGGAGGTGCTTCTGTGCCGTTTAAGAATAGGTCACTCCTGATTGACATATCTGCTTCGTGGTGAAGATGTTACAATATATGTGACCATTGTGGAGAGCTTTTCAACAGGTTACACATTTTACGGCATTGCTCGTCTCATCATTCACTACGTCAAGCCTGTTTCTTGGAACTTTATTGAGATCATCTTTCGTTTGGCGTCTCGTTTTTGCTTGGTGATAAACCTTTATTTCCTCTCAGGCTAAGCTCGGAGGGGAATCTTCCCCTCTGAGTTTTGGCAGAACTTATTTTATGTTTCGAGTTGGATTCGAGAACCCAAGTGTTATAGTGAAATGGAACACTGTGCAAGTTTTTGGAGCACTCCAACATTATGCGTAGCAACTGGCTACTGCCAAAGTGGGATTCATATAACTTGAGTAATGCTTGAAAACACCCGTTTTTAAGTTATCGTTAGTGGACGACGGGGAAAGACGCTTCCTCGTAGAGCTGGTTGTCGGGGCTCTTCCCACAACCAATGGGACTTCTCTTTGTGCCATGAGGGAAGAGAAGGGTTTTTCCATCTCCACTGAGTTGACTACAAATGCAAACACCGAAATTCCTGCAAAGTGTCACCCATAAAGCTATTGCTTTAGAAAGTGGGCAAGTTTGTCAGAGGCCCTGGCTCTTGAAGCTGTCAAGCTAGACAGCAACCTGCAGCAGAACAGGCCGACATCTACTGCTGTGACACTGCTAGGATCGCGACAACGAGACACTTGCGTTGGCGATTTTCCTTCTCGAAGGCAACCAATAAGTTCACAGTGGTGGAGTAGAACCCATTGTTTAATAGCGATACGTGGAAATGGTTCAATGTAGTGAACAAACCGGGAGGTAGCATGACGCAGCGACTGACGCTTGGTTGGCTCGTCTTCAGTGCTGCTCGGCTGCCATCCGATGCTGTTGACGGCCGTGCCTCCACGGGGCCATGCGAAATGGGGAGTCGGTGGCTGGAATTCACTCGGCCCCAAGAACTACCGACTTGGCAGTGGGCGAGCTCTCTCGTACATTTGGAAGCGTGCTTAACAAACGAAAAAACAAATGACCCAAACTTGTATGACGGCATGGGGCGGAAATGAAGTCTCATTGTAGGCTCCAGCAAGGTGGCCCAGTAGCAACCATCGTGGGCAGAGCAGGGTGAACAGAGTGGGATGGAACAGGAGTTGTCTATTGGTGACAGGAAGCCTTTTGCCATTGAGGGACGCAATGCAGGCTGCTTTTGAGCAGATGTGAGCAACGGCCTCTATTCCTTCAGAATGCCCTTTTCTGTCTGCACTAGTTTCTGGGGAGACCTAGCTGGGATCTCGTTTCGGACACGGATGTTTCAGGACGAGCGCTATGTGCACGACCTGGAGGAGCAGGTGGAAGGGCTGCAGGCGAATGTGCAGTATGTGAACATGGAGATCACAGACTGCCAGGCCAACATCCTGCAGCTGGAGGAGCCCAAGGAGGAGCTGCTGGACGTGGCCTCGCTTCTGGACGGGACCGAGTCCCCTCAGGCACGCTACCTCTTTGACAAGCTGCTGCACATGGCCATCAACCAGGTGGGGACCCTCTTCACCTCTTTTCTGGGCTGAGGCACTGCCCAACATTTCCAGCACCAAACTGCACCGACTGGCTGCTGCGCAGCGGAACTGGTAGCCCTGCAATAGGCACATTGTGGTCTGGACAGCCGTGCGGTTAACCCAGTTAAAAATAACCATTGCGTCCAATTAGTTATTGACAGTTAGAACCAATGGGGAATCCTATCTGCGATTTCGGACTCCTAGCTCGAAAAAGTCATTTGGTTCCAATTAGTTATTGACAATCAGAACCAATGGGGAATCCTATTTGCAATTTCGGACTCCTAGCTAGAAAAAGTCAATTGGTTCCAATTAGTTATTGACAATCAGAACCAATGGGGAATCCTATCTGTGATTTCGGACTCCTAGCTAGAAAAAGTCGATTGGTTCCAATTAGTTATTGACAATCAGAACCAATGGGGAATCCTATTTGTGATTTCGGCCTCTTAGTTAGAAAACGTCGATTGGTTCCAATTGGTTATTGGCAATCAGAACTGATGGGGAATCCTATTTGTGATTTCGGCCTCTTAGTTAGAAAACGTCAATTGGTTCCAATTAGTTATTGACAATCAGAACCGATGGGGAATCCTATCTGCGATTTCGGACTCCTAGTTAGAAAAAGTCAATTGGTTCCAATTAGTTATTGACAGTCAGAACCAATGGGGAATCCTATCTACGATTTCGGACTCCTAGCTAGAAAAAGTTAATTGGTTCCAATTAGTTATTGACAATCAGAACCAATGGGGAATTCTATCTGTGATTTCGGACTCCTAATTAGAAAAAACCAATTGGTTCCAATTGGTTATTGACAATCAGAACCAATGGGGAATCCTATCTGTGATTTCGGACTCCTAGCTAGAAAAAGTCAATTGGTTCCTGAACATCACCAATTGGAACCAGTTCGGCATTGTCAATTAGGTGGAACCAATTGGAAAAATCTATTTGTGTTTTCGGACTCCCAATGGAAAAAAAAAACATTTAGTTCCAACTGTTCAAATCTAATTGACAGATACCGATTGGTACAACTACTAGTGTTTGGATATCCCAAACTAGAAAAAGTTGCAACTAGATCGTAAGGTAGATAATCACAACAGTTTTTATTTAACTTATTAGAAATGATTTCTTGCTTCCAGGCATCGTCGTTTTCTTCCAGGCTTGTAGTTGCAGCTTCCCTAAAATGAAGGATAAATAAGCTTTGAATGACTTTATCGGACTATAAATGTTGAAATGAAGCTTAGAAACCTATTAAAAAAACTTTCTCGCTGCAAAGAAATTAGTTGCGGTGGTATAAACCTGCAGGAATTGCACTGAAAACTGCAGATATTGGTTTTGCGGCAAAAACCTGCAGGCCTTGCATTCAAAGGCAAACATCCCTGGGTGACTGAAACAGTCTGGTCAAAATTAGGAGATGAAGCTTTTGTCGAGGGACTGGCTAGATTTGCATGCGGGATGGCTTGACTACTCAGTTTCCTGTGAGCCTGTGAGACATACTATTCTTTGCTATAAGGGGAAAAACAGTTAATCGAAAGGCATCTCTGTAAAGCTGGCCAGTGCACCTGAAAAATGCTTGTGCATGGAGAAAAAAATAAGTGTCTTTCGTATCTAAAAAAAATCGTACATTGCAGGCTGTGTTCCAAATCTAACTCTAATGGACCAGAGGCAACGCTGGATGCTGATAGGTTTTAGAGGCAAAGTTCCTTAGGGTCTAGTCTTGTCCGTCCGGCGTCTGTGCTCACATCGATCTTGCTGGTGCTCGTGCTCGTGAGCTCACGTGCTCACGTGCTCGTGTAGGGCAAAAAAATAAAAAAAAAAATAAAAAAAATGATAAAAACAAAATGGTTGTGCAGTCGAAAGGATTCGAACCTGTGCGGGGAGACCCCAATAGATTTCCAGTCCATTGCCTTAACCACTCGGCCACGACTGCGAGACGAGTAGGGGGCTCTGAGATGTGGTAGGAACTTAAAAGCTGGGGATGTCATGGATGAAACGTTGCATGTAGACGCTAATGACTATACAGGAGGGGGCGCTGTGGTCTAATGCGTGTATAATCGCATTAAATCCTGCATGCATATGCTCAACGTTTATAGACAAGAGGGCGCTGCAGTCAAATGCTCAAATGCGTATATAACCACGCGCCATATCACACATTATCTTTTTGATATGGATGAAAACGAACGAAAGGCTCGGCATGCTGCGGCTCAGTCTACGCAGACAAGCACCACCAGAGTTTCGTCCCAATCAACATCATTCACCACGAGGAGATGCGGTCATCTTTCTTGTTGTTTTTTTTAACTTACCCTGAGTGAGATAGAGTAAATTTTGAAACATGGCTGCATATAGCCCGTCGGATGAGATGCAACATTTTCGGGACCTACGGTTATTTTATTAAAGTCGTCAACATTCGGAGGTAATGACCCATTACCCGACCTGACCAACCGACCCCCCCCCCCCCTCCCTTCCCTTTTCTTCCCACTAAAATTCCCCCAAAATTGCTTGATTTTGAATCCCAAAACTTCAAGTTTTGAAACTGTGCCCCGTCAGTGTTTTCAGCAATCCATAGTTTAGTTTTCAGATGCTTAAAACACGCTAACTTTTCTCGCGAATACCCAACAAAAACTTTCGAACTGATAGCTGCCCGGAAAATTTTCTTCTCTAAAGCTATGCATTCAGGCTCGTATCGTTCACTGAAGATCAAGCAATGAGTGTCTCAGCAGATCTAACAATCCGAAATCCCCGAACTGCAATGCAGCCAGCTTGAAAAGAAACAAAGAAAATTCCTTACCTTGCTTCCATGAAGGTTTGTTGCCGCGCCCTAACGATCTGACAGGTCAAATGAAGTAATTATCACTGCACCATTGAGCACTCTACAGCAAAACACAAAAAAACTTTCTTCAATCATTGCCATAACCATGCTACGAATGCTGTGCATGCCATCTGTGCCATGTGCTTTATGTTTCCAATATCTAGCCACCATTCTTCCACCGTCCTCGCGGCGCCATTGCAGCCCAATGCAGACCGACGCTGCTGGCGATTCCTACCAATTCTAGCAACAGGTTTTTTTTTCTTTTTATTACAGCCTGACCTACAAAAAGTTTTTCCGCAAGGTAGAAAAATTATTTTTGCCACCTTTCCCATTTATTCCTGTCCCGTTGCTATCTTGACGGTGGCGGACTCCTTTTGTTGCTGCGTCTTGGGGCTGGGTAGGCCGGGATAAGCTACCGGCTTATCCAGTTCCAATATGTAGGAACAAGAGGAGCCCCTGCACCGTCAAGATAGCAAGGGGAGAGGAATGAATGGGAAGGGCGGCAAGAAGAATTTTCTTACCTGGCGGAAAAACTTTTTGTAGGTCGGCCTTTAAGTAGCGTCACCAATTTTTTTTTCCTTTTAATTTGCGATGTTGAAAAAATTGATTGCAACGCAATACTGAAAAAAAATAAGTTTCATTTGAAAATAAAAGAAAACGTAACGCATTCTTTGGAAACTTATTTCTTGGTGAGGATAAAGAGATAATGGCAAGTTCTGTCTAGAAAGGTAGTTAATTTGTAAAGTATGCAGCCATCAAGCGTACAAACTACATTTCAAACCAATTACAATGACCAATTGGCTGAGCCAGAAGCGGTTGGAAATATTAAACCCAACTGGTTTTTTATTGATCCCAATTGGGGATCAATAAAAATCAATTGGAAACATTGAAAACATAAAGTTGGAAACATTGAATCCAATTAGAGTGACCAATTAGGTAACCCAGTGCCAATTGAATTTTGTTGGTCCTAATTGGGGTAACCAGTTGGAAACATTGAATCCAATTAGTGACGAATTAGGTGGCGCAGTGCCAGTTGAATTTTGTTGGTCCTAATTGGGGTAACCAATTGGAAGCATTGAAACTAATTAGAATGACCAGTTGGATGACCCAGAACCAACTGAATTCAATTGACTCCAATTCGTTCCAATGAAATATCCTAATGGGACTCAATGGTTATTTTAACTCGGTTGTGGCTTGGACAGTTGCGGTTTGCACAGTTGCGGTTTCGGCAGTTTTTCTGGGAATGGGACAATTGTAGTTACCAGCGTGTGCGCTTGAAGCCGTGATGTTCCAAGTTTGCCCAGCGTATGTAGAGGAACAGACACATTTGAGCTTGAAGCTTGCAAAAAAGACCATTTGTTGAATTGTGATTTGAAAGTGACTCTCTGCCCCTTGTGCAGAGTGTTCAGGCAAACCAGCACCAGGCGGCGGTGCAGGAACTGGAGGCCAGGCTGCGGCAGGTGGAGGCCAACAATGCAATGAACCACGACCTGCTGGAGCACAGCCTGTATGCCATGCAGATGGACGTGCTTGCCACCGAGGAAGCAGGTGGGCACTACATTGCCTACCTGGGCAAACTGTTTTGTAGCGAGGTGCTGAGTTGAGCACGGTCATGAACAGCACACAAGAGGATAAGCGCCTCTTCTACAGTGTCTCTTGTGCGCTGTTTATAACCACCTTTTTATTCTAAGCGATACATGACTTAAACTGACATCACATTGGCTGCTATTCTGGTGGCTTTGATTGCCTTCGGCAGCAACGTTTTACAGCATCGAATTTGCTTTTTTTGGCAAGAACTAGTAGGAGTGACCACCTTAATGGTGCAACAATGTTGTGTGTAAGCCTCGTATAGGATTGAGTGCAAAGAAAGGAATGTCAAACCTGAGAACACCACGTTTCATGCTTCTTAAAAATAAGAAAAATGTGGCGTTTGTTCTGGTCTTGCAAGGGCTTGCATCTAGGGCTATTATAAAGGGCACCTTCTTTCTTAACTGCGGCATATAATGCTGACATTACACATCCTGCCATAATAAAGGAATGTCAGTAGGGTAAGCCTGCTTTTCTTCGTAAATGATCTTTACTGTATAGAGGCTCAACGTGTACTTTTTTTTTAAATATAGCGCGAAAATTTTTATGACATTTGCATGTTTGCTGCAGAGGTCTTTCTAGTACTGGAATGGGCATTTGTGGGGCTTATGTTTCTTAAATTAAGACGATTTGGAAGCCTAATGATTCAAATAAATTTCAGGCAATGTTGACGAAACCAGAAGTTGCGCTTGCGCACAAGTTAATTTAACAGATGCAGCAATAGTCACGCTGGGGCCATTGATGGTGACATTCAAGACTGCGGGAAAAGCCAGCTTCTGGGTGCGTAGAGCTCCAGTGAGGCTTGTCAGACAATTGGTCCTAGTGGTCGGCACCTGTTCTTTTTCCATTGCGAGTTGTTAAAAAGATACACCCGTCAGCCTGCATGTAAGGGAGGACAACAATCTTGCAAGCGGTTACCATGGAAGCGACAACAGAAGCAAGGACGAGTGTTTTATCGTAGAAACCCGTGTAAGGGCCGCACATTTTTTTACAGTGGAGCTGTTGAGGGCTAGTTTCCCCAGGAAATGTGGCGCGAGCTGACGAGATGAAGCAGGTTTTGGCCGCAAAGAAGTCTGCCACACAACGGAAGTTTGACCTTCTCAGTCACTGTCGAGGATGACGAGACAGATTCTGGCACGCAGTTCGTGATTGTAGATCTTGAATGTGTTGAAGACGTTCTTTGCGACCACCAAATGTGGGCAGTGCGGAATGGCCACGCCCATTCACAGGCTGGTGCTTTGAAAACGTCCCCTAAAAAAGCCCTTCTTAGGGCTAACCAATTGTTGCATATGGGGCTGCTTTCCCTACCCGTGTCTCTTCCTTAGTATGAAATTCAAACCAAAGCCATTCCACCCATCTAAAGCTTCAATATTGTTAGTTATGCATACCCAAATTTCAAAGTCGATTTTCTCAGCTTCGGTTTTTTCAGCCTCCTCTTCGGCCAGGAAGGCTTTTTGATTCACTTGGGCTCTACCGAGGTTGTACTATTTTCTGTGGAATGAACTAGACTGCAAGCTAGAGCTATTTTTATTATGATATTTTGTGGGATATAAAACTGGTATTTCATTATAAGACATTGTTATAGCCGCTGTTACATGTCTTCTCTTCACTTTAATTTTTTTACATGATTATATGGTGCTAAAGAAATAAAAATTGATTTAACTTGTATGGCATTTCTTTAGGAAACAATTGATACCTTTTTTTCATTAAAATTTTAATAAGGTTTTTTAGAACCCTTCCTGAAATTAGCTAATTAATATTTTATTTTGTTGATAACTTTTCAGAACAAGATATCTGAAATCTGATTGCAGTTATGAAATCACCACAATAAACTATGTGCCTGTGCAAAAAATCGTTAAGATAGACCAATAATCAAAAATTGACCGCATCTGTGGTGAATGAGATTAATTGAGGTGAAGCTCTGGTGGTGCTTGTCTATGTAGACGCTCAGCCGCAGCATGCCGAGCCTTTTGTTCGTTTTCATCCATTTCAGAAAGAGAATGTGTGGTATGGAACGTGGTTATATACGCATTTGAGCATTTGACCGCAGTGCCCTATAAACGTTGAGCCAATGCATGCAAAGTTTAGCGAGATTATATACGCATTGGAACGCAGCGCCTTCTCCTGTATAGACGTTGAGCGTCTACATGCAACGTTTCATCCATGACATGACCGGCTCTTGAGTTCCTACCGCATCTTAGAGCCCTCTACTCGTCCCGCAGTCGTGGCCGAGTGGTTGAGGCATACCTCGGCAAACCTCACTCATGAGGGCCCTCACTCACCCTCATCTTCACAGGTGAGGTGAGGGTGAGTGAGTTTCTGGACCAGGAAAATTCATGAGTGTGAGGGTGAGTGAGGGCCGTGAGGGCGGTGAGGGGTGTGAGGGGTGTGACGGCCGCAAGGGCGGTGAGTGGCGTGAGGGCGGTGAGTGGCGTGAGTGGCGTGAGTGGCGTGAGTGGCGTGAGTGGCGTGAGTGGCGTGAGTGGCGTGAGTGGCGTGAGGGCCGTGAGGGCCGTGAGGGCCGTGAGTGGCGTGAGGGCGGTGAGGGCGGTGAGGGCCGTGAGGGCGGTGAGGGCCGTGAGGGCGGTGAGGGCGGTAAATGGTATGAGTGGCGTGAGGGCGGTAAAGGGTATGAGTGGCGTGAGGGCCTTGAGTGCGTGAGTGGTGTGAGTGGTGTGAGGGCGGTGAAGGGTGTGAGGGCCGTGAGGGCAGTGAGTGGCATGAGTGGCATGAGTGGCATGAGTGGCATGAGTGGCATGAGGGCCGTGAGGGCGGTGAGTGCATGAGGTGGGGTGTGAGGGCCATGAGTGCGTGAGGGCGGTGAGTACGTGAGGCCCCCTTCAGATCGAGCATCTTTCTCAGCAATTTTGGTGTTAATGGCGGGTTGTTCTCTAGCTTTCCCAAGATCGACACGAATTGCTGAGATCGGGTCCGGCTCGAAATAAGCAAGCAACTCGGAGCAATTCGAATACGTTTAAAGCGGCTGCATCCAATTCGGGACGCAAAATTTTCAAGTGATACCTCGTGCCGGTGATGATGACACAAAAAGACTTGGTTCTGGTTTGAAGTCGATCGTTTTTTGGAAATAAACTGTTTCGTGTGTCACCGAGGCTTGTTCGAGTTCACTCGGATGCCGTTCGGATTAACAGGTGCACCGATGACATTCCAGCGGTTGATCGACGGGGTGCTCGGAGATGCCAAGTGGCAGCACGCGCTCGCGTATCTGGACGACATCATTGTGTACTCGGAAAATTTCGAGGACCACCTTCGTCACCTCGAAGACGTGTTGCGCAAACTACGGATCGTCGGCCTCACACTAAACCTGACTGAAGCCCAAATTGGAGCTTCTGAGATTAGCTTGTTGGGATTTTGGATCGAGAGAAGAAAAGTTTCCCCTGACGCGGACAAGTTGCGGGCAATCTGGGAGTTCCCTGTTTCTACCGATGTCGGGGGGGTGCGCCGTTTTCTCGGCATGATAGGATACTACCGAGCCTACATCCCGAACTGCGCAGCCATGCAGGCACCCCTCACGCAATTGCTGAGGAAAGCGGCTCCCTGGAGCTGGGAGGCGCCGCAGGAGGAGGCGCCGCAGGAGGAGGCGTTTCTCCAGCTGACCAAGGCTTTGGCGCGTACAGCATCCCTCAAACTGCCAGTGCCTGAGCGAACGCCGCAAGCAACGCCGTGGATTCACGGGACATCTCCGTGCTTTGCGGCATAGACACTACTGGCGATGCCGTCGGCGTTTCCGGACTCAGCACTACGGTCATCTCCGCGGCGTTCCCCTCCGCCAACCCCGAGAGCCGTCGCTCTTTTTCCACTTGTGTCGTCGCAACATCCGCCAAAAACATTAAATCTGTTAGCGCGAAATTACCCGTGGTCATCCAGAACACTTGTTTGGACGTGCCCTTTCCATCTTCACAGTGCCGCGGTATAGACCCGCCAACCAGGGGGACTGCCCCGCGTGACCTTTCACGCAGTGCCGTCGACGGACGTTGCGACTGTAATTACGGCTCGCCTGCCCCAACGGTGTTGCGCTCTTTCTCATCTCATCTCTTTTTGTGTGCTCTTTCCATAGAGGGCTCCACAAAGAGGCAATAAATTATAAATATGTTGTTTTTTTGCTGGAGGGAGCAAGTCTCACTTTGACCAATGAAAACGGGTAGAAATAACAAAAGTAATACTGGCAAACTGATAAACCAGAAAATCATGCGGAAAGTAACCATCCTGATGTATTGCTGATAGCCGAGGCCAGCGATAAATCCATATCCGAATTCATATCACCTTGGCTACTGTAGTGGCTGTAGGAACAAAATTGCAAAAGAGTTCAGCTTTTCCACTTTCGTAAAGAAGGATGACCAGCATAGCTGTACTCGTTACACTGCCGCAACGCGCACGCGTCCGATTCCTACTTCTACTTGTCTAACACGCCGCCGATCGTGGATACGTCTCCGGCGAACCAGAGTCGGTCGCACGTGACGCCAAGCGGGTAATCCACAAACTTCCACCGGAACCTCGCCGCTGCACCCGGGAACTGTTCAGCCGGCGTGGAATGCAGTCATCGCCAGGCCTCGCGCTTGCGCTTGGCCTCCATGGCATGATCGTCGTCCGTGGACGACTTCTAAGACAACCTCAGAAATGACGTCTAGGACGACCTCAACTACAACTTCTAGGGCGACCTCGAGGACAGCGTCTAAGACGGCTTCTAGGACGTGTAAAACGATCTCATAGACGACGTCTAGAACGACCTCAACGACGCCTTCTAGGATGACCTCGAGGATGCCGCCTAGGGTGACCTCGGGGACGACCTCGGGGACGACGTCTAGGAGAACCTCAAGGACGACATCTAGGACAACTTCAAGGACGACATCTAGAACAACCTCAAAGACGAGATCTAGAACAACCTCAAGGACGATATCCAGGACAACCTCAAGGACGACGTCGAGGACAACCTCAAGGACGACGTCGAGGACAACTTCTAGGACGACCTTGAGGTCGACGTCTAGGACGACCTCACAAAAAACGTCTAGAACGACCGCAACGACGACTTCTAGGTTGACCTCAAGGACGCCACCAATAGCGACCTCGGGGACGACGCCTAGGACGACCTCAGGGACGACGTCTAGGACGACCTCGAGGGCGACGTCTAGGGCGGCGTCTAGGGCGCCCTTGAAGACAACGTCTAAGATGTCGGGGCGACTTCTAGGATGACCTCGAGGATGACCTCAAGGACGACCTCAAGGATGACTCCTAGAGAAATTCAGCCTTTCCACCCTAGTGAAAACCAGAGTGGAAAGGCTGGAAAGGTTGGCGCCATTCTTGCCAAGCTCGAAACCATACTGCGCAGTCCAAAAACAAAACGGCAAACTCGACCGCGTGTTGACACTAATCAGTGAATTCCGCGTTATTCGTAGTTTTCGAAGTACTCAAAGAACTTGAATACTTCAAACAGTGAAAGTGCGAGGTGAATCGTATGGAAAAGCAAGCATTATTCGCGAAGTATTTGAAGTTTTGAATATTCGCACACCCCTAATTTCAATTGTGGGCAGCCGTTATCTTTGTCTTTCAGGTTCAGCATTGCTATATTTTGAACAAAAGCTATCTTGAGAATCTTAACAACTTGTGAAAAGGAGGTGGTATGTGTCAGTTCTTAGACATTGTTGGGAGGATTATCCTTTTGCATTGTGATTCTGATTCCTAATGCTTTTGTTGTTTTGCAGCGAGCACCCCCAGTTCGCGGTCCGTGCCTCCCACCCTGACCTTCACGTAAGTGTTGAGGTTAAGGTATTCTGTACGAAGTAGGGCGCAAATTGTCCATTTGTTTTATCACATACATATTTAGAAGGAAAGACCATTTTGTAGAGATAGGACCATACTTATTTTTCGGGTACCCCAAAACAACCGGACAGCCTTCTCTTGCGTGCACCAATGCAAACACAAAGCAGAAGAAGCTATTGAGCACTAAATCTACTCGCACAAACCTACCGTAAAATCCCGAGAGATGCCCCACCACTGAAAGATAGCCCACCTCTGTTTTTGGCTTGATTTGCTATATTCTTTTAAACACTTGAAGCTAGCCCACCCCTGGTAATAGTAGTGTTGTGTATACCGTAAAGCCCCGCATATAATAAGAGTTTTGTTTCTTAAAATTTTGCCATGTAAAATTTGCGGCTCCTATTTTGCGCGGGTCCCAACAATTTTCAGCTTCGATGAGGCGCGATCTAACGCTGTTTGACGTAGTTTCGGTTTCGAAGCAGTAGGGCGCTCAAAACAGCTGTCATCGTTATTAAAGTCGCAATGTCCGAGGCGCCACCATCCATCCACAGTCGGGCTCGGCAACGGCGTCGGCGCGAAAACAATCGGCAGCTTTCAAAAGAAAAGTCATTTTGGCTGCGAAAGACATCGGCAACAGTGCTGCCGGATGACAATTCGCCGCAAAATGAGGGCAAGATCCGCGGATGGGGACGACAAAAGCAAGCTCTGTTTGCATGCAACGGAACTAGAAGAAGCTTTAGGAGCCCGAAGAATGGTGTTTTCGCCGACGTCGAGGCAAGCCTCGGCGACTTTGTAAAAGAGCAACGTGAACGGCACCTCGCTGTAAACATGGAGCTGCTGCATAAGAACTTTGGCAAGCCGGCATTGGGTTTTTCGCTTTATGCACCACACCGGGATTTCACTGCATCATCGCTCTCTTGTCGCTCCTTCTTTCAAGAAGTGCGGGATTTCAAATGCGCTCGACGGCACTGAAGACTGCCTTTGGGAGGAGGCGTCGGACAAGGAGTCTGATGGACGTGATGGCAGTGATTAAGGTTCAATTATGACGCAGATAAAGGTTTTTCTTAAGACTTCCTGGGTCATACTTCACGCGAAAGATTTTCATTGTCCTTGTATTTGTTTCGCATTATACGCGGATAAAAGTTTTTTTTTGCGGTCCTCAAATTATGTCTCGTATTATACGCGGGTTTTTACGGTACTTTTCTACTGGTCCGTCGTTTGTTTGCGCTGCATTCTCATTGCAATCAATAATGGCTTCGGCAGAAATGTGGTTTGTTAGCTTTGGCGGGATATAAGCGAACGTTGCTGACTGGGAAGTACAGTCTTCTTTGCTTCCTTGCCCCTCACCACCCTAACAAGCTTAGAAGGGACACAACCTAAAAAAAGTAATTTTTGAAAACTTTCCCTGATTGTATGCCGAAAGTTAGCCCACTCCATATTTTCACTCGATTTGCTCTCGATGTTAGGTGGGCTCTCTTTCGGGATTTTACGGTAGTACTAAACGGAACTACTACTAAACTGAATTGTAGCATATCAATGTGGTGCAAGCTCATCTAAAAAAACCTAGATAATGAAATGTCTTGCATCTTTAAAATCTGAAGTTGAGCATTGCTAGTAATGGAGTGCAATCGATTAGTTTCTTTGTTTGAGTATTGGTATATACCCAAAGATGGTTGGGAGGCATTCACTGACTGCCTTAGCTGTGCATGATTGTATTGAGCATGTGCTGACCGCGAGCTTTCGTGGCAATATTCTTTTGTCAAAGGCTCGATAAGAATCGGAGCACATCAAATTGGCTCATGTTTTGCCTTCTCTAAGCCTGCCTGCAAGCCTGACATGCGGTGAAGCCTCACGGGTGTGCTCCAGTGCAAAGTGGTGAAGCTTAAAGAAAGCATTGCAATTGTCATGGATACTTACCAGTGTTGTAGGCATTACCGTAAAGTAGTAACGAAATAAGTTACTTGTTACTCGCAAATAAAAGGAATGCGTTACCGTTACAGATAAAAAGTAACACCCGTTACTTGTGCGTTTCTTTTTTAACATCATTAATTAACAGGTTTAACATTTTGACGTTACAGGCACGCATAAGGGCCATATTTTAATCTCCATCCAGAAATTGAACGCAATTGCCTTATATTTTTATACAGTTCCACCAAAATACTCACTAAAAAAAAAGGCAAAGAAAAGCGTAAAACCTTCGAAATTGTATATTGCTTGGCAATATACAATTTTGGGCACCTGGAAACACGAATCAAACTAAAGTAGTTTTTTTTTAAGTGTTAGGAAGAATATGTAACGAGTAACGTAGCTATGCTACACATTACTCGAAATAAGTAACGTAAGTATGTTACCCGTTACAGTTTTGAAAAGGTGACGAATATGTTAAATTAGTGGAAAAAGTAACACGTTACCGATAACGCCGTTACTTGTAGCGCATTACCGCCAACACTGGTGCCACCAAGGGGTCGTGCAGTCAACAAGCGGCTTTTAGGTGGGGGTAGCTAGGTATGCCACCAAGTAAATAGTTTTATTCACCATTTTATGTCCATTTCTTTGGTTGGAATTATGGTTCAACTCTTTATTTAAATGTTAGAAATGATTTTCAGCCGCGATTATGTAAAGTATGCTAAATTTCCATGAAATGAAATATCTTTTTGTTTGACAATATTCAGTTTGAAGTAAAAAAAGGTAATTGCTGATACCTGCTTTGCACCTGCAGGGCCGCATCAGAGGTGGGCAGCCTCGACACCAGCAACGTCACCTTCCGGAGAAGCAAGGTCGGCCATTTCTTGTTTCTCGCCTCGGAATCAGCGGCATTGTTGGCGTGCACTTTTGCGGGATCCAGGTGTTCACCATGATGCAGAACTGTGCACAGAGAGACAAAAGAGAAAGGAACACCGACAGCTCTGGTCTCTTGGTTGCTTTGGGTGCAAAAGAGGCTGCCTTTTTGCAATCATTTGGCTCTGACTGATGTGCATTCCCCCTGGTGTCGGTCTCCTCTGTCACGAATGAATATTGCTTCCTCTTCCTTTCTTCACCTAATGCACCAGAGTTCTGTGTTTCCTCCCCCTTTGTCTCTTTTTGCGCAATTTTTCATCATGTTCAACGTTTACCAACTCGCCCAGCTATTGCTTTACTGCAGTGTTCAGTAAAACTTGGAACTTTGTTCCAAGTTTTGCTGAAACTTGGAACAGTCGCCGACCGATTATTCGGACTTCGCAGGGACCGAAAAAATATACGAATAATAGAACAGTCTGAAAAATCAGCAGATTGAAAAACTTTCCTTTATGACTTAAGAGTGGACTCAAAAAAGCCGTAAGTACTGTATAATGTATACCAATTCACCGCCTGCTGCCTGAAATTCATAAAAAAGGTGGGGTTGGCCATGTCTCGGTGGGTGAGCACAAAAAGTTGAAAAAAGCCGGAAAAACTGCCCATTTTTCTCTGCGTATCTAGCGCAGCTGCAAAAGGGATACGTTAGCGTATTTACTCACACAATGAACGCAGTCACGTATTAAACGCACCTCCAGCTCGGACGTAAAAATTTTGAGCCCCTCCCCCCACACGCGCGAAATGAATCCGCTTCTCTATCCTGGTGCAGCGAGGTTGCAAATGCATGGGCAGCATGAGCGAACGAAACGCCTTGTGAAAGGCGTTAAAGAATAAAAAAATAAAGAGCTCCAACGGAAGCAAGAAAAAAAAAACGGGAGTTTTTTTTTTTGCATAGGCCAGTCTGGACTTCGGGGTCGTGCACTGCGCGCAAGGAGGTAAAGAAGAGAAGCGAAGAAGCTCTCGCCTAAGCAACACCCAAGTACACGAAACAGCTTGTGAAAGACGGCAAAAAAAAAAAAAAAACCCACAGAGCTAAGAAAAAAAAAAAAAAGCAGCCTTTTTTTTTTTGTGCAGCCCAGTTTGGTTACGGGGATGCGCACCGCGCACAAAGAGATAAGAAGTTACTTCGATTTTTCAGGATAAAAGGTCCTTCATTATGCGAGTAAATGCGGACGCAAAAATTATACTTCGCGTAATGAACGCCCCCCCCCCCCCCCCCCTCAAGTTTGCATCGATTTTTCGGGAAAAAAGTGTGTTCATTCTGCGAGCAAATACGGTACTCGATTTTGTTTTATTGTTTTATAGAAAAAGTGCTCACGAAAGAATGTTTTACTATCGCAAAGTCCGGTGCTTGCATATGCGCTAGGAACACCGCCAATCTGCATACACGGCAAACGTTTGTTTCGTAAAAGTTTAAAAAAGAAAAAAAAGAGGAAAGTGTATAAGAAAATAGAAAAACCAGCCAGGCGCAACGAGCGAGCGAGCGGCCAAGGAAGCGATGAAGAGCGTTGCTGGGAAAGCGAAGAGCCGGCCATCGCTTGGGCAAATACTTTGGTTTGGGGCCAACTCGGGCGCCTTGTGAATCGCAAGTCCTTGCGCAACTTTCTTGTTTGGTGCGTACATGGGTGGATCCGTGCACGGCGTCCTATCAATGGGGGTACAAACGTCTGCGTAGGGCGTTCCAGCAAAGCTTTATTTCCCCTTTGGCTTTGTCTAAAACATTGCACACCCGCGGTCGCGACGTGCAAGGAGAAGGAGCGGGTTCGCGGCGACTTCGGCGGAGACAGACTTCGACCTTACGCTTCACGGTTACATTTCCAGGATACGGGGCGTTCGTTTACCGTGCGATCCCTGACTTACTGCTTGTGTTGTCTTTTTGACTTTTTATTTTTGTCTGGTCGATTTTATTTTGTAAACAAAACAAACTTTTATTTTGTTCATATTGTTTTTCTTTTGCACTGACGCACTATCAGTTCAGGGTCGCTCACGGAGGAAATGCGTAAACAAAGAGAAGTGTCTTTGCCTCCTTCCTTTTATTTTGTCACGGGTGTCCTCCAACTGTATGGTCCGCGGCCGTGTCATTCGGGTAGGATGAGTGTTCGCAGATCTCGGAGTCCGTGTTGGGGGTATTTGAAGGGGGTGGGCGATGACTCGGCATATTACGGTAGTGCCTTGTTCTATGTTACGCCTCCGTTTGTGTTTGTCTGCTTTCTGTTAGCTTGAGAATCACTGCCTTCTTTTCTAGCGTTATGGTCGAGCACTTTCTGCATTTGTTAACGACACATCCCGGTCGCGGAAGAACAGATGGCGCCATGACGCCCAAGCCAGCGTTGTCCGCACAAAATGAGAGGCGCAAATCCATGAGCGCAAAATGGCAACTGGCGACATGAAAGTGGGGCGGAGGCGCAAAGGGATGGAAGCATACAAAGCAAAATGATAATAAGGATAATGATGACAACTTGCAGCTAAATGGGAAAAAGGGCTAGCATACCGTATTTACTCGCAAAATGAACACGCTTTTTTCCCCGAAAAATTTACACATATTTAGGGGGGGGGGGGGGGGGGGGGGCGTTCATTACACGGGGTAAAATCTTTGCATTTACACACTTCGTGCAAATATCGTATTGGGTGCCAATATGACACGGCAAGGTTCCTCAGCACGTCTCCAGTGATGGAGGTGCACCCACGGCTGGTTGGGGGCGCGCCATAATAACCATGCTTTATAAATTGCAAACCTTTTTGGAGTACTTTCAGGGTTTCTTTTGCCAATGGAAAAGCGCCCTACGAATCTCACTCAGCACGAAAAGCAACACGACCGTTCTTAGGCGAACGATATTGCTAGTATCCAGCGGGCACACTCAGGTATATCCGCAGCTAGGCGTTGAACTCGTATAAAAACTTGTAGAAAGTCCAATTGCCAACCGCTAAAGCTCGCTCGAACGGATCAAGTTTCGTTCACAGAGACAAGAACTTGTACGAAGTCCAACCGCCGACCACCGAAGCTTGCTCGCACGGATCAAGTTTTGTTTACGGAGAGACTACCAGACACTCTCGGCCTACAGCGCAGCGTGCACCTCGCTGTGCTGTTCTGCTATGGATTAAATAAACGCATTTACCCCGAGTATGTGAAATTAGACCCAACCACTTTCACAATTTCGCTGTCCAAAAGCGAATCACAGACGACTGCTTGTTTGTTGACATCAATGCAACCGATAGGGGAAGAATGTCCGGGACTCGGCAATTCCTCGCCCCAAGCTTTGTCCAGTGTGCGCGCCGCTCGGTTTCATGGTATCACTTCCGCGACTATGCACTCGAAGCCATTACGAGAGCGGCTGGGCTTGGCTTGACCGGACCGTTTGGTGGAAAAAGAAAATTAGCTCGGTGGCACGCTAAATTGGACGCAATTCGAGACTCGCGGAGCCGAAGATTGGACGTGCATTCATTGCCGAGAGAAAAAAAGTCTAAATATGAGTACCCGTTGGGGGGGGGGGGGGGGGGGGGGGGGGGGGGTGCGTTAATTATGCGAGTGTATACGGTATTTTTTTTCGTTTCACCATGAACACTGAAAAACAACAAAGTTGTACGAACCACCTGCGGACTACGTTCAGTGCGTCATCAAGTTCTAACGGCTGCCTGATCCTTGGAACTGTAGTCTCCTCGTTCAGATGTTTCTGCTTGTCGTCTGCTCGCTCAAACGACAGCGGCCTGTAGACCAATCCTTGACCCGGTAATTGCGATAAAAATTCAATGCGAGCCTCAAAAGGCTGAAGGTTGGTTGGGGTCAGCAGGCTTGGTGTAAACAGTGGATACGAGGAGAGGTTGATCATTGTTACCTGTGGCCATCGCTGACCTGTTAGGCCTGATAGTAGACTTGGTCCGGTTCTGCTCTCGATTTTCAGTATCTGCGTCGACCATCTCAGTTACAGTTTACGCTTTTGCAGCTTGAGCGACGCCATGACTGAAAATAGCAAGCAGAATCTCACCATACGAATTCGGGCTTGAGCGTCCATTCTTGGGGCGTTCATGTAGAATTAATGGTCGCATGTGGCATTATTCACGCCAACTTTTGCGGTGTAACGAGCCTCGTTGATTTGGCTCAGGCCGCTAAATGAGTCGGACATTCGCAGGAAGACATCCAATGAACAATTCCAAGGCGAAAAAGAGTCCGACCAGATTGCATTCCAGTGGTTTGTTTATGGGCGGCGGCATTTGTCCTCACCTGTGGACAAGATGCACGAGCCCGAAAAATGTAGCTCCAGCCAAATGTCGGAAAAGACGTTTTATTAACCAGCTCTGTTGCTTCAAGGGCGACTGAAAGCACGCGGAGCAGCTCATAGTCTTCGAAGTAAAGTATAAATCAAAACAAATTCCAATTTAAATAAAAAAAAATTACTTTTAGGTTAGGAGCTGCTGCTTCTCCGTGCGCTTTCAGTCACCCTTGAAGAAAAAACCTAGCTGGTTTCAAAACATGGGGCTCCCCTTGGAGATTCGGACTTTTTACACAACTATGTTTACTTTCAAGATGGGATTTTTTCGACTGATTGTTGTTGTTGCAATGGCAACACTTTTGGTGGCTCCCACGGAGCCATTTCTTGGGCACGACGCATGCGACCGATGCAGCAACGAGCAAAGCGGGTCTTGTGCAATTCATGCTCGGCTTAAGAGAGCACGAGCTGGGAGATTGGTGGTGTTCCTCGCTCATTGGAGAACACAATGCCAACTCAATGCAGGCGCGCCGCAAGACGGCCACCCCTCAAGAGCTGCTGCATCCGTCCACCATGAATTCTTCGCTGCCGTCGCTGCCTCAGACGGAGGAAGCGTCGACAGATGCCCCTCATGCCCTGCCGGCGATGGAGGACCTGATGGCCATGTCGCATCCCGACGGGGCCTGCTTTGACCTCGGACCCGACGGGAACCTGACCAGGGTTTCCAGTGCACCGGGATCCCTCGAGTGAGTGGCCAAAGCACAATTTCAACTTGGCGCCTCATCAGGTGCAAAGCTTTATACAATGGCGCACATTGAGCTTTGAACCTTGGGGATCCTTGTTTGCATTGAACGTCGCAAACTTTGGAGAACTTCGCACATGAAAGTTTAGGGGGCGTGAGCTTTGAGATTGTGGATTTCTAAGTGTCGGGAACTCCAAGGCGTGGGGAACTCCGAGTGCGGGCAAAGTTTTGCTCAGGTTTCGTGGCTGGCTGTCCTGTTACACTTTGGAGCGATACAAGCCAAAGCGCCAGTGTTTGGCAGACGAGGGTTTCATTTAATTTTATTTATTAATCGTTAAGGGTCCTCTTTCGAGGGCATTACATAACGAGGGGGCAGCGCAAGAAATTATACAAAAATGAAAAACAACAACATAAAAAATACGTAACAACGCACACTTGTGCAATGTAGCTAGAAAAACCTAATTTGGTGTAGAAAAATACGTGATGAAGCTTTTGAAAACCACAGGTTCATTAATTGTAATGAGCGATTCTGGAACATTGTTCCAGTCCACAATCGTGAGTGGGAGAAACGATTTGTTAAAGGTATTACTGGAACCCGATATACGTCGAAAATTATAGGAGTTATTAAGGCGACGAGACGACCGTGCGTGAGTGCGCAAGAATGAACTTCGAACAGTGGGGGATGGTAGCGGTAAAGTTTATGGAGTAAGCAAAGACGTGCAACCTTGCGGCGTACCTCCAGAGTTCATAAATTTAGGCTCGTTTTCATAGCAGAGGCACTGTTTCTATAGCCATAGTCTGATAACTGTAGCGGGTTGCTCGGTTCTGAATTGCTTCAAGTTGGGTGATCAAGTAATTTTGGTGCGGATTCCACATTGTGCTAGCATATTCTAGTTTAGGTCGAATGAAGGTTTTGTATGCAAGTTTCCTCATTTTTGGAGGAGCAGCATTCAGACAACGCCGGATCTAACCAAGGGTCTTTGCTGCGTCCGAAGACATGGTGTTAATGCGATTAATCTATGTCATTGTCATGTCGGAAGTTAGTACGACACCAAGATATTTCTACCTATCGACCTCCTCGTCGCCCAGCACACACTGAGAGGAGGAAGGGACTCTTTTGCGAGAAAAGTGGATTAATTTGCATTTAGGTTTTTTTAGTGGCATCAGCCAGTTGTTACACCACTGAGAGACATTATCTAGATCCTTTTGGAGGAGTTTGCGGTCATTAGGTGAAGTGATCTCGCGATATAGAACACAGTCGACTGCAAAAATACGTATGTGAAAAGAAATAGAGTTTGGAAGGTCATTAATAAATATTAGAAAAAAAGGGGCCTGTGCCTTGGGGCACGCCAGACTAGACATTATTAAATCAGATTCCTACCCATTTAAGAGTGTGTACTTTGTTCGTGAGTCAAGAAAATTACGTATCTCCATTAGGACTAGGTGAAGGCGGGAAAGTTTAGAGATTAAACGAATATGTGGGACACAATCCTTGAAAAAGTCTAAAAATTTTGCGTTGTTTCGTTGCGAGATTGAAGGCTGCAATGAAGGTGGTGCGTATATTCAAAGAGTTGCGTCTCGCAAGAGTAACCTTTGCGAAAGCCACGTTGGTGGTGGTAGAATTGCAATTTAAATGCGACATTATGTTCAAGAAGTTTAGATGGAACAGAAGTTAGTGAAATGGGAGTTAGAAGGCAAGGAGCAATGATAATTTTTGTGGACCGGAACAATCCTACCTACCTTCGGATAGTGACTGATTAAATATCAGTTGCAAAATATCCCTAGTTACAATCTTAGTATTTTTCAGAATCTTCGATGATATGTTATCTGACCCTGAGGAGGATGAAAGCTAATCGATAAGTGTGGCAATACTGGCCGATGAAACGTTGATTGGGGCTCGTAGTGAACAGTGGGTAGTTCAGGCTCACATTTAAAGGACGTCCGTCGAGATGGATGCGAAAAAGCTATTCATTACCTAGGAGCACATTCTTTCCTCAGCTGGGTTGCGACCCTCATCGATTAGTTTAATGATATCATTGTTGTTTATTGACGGGATTATATTCCAAAACCTTTTGGGGTCGTTGGAAGGATAGTTGGAAGGTCCTGATTAAAATATTATATTTTTCAAGCTTTTATTAGATGGATATAATCCTTAAGGCAAGCATAATACTTCTCCCAGATACTTGAACAGCTAGTCATTCTTGCTTTACGAAAGAGGCGTTTTTTCTTATTGTCAAGTTACTTGAGCCTTTCGTTATACCAGGGCTGGCAACCATCACTTCGGATCCGCAAAGTAGTTACAAACGCCTGAATAATGTCATTCAATTTATTTTCATATAAAATCAAGTTGTCATTCACACTCCTTAGACTAAAGTGGATGTGATAGAACTGCAAGAAAGGGGTCAGATTTCTGTTCATTGCTCTACTATAGTCCCGTATCACCTTTTTGACAGGCCTCTTGATCAAAATGGAAAGGGACAGCAAGATGTGCAAAAGTTTCTGGTCACTGAATCCATTGCTGTAGGTAACGAATTGAACCAGATCAGGAGAAGACGCGAGTACAAGGTCATGGATGTTATCCCCACGGGTTGGGCTCGTAACAACCCGAGTTGGGTTAAAAAGCAAACATAGTTCCGGAAAATCACGAGAATAACGGGATGCATCGGCTGTTAGACTTGACCGGCTTATATTGGGAAAGTTGAAATCTTTGAATAACAAGAGGTTCGCTTTTGCAAAACGTTATCTCCAATAGGACTTTATGAAATTCACTTGTGAATGCAGAGTCACTATTCGGGGGCCTGTGGCAGACAACAAGTACAGTTTTAATTATAGCCAAACAAAGACAGACGCAAGTAATTTCCAAACTGCATTGTAACTGAATGCAGAACAAAGTGATATGCCTTTTGACTTTGATAAGAACACCACCACTGCGTTGAAGTGGCCTGTCCTTTTGGCAGATACAGAGGTGGAGGTGATCGGGAAATAGTTTGTCATTGCGAACATTTGGCCTCAACCATGTCTCAGTCAGCACAACAATATCAGAATTACTATCTTCTAAAACACTGCACAGTTCCTCTCTTTTATGCATGAGGCTGCAAATATTAGTGGTAGAAACGGGATATGGACAAACGTTTTGTTACCGTACGTGCTAATGAACTGAGAGCATTACGAGATGGGTTTATTACAGATCGTGGTTATGCAGAAAATTATTTTACACAGTCTGATGCAGCGTCATATACAAAGTTTAGCATACGGAGCTTATCGAAACAGTTGCAGATCTTGCAAGTCTTGTCCATTTTGACGAGTTTATACTTTCTGCGTGGGCAACTGCTGCGTTTATTTGACTCTAGGTTTTCCTGGCACTTTTCTTTCAAACTTGATGATCTACCCATAATTGTCACCAAAGAAGGTTGACCTATGATGGTGAGCAAACGTCAGGGCTCCATCGAACGATCTCCTGCATCATCTGCTTGCATTCTGCAAGGCAGGGAACATCTGCACGAGTGTAGCGGCGTAGACGTGCCGAAGTGTACTGGATGTTTAAAACATGTGGCCAGTGCAGTTGACAAGCTGCATAGGAATCCTTGCACTTGTTTAAAATTGAGGTGAACTTCAATCAGTATTCTAATAGTTTTCATTATTCTTGGCAAGTTCTTTACCTAGGCTGTTCAAAAGGTAGACGCAGTATACCATGAAAATTGACGAGGAGAATGGGATGGTTTGGTTCGCTCAACATTGTATTTTAGTTAAAACACCAAAGTAATTTTATTATGAAAGTCATGCTTCCCTGCACCTTGCTGCACCCAAAGGGAAAAATTGTGCCAAACTGCGGCAATGCCTGCAAAACTGCGGCAATATCTGCGGACAAATCAATTTTTGGAAGTCTTCATCTGGCAACAGTGCGAATCCAGTGGTATTTGGCCATGAAAATCCAATCCAGGTCTTACACGAATTTTACCGACATTCCCAAGGCAGCGCAGCTTCAACAGTTTTAGTTGCATTTCGAAGCACACTATACTGAAAATTTACTAGTACAAGCAGTTCTTTTTAATTTTTTTTCGCGTGCATATTTTTTGAAGCATAACACTGCTTTATAGAAATGTGCTCGCACATGGTTCTCATGTTGTTAGCATGCTCGGTCTGTACCGCTTGGTTACGTATTGTTGCCTTTCCTCACGTCAAATGATGTGACTCCATGATGGTACTACAGTCGAAACCCGCTTCAACGAGCGCCGCATCAACAAAATTTCCGGTTCTACGAATATTTTTTGGTTCTCCGTCAAAGGTCTTAAGAGTCGGTGCATAAAAATTCTCACTACAGCGTACAGAGTTTCTTGTGCCGTTCCACTTGAACGAAATTTCACGGAGCAATTCAAAGTTTGAAAGTTTGATATTCCGTACAAAAAAGAAACTTGCGAGCACTTTGGTGCATTTTGGCACATAAAATACATCTACTAAAGTTGAAATGGTGTGTTGAACCACCAGAAACGGCCACTAATAACCGGAATCCCCGGAACCCGAGCGCAACGGGCTCGCCGCGCGTGCCCGTTGCGCGTGCAGGCCGCGGATACCCGGTGGCAGTGGTGATGAGGCTGGCCTTCTCTGCCTTTCACCGCTGTTGTACGAATGTTGGTTGCATCCTAGCTCTTGGCTCGATAATCCTCTGCTGCACACTATCGAAAGCCGAAGCTCAGTTACAGTGTACTAGAATACTTGGGTAGTGTTGGGACCCAAGGGGCTCGCCTGAAGCGCGTGGCATTGATCGCGACAGGTGTCGCGTCCGGCGCCTTATACGGAAGGTGCGCGCATGCGCGGCTGCACGCGCGAAAATATGAATCTTCGGTGCCGCTTTGGTGGAGTGCACATGGGATTTCTGATACAGCTACGACCTGCCAGCGGTCATACCGCGGCATCAATTACGCTGCGGCACGATCGTTAGCAACATGATGCTTCAATGTATTGTACGGTACAAGCTACATTACCCTTCCTTTACATAAAAACAAT